TGCCCCGCGACGCTGGGCAGGGCAGGGCAGGGCACGCGCTGACGACGCAGCGCAGATCAGGGCCTGGGGTAGCGCGGTAACCACCGTCGGTCACTAGCTAAGGGCATGTTCCTACGGCCCCTTATCAGGCCAACCTCTTATCAGGCTCGCGTCACAACACACTGAAATTCCCCTAAACCCAAAAACCTTCGCGAATTTTACCAGGCAAAAATGCGAAGCTGATATGAGGTGTCCCTGATAAGGGGCCGTAGGAACATGCCCTAATTGTGGGCCCGGAAAAAACCGGTCCTACGGACCTACTGCTCTGAAACCATGTTGAAACTAGGAGCAGGAATTATGAACTATGAGCAAGTTTGGGTACAAATAGAAACCCTAACATTGGGTGGTACCCCATATGGGCTACCCCACTACAGCCTACAGATTATACTACAGCATATCTAGTTTGACATATATATGTACACAAATATATGCATCATTGCTGATTCAGATATGGTTCTAGTACACACTGAACTAACAGAGGCTATGATGACAGCAGCATGAACAGCGACATGAGTATCAGCCGCTGGTTGGCACCATGTAGGTACACAGAAACCTAAAATTTAATAGTCGTTCTTTGTTGCACCATGCTGCAAAGCACAGCGCACAACGAGAGAGATAGTGTGGGAAGAACCGCTTGAGAATGTGGGAAGGACTAGACATGGAAAGTACAAACAGGGAAGGGAGGGAACGAAGGGGAGTGACGGGGTGCGAGCGGGGGGGAAATTGACGGAAGGCAAAGGCAAAACAGGGGACAAGCAACAAGGGAAGCGATAGGGCAAGCAGGGGGGAAAAGGAGGATAGGCAAAGGATAAAATGATGACAAGCAGCAAGAAAACGGTGACAGCAAACAGGGGGAAGGAGGAGAAGCAGCTGAAGAAATGGAGGGGAAGCATGGGGGAGGGGGAATGGGGGTAAGCAGGGGGGCGATAGAGAGGAAGCTTGGGGAAAAACGAGAGCAAGAAAAGGGGGAAACCGAGAGCAAGTAGTGAGGAACTGGGGAGAAGAAAAGGGAGAAACAGAGGATACAGACGGAGGGAGGGGGACAGGGGGAGAGAGAGGGGACAGGGGGGAGAGGACAAGGGGGGAGAGAGGGGACAGGGGGGAGAGGACAGGGGGGGAGAAGGGGGAAAGGGGGGAGAAGGGAAGGCAAGGGGAAGACAGGGGGACAGGGGAGAGAGGACAGGGGGGAGAGGACAGGAGGGGTTAGAGAGGGACAGGGGGGAGAGGACAGGGGGGGAGAGAGGGTGACAGGGGGGAGAGAGAGAGAGGGGGAGTGCGGAGGACAAGGGGGAGACAGGAGGACAGGGGAAAACGGGGAAGAACAGGGAAAAAGAGGGGGGGGGGAAACGAGTGGAAGCAAGGAACAGCAAAACAGACGGAAGGGAGGGTATGGAGGGAGTTTACAGAGCACGTGTATGGGGGAAGTTGAGCGGACACAGTGGAACTGAGTGAACTGAGCGCAGTGAGTGCAAACAAGGAGTGAAACTGAGTGTAATGAAGGGGAAAAGAGAGTGAGCAGAGGGGAAATGTGATGAATGAAGGGGGAAAAGAAATTAGCAGGGGGAAATGCGATGAGTGAAGGGGGTTGACGGAGCACGTGTATGGGGGAAGTTGAGTGGCGATGTGGCGGGCGGCGACGAGGAGGCGGCGCGCCGACGAGGAGGCGAGGTGGCTAGGCGGCGATGTGGAGGCGATGTGGAGTCGAGGCGGCGATGGGGCGGCGATGACTGCTGATGAGGCGAGGCGGCAATGTGGCGGTGAGAAGGAGGCGACGTGGCGGCGATGAGGCGGCGATGCGCCGATGACGACGCGAGGCGGCACTGGAGGTCGCACGGCCAGGGCGCGACGCCTTCGAACGAGGCGAGTTTAACGGCCAGGCGAGAGGCTGAGGAGGACTACACCCGGCGAGTAGGGCCTGAACCTAGTGCGAGCTTGCGACACGTCAAGGAGGCTATAAGTCGGAGGGAAAACGACGCGCTGCGCTCGCGACTTGGTCGCGATCTAGAACCGATGTCGTCATTTGCATGCGATGACGCAGTCCAGAGCCCATGGGGGACGGACACTTTAGCGTGGACTATGATGGCGTTGTGGCGAGATGCTCAGAGTTTAGCCTAGGGAATGCCAGTTTCTATGCTACGTAAGCTCAGACAGAAGGACGCGTTCCCTCTCGATGATTTTCCACGATCGATCCTGCGCAGGTTCCCGGAGTTACAAACGGTTCTAAATTTTTTCAAAGTAACAAGAACGTTTTCAAGTGCAGTGAACGATTTGTTTTGATGGTCGATCGTGCGAAACCGAAAGATGTAACGCGTCCTTACAGTTTCGCTTGCGGCGATGCTTGGGATCCAGCAGCACTGCCAGTCTGCCATAGCGACTTCCAGAGACTTCGTTGCTTGGGAATTGCCACGTTGACTCTTCCAAAGCCCTTCTTGCCAAGCAATTCTCACGCAGCGATTCTTTAGAAGACTTTCTTGCATAAAAATTCCCACTTCCCACTGCGACTCTCCGAGAGACTTTCTTTGCACAAGAATTCCGAGAGCGATTTCCCACATAGAGCTTCTTGCCTAGGGATTTCTGCCAGATGAGTATTTCATTCTTTTTGTGGGCTCGTTTGAGTACTCTCACTGCGACCTTACTAGTCGTCTTCGAGCGCTTACGTAGCCCTTGCAACTATTCAACTAGGACAGAATGCGTGCTGCACCAATCGGACGGCTGTCAGATGATCTTCTCTCCGTTATCTTTCGTCTCGTCGGTCGATCCGACGGCCAGTTCCAGCACGCGTTTGTGTGCAAGAAATGGCATCGCATCGCCTGTCGCGTGCACGAGCACATTCACATTCGCGAAAAGCGCCGCATGCGTCCTCGCGAGCTGCTCGCGCACCTCTCGTCATTCCCAAGGCTCCGAAAGCTCGTCCTCGCCAACGGCAGCATCACGTCCTTTCCTGACTCCCTCCTCTCCGGGATTGCGGACTCGTGTCCAGATCTGACGGACCTCCACGTTGATCTGATGAAACGGCGGTACAGACGAGGGGGGTTCACTGAGAAAGGACTTTCGTATCTCTTTGAGAAATGCGCACGGCTGGAGGGGCTTCATCTTGACTGTCAGTTTAATCTTACCGCCATTCCTCCGTCAATCGGCAACCTTGCGTCACTCAAGAGCCTACACATTAAGGAAAAGGGGGGAGTCGCTCTACTTCCAGACGCGTTCACCTCGTTACAGTCACTCGTGCATCTCGTGATTGAAATGTGCGGCCTGAATGAACTGCCTCGAGGCTTCGGCAATCTGAGGATGCTGCAGTTGCTCCAGCTAAGCAGATGCATGAGTCTCGAATCCATTCCCGATTCTTTCGGGCAGCTGACCAACTTGACACATCTTTCCATCAACGGCTCCATGGCAAGACTTCAGCTGCTCGAATCCATCTCCAACCTCTCGTCCCTGCTGACGCTCGAGATTTTCAACTGCGACCTTTCACCCCTGCCCGAGAGTTTTGGAAACCTTCCGGCGCTTGAAACCCTACGCCTGGAGAAGGTGAATGGGATCACCACCCTGCCCGCCAGTCTTGTGCAGTTGCAGCAGTTGCGGCTCCTCTCTGTGATCGACTGCTACAGATTAATCTCTTTACCTACCCACTTTTCCCTCCTGACTTCTCTGACGGACCTTGTTCTTGTCGGCCAAGCACTCGACCTTCTGCCTGTTGACGTCGGCTTACTGCCACACCTGCGCATGCTCATGTTGGACGGAATCCGGGTGCATCTTCCTCTCTCTATATCTCTTGCTACTGCACTGAAAGAGCTTACTCTTTATGACTTCCAACTTATATACTCGCTACCCGTGGATTTCGGGCAGTTGACCTCCCTTGAGACCTTGCGCCTGACTAAGCTTCCGCGGCTGAGCAACCTACCTGCATCCCTTGGCAGCCTGAGGAGCCTCAAGGAGCTGAAAATAACCACCTGCAGCATAACGCAGCTTCCAGACTCCTTCACTCTTCTTTCTTCCCTCGAGCTGCTGGAAATCAAGGATTGCTGCAAGCTGACAGAGCTACCGCACGGCATGGGGGATGGTCTGCATAGCCTGCGTAGATTGATTCTGCTCGAATGCCCGGCTCTCAGGCATCTCCCTCCAATCTTCTCTGGCCTCTCATCCCTCGAAACCTTGGAAATCCATCATGCAACTAGCTTAGATACGCTTCCAGGCAGGTTCTCCCACTTGACGAACCTCAAGGAGCTGAAAATAGCCGAGTGCAGCATAACGCAGCTTCCAGACTCCTTCACTCTTCTTTCTTCCCTCGAGCTACTGGAAATCAAGGATTGCTGCAAGCTGACAGAGCTACCGCACGGCATGGGGGACGGTCTCCTTAGCCTGCGCATACTGACTCTGCTCGCATGCACGGCTCTCAGGCACCTCCCTCTCTTCCTCTCTGGCCTCTCATCCCTCGAAACCCTGTAAATCCATCATGCAACCAGCTTAAGTACGCTTCCAGACGGGTTCTCCCATTTGAGAAGCCTCAAGGAGCTCTCTCTCTCCTCCGTGCCGCACCTGTCCGCCCTGCCAGCCTCCCTCCCTGCCATCGGCCGTTCTCTCACCAGCCTCGTGGTCAGCTGCATGCAAATCACGGCGCTGCCAGAGGAGATTGGACGGCTGGGAGGGCTTGAAACTCTTTCGCTTCATGGACTACGCAATCTGAAGTTGCTCCCTCGCTCGCTGTGTCGGCTGGAGCGGTTAAAATCTTTGCAAGTGAGTAGCTGCAGCTCGCTGAAGGCTTCGGGGCGGTCAGCACTTGTCTTGACTTAGGCGGTCACACCGGTTGCAGCAGTGCCGCTGACAGCTGTGGGGGATCCGAGAAGGACAAGAGTGTGTTGCTGCCATCCCTTAAGAGTCTGAAGATCCGGGAACCGACACTGAAGCTGCTCGGACCATTGCTGAGCTCCTTCCCAACGCTCACAAATCTGGAAATCTCTGTAATGCATTGGCTTCGGGATCTCCCAGATTCCATCTCTCGCCTCTCTTGCTTGCAGTCGCTCACGATCGATGATGCCAAATGCCTGCTGGCTCTGCCAGAGGCAATACTGAAGCTCTCAGCTCTCACATCCCTCGAAGTTGACGATCTCACGAGCTTGACTGAGCTGCCCGCATCATTCGGGCAGCTGAAGAAGCTTCGGTCTTTTAAGATTGACAGCAGCCCGGGCCTAACCAGGCTTCCCAAGTCCTTCCCTGATCTCTGCAAGCTGGAGTCGTGTGTTTTGTCCGATGTCGGAATTTCGTGCCTTCCAGATGACTTTTGGAAGCTCTCGTCCTTAAAGGACCTCTCTCTCATGTCACTGCCCAAACTCCGCAGCCTGCCCGAAACTTTTTCACAGCTGCTCAAACTGGAGGGCTTGACCCTGATTGGGTGCAAGCGGCTGGCTCGGCTGCCTGCGGGGCTGCAGCAGATGGGGAACCTGCAGGCATGCGTTGTCATTGAATGCCGGCTGCTGTCAAAACGGCGCAAGATGGTGATTTATGGTACAGTGGACCTGGACGAGGGAGAGTACGCAGTGGGTGGCTTAAAGGAAGAAGATGACGAGGGGAGCGGATTTGGGGAGAGTGAAAGCGAGGATGGAGAAGGGAGTGAATGGGATAGTGTAGATTGGAGTGGAGAGGAGGATGGAGAGGGGAGTGAAGGGGAGGATGGAGAGGGGAGTGAAGTGGAGGATGGAGAGGGGAGTGAAATGGAGGGGAGTGAAAGGGTGCAGGAACGAACATGAAGGATCAGGGAGTAAATGGAAGCGGAGTGGTGAAGGGGGGAGGTGGTTGGAGTGAGATGGAGATGAGGGCAGTGATAGCATATGCGGTGGTGGCGTCCCTCCTTGAACCAGGATCAGGGGCGGCTTCACTCGCATCAGCAGCCTCAACAGCAGCCCCAGCAGCAAAACGAGGCGCAGAAGCGTAGGTAGGAGCAGCAGCAGCGCAGCAGTCGAGGCAGCTGCCTGCAACCGCAGCAGCACGGCAGCAAGGGCGTGGCGATGTGATGGGGGGTGGGAGGAGGTGCGGACTAGTGAGGTAGAGAGTCAGGGAGGGGGTGAAGGGATACATTCTACACCACTTCCGAGGAGGTGAGGTGTGGCGATGTGAGGGTGGGAATGGGACGAGGTGGGGTGTGGCAATGTGAGGGTGGGAATGGGACGAGGTGGGGTGTGGCAATGAGAGGGTGGGAATGGGAGGAAAGGAGGTGAGGCGTGGCGATGTGAATGAAGGGTTGAATGAGATGAGAGGAGGTGAGGTGTGGTAGATGTGAAGGTGAGGTGTGGGAGGTGGGGGGAGTCAAGGAGACAGTGAAGGGCAACGCTTTGCACTACTTCCGAGGAGGGGTGAAGCGCGATGATGCATGGAGGGGAATGGGAGGTATGAGGAAGGGTGTGGGGTTAGTGGGGCAAAGAATCGTGGGATAGTGGCTGGCTGCAGGGCACCGCTCTCCTTTGAGGCGCCTTCACAGCACGACACCGCTCTCCCACCACATGTGTGGCTTAGCCCACGCCTCTCTCGCTTTGCCTTCTCTGGATGCCTCGCCCGCCCCTTTAGAGGTCTGGGTTTAGCAGCCGCATCCCTCCATCCCCATCCCTCCCTTCAGCTGCCGAACCCAGACCTCTAAAAGTTATTTTTCCTCGTGAGATTTCTCCACACGACTCTAGCACCATGTAATGGTGTTTTTTTTCTTTCACTGCCTCCCCTGCAGCTCCCCCAATCCCCACATCTAGTTGGTCTTTTAAAGAGAGTAGGGCGCCGTACAGAGTATTAATAGGTAAATAATCGATTCCTGCTTTAGTAACTAATCCCCATCCTCGTCCCACCATCGCACCAGGCGTGTGGCTGTCTGCAGACCCCGATCCCTGCCACACACGCAGGCATCTTCCTCACGCCTCACTTGCACCACTCAGCTTAGTTGGTTCTTTTTCCCTTCACTGCCTCCGCTACCCCTCCGCCCATCCCCACACCTATCCCCATTCATGTCCCACCTTCCTACCAGGCGTGTGGTTGGGACCCTGACGTGTATCATACGAGCATCTTCCACTCCTCACTCCCGCCTAGACTCTCATTCCCCTTGGGTGCCTGTCCCCCCCCCCGCCCATCCGCATTCACATCCCATCACCCACCATGCATGTGGTTGCAGGACCCTCACGAGTACCACTGAGCAACCTCCACGCCCCATACATACCATGTGTCACACCTCATCCATACCCTCCTGACTGCCTCCCCCCATTTCCTCCTATCACCCCCTATCTCCACCTGTCCCCACCCCCAAATACCAGGCGTGTGGTTGCAGGACACTGACATGTAACACGTGTAGTCTACGCATCACACCACCTCTCGCCCATACCTGCCTATCAAGTACACGTAACGTGTTTTACCGTTGTGATTGTACCCTGAACGCAAGCTTTATTGTTTGCGGAACCGAATCTTTGTCACCACAGTTGAATTCCATAAAGCCTACTGCAATTTGTAACCCGACATGAGTGAATGGTGGCATGGCTCAGTAGTGAAAAGACACTAGTCTTTGTTTTTTCAATCGAGTATCACCAATGGGGTGCAAATTTGCTTGTGACTTACTCTTAACGAAGTGGAAACGGGGTGAAGCACTGTATAATGAGGCGAAAGTGGTTCGGAAGTCGATTGCAGGTTAGGTTTGAATCTAACCACCACCGCACTAAACCCACGATTATTGCGTCAAAACGTTTTATCATCTATTCCAACCGCGTTTGAAAACTAATTCGAGGACGATTGATCGCGCTATGAATGACCTGGGCCTAAGACGATTGCTATGTACTCTGCGAACGAACTTGAACAGGGCCATCGTTGGGGTTGGGGAAACCTGGGGAACAGGTTAGTTGGTAACCGGAGGCTATTGCCGACCTAGAGCTTCCTATCAGAGAATTGCGCGTTATAAACTGCTTCGGCTGGCTCCGCTGCGTTACAATTCGCTCCGTTACAGTCCGCTCCGCTACGGTTCGCTCTGCGATAGTCCGCTCCGCCGCTATCCGAAGCGCTTCACCCGGATTCGCCGTCCAGCATGTCGATCTGGAACTATGTCGTCACGGCGCATAAGCCGACAGCTGTCACGCACTCATTGGTCGGCAGCTTCACAGGGACCCACGACATGAACCTGATTGTTGGGTGAGCGCCGTCCGCCATACATGCTGTGCCCGTCCGTCCCCGTGAGCCTTGTGTGTGGAGCAAAGCATCCGTGCGGTGCGATTCAAACTTAGCCAACGGAGCACGTCTGGGATGCGAATCTGATCGTTTCAGGCCTTTGTCGGGAGCATGGGCCTCATGCGACTGATTCCAGCCCGAGGCTCCTGTCTTTCAGCGACCACTGCGACTCTCTCTCACTCTCTTTGCTCTGTTTCAAGCGCGTGGGCATGGATTGCACTGGGTGCATTTGCTGCTGCTCTCTGCTGGCGGATGGATTTTACTGGCTGAATCCCATTGCGCTCTCCGCTTTGCTGTGTTGTGTTGCATGCGAATGCGAGTGCGAGGGCAGCAAGTCCACGAGGATGGAGATTTACCTTCTCACCCCACAGGGCCTTCAGGTGCTCTTCTCTCCTCGCATCTGTTTGACAAAACTCCTGTTTCTTCTCACTTACAGCCCACACGCATATCCTTCTGTTACATGCGCCCGTCTGTTCTGAGCCCTACCTTAGAAATTATACGACCTGATTTATTGATGTCGTCTCTTGCAAGTTGAACTCTTGCTATTGTCTCACTCAGCAGGTCACCTTGCACACACACCCACGGGCCACAGCCCACACATGCTACTGCATCTGATTGTTTGACTGCTTTACGTGTTTGTTTATCTGCTGACTCCCCACCATCCCTGTGCGTGCATGTGCATGCGTGTGCGTGTGTGTGCGTGCGTGTGCACGGCATGCTCTCAGCCGCTGGTGGACGTGCCGCTGTACGGCCGCATCGCCACCATGGAGCTCTTCAGACCGCCCGTAAGTGCCCCGCCGCTCTGCTCCTGCACCGCACCGCACCGCACCCATGTCATGTGCTGGCAGCTTCGGTGTGGTGTGCAGGTTGTGTGTGTGCGTGCGTGTCAGTTAGGAGGGAGGAAGAAAAGCAGAGATGAAGGAAGTGAAGGAGAGACGGAGGAGAAAAAATTAGGGATAGACGGGGACAACGAAAGGAGGAAGAAACGCGAGCAAGAGGAGAGGACTCAGGAAGTTGAGCCGAAGGACGAATGGGATTAGAGAGGGCAGGAGTAAAAGAGGGAGGGAGTGAGCAGAAGATGGGGGGATGAAGGGAGTAAGTGAAGGGGCCAGGGAGGGAAATGCGGAGTAAGTGTGAAGTATTCTTGCATAGCAAAGCGCAATAACATGACGTTTGACATGGCATCACATCACATGACATGGCATGGCATCTCATGGCGTTGCACCTGGCATCGCGCATGGCATGGCATGGCATGGCATGGCATGGCATGGCATGGCATGGCATGTGTGGCATGGCATGGCATGGCATGGCAGGGCGAGTTGAAGGACCTGCTGTTCATATGCACGGAGCGGTACAAGTTCTGTGTGCTGGAGTATGACGCGCACTCCAGGGAGCTCATCACCAGGTACGCCATGCACCTTGCCACGTGCGACACTTACCTACCTGCAAGCGAGCGCCACCGTCCTCGCAAGCTGCCAGCCAGCTAGCAATGGTCTTGCCGTTTCTTCTGCTTGCTGTCTCCCGACTCTTATTCAGTCCTGCCTCTGTTCCCCTCACGCCCACCTCTGTTGGCACTCTGTGATCCCACCAGGGCCAACGGGGACGTCTCTGATCGAATCGGGCGACCAACAGACAATGGCCAGGTAGGTTCCTTCCTTCCTTACTTCCATCCTTCCTTCCTTCCTTGCTGACATTCAGGTATTGCCATCAGTCTGTCACTCTCCCTGTGCACTTTTGCGCACCCCTTGCCGCCCTGCACAGCTCATTCATTGCTTCACTCACTCACACCGCGAATCGAATGCGCAACGATTTTCTTCCAACTCCTCTCTAGTGCGCCCCTCTAAGCCCACTCAAAACTAGACATGATCACGAGTCGAGTCGAGCCGAGTCACCTCGAATCGCGGTCGAGTCGGGAGTTGCGTCGAGTCGAGTCGAGTCGAGCCATAGTCGAGTCAGTTTTCCGGAACTGCCGACTCGTGCTCGACTTCTGAAATCGAGTCATGCCTTGACTCGAGCACGAGTCAACAACTCGCGAGTCAGTCTTGACTCGACTTAACCGTAAAGAATTTTTAAGGGCCCCAAAAGTCGTGTCCTGATTCGTAGCTAGCATGCAAGGTAGGAATGACAAAATCCCGTCCCTTCCCCTTTCAGCACAGGTAATTTGATGCGCACCCAAAATTGCGTGAAAGGCGGAAATTGGGTGTCGGCGGAATTTGCGTGACAGGCGGAAATTGGGTGTCGGGGGAATTTGATGTGTGACAGGCGGAAATTGAGTGTTGGGGGGGGGATTTGCATGTCGAGCGGAAATTGAGTGTCAAGGAAGATTTGCTAGTCAAGCGGAAATTGAGTGATGGTCAGGAATTCGGTGATGGGAGAAATTGCATGAGGAAAGGAGGGGGAATTGACAACGGGAATCCACGTGGATAAAGTTGGTGGCCCTCGAGTCAGGCCAGCTCGAATCGAGTCAGCCGACTCGCCGACTCGTGGCTCACCAGACTGTCCAAAGTCGAGTCGGGCGATGCATCGAGATTTCTCCTCAGTTCGACTCGACTCGACTCTACTCGAGTCAGGAAAATAAAATAACTGACTCGACTCGACCTAAAGTCGAGTCGAGCCAGCGAGTCGAGCTAAAACTCGCCTCGATTGATTATGTCTACTCAAAACCACCTTTCTTACCATCTCTCCCCCGACTCCCCCATTACTGCCTCCCTTCCACCTCCCCAACACGCTGTCCGTGTCATGTCATCACCCTGCAGGTTGGCACAGTGGACCCGGATACCCACATAACCTCGTGTGACGCCATCTCACCTGACCCACTCTATGCTTGCCTTGTTCTTTTCCTCTTCCCCCGCCCCCCACCTCCCACCTCCCTCCTCCCTCGTCACTCTGCGCGGTGCGGTGCGGTGAGGATCGGCATAGTGGACCCAATCATCGGGTTGCATCGCACCTGACTCACCCAATGCCTGTCTTGTTCTTCCCCTCTCTCCCTCTCCCTCGCCACGCGGTGCGGTGCATGTGGGGCAGATCGGCATAGTGGATCCGGACTACCGCATCATCGGGCTGCATGTGTACGACGGGCTGTTCAAGGTCATTCCCATCGACGCCAAGGGCCACCTCAAGGAGGCCTTCAACATCCGGTGGGTGGGCCTGTGGCGTCGCGGCCCGGGTGGGTTGTTTTGGGTGCTTGTTTGTGCTTCGACCCACCCAGGCGGTGCTTGCCGCTTGGCACGTCAAGTCGATGGACTCTCCAAGGTCATCCCCGTTAACTTAGAGGTCGGCGAGCTGATGTTTCGACTCAACTCAACAGTCAACCTATGATTAGCTCTCATACACATCAACTCTACAGGCTCCTTGAGGTAATCCCTCCCCCTCAAACTTTACGGGGCAATTTAGCAAAGCCTTCACATCCTCTTGGTTCAGGTTCCGCCTTTGATTCCGCTGACTCGACTCGCACTTGAATCGGAGGCATTATTTAGCTTTTGGAGGCCATTTGCACGGACGCCAGTCTGAAAGACGCCCTTCTCACTGTACGTCCAACAGCTTCCCTTCTCACCTCCCTTGGCACTAGTTCTCGCATGACAGTCGGCCTCACTTGGCTAATTGGTACTGCGTTCCCATTGGAACAATCGGACCAGCAACTCATAACCAAAGAGCCCACCAGCCAAGAACTGGAAACTGGCCAACAGACCGTCCAGCCAGGTTCACTTGTCCTCTTGGTATAGAGCACAGCAGTGCCTCATTTTTGCAAGTTGCGAGTCTAAATTCGTCCCACTCTTCCCCTTGTCGCTGCTTGTGTTTCACCACACCTCCCACACACCAGGTTGGAGGAGCTGCAGGCGATCAACATGAAGTGTCTGCACGGCTGTGAAAGCCTTTTATAATTCTTGTCGTTTCGTTGTGACACCCCGCACACACCAGGTTGGAGGAGCTGCAGGCGATCAACATGAAGTGTCTGCACGGCTGTGAAAGCCTTTTATAATTCTTGTCGTTTCGTTGTGACACCCCGCATACACCAGGTTGGAGGAGCTGCAGGCGATCAACATGAAGTGTCTGCACGGCTGTGAAAGCCTTTTATAATTCTTGTCGTTTCGTTGTGACACCCCGCACACACCAGGTTGGAGGAGCTGCAGGTGATCGACATCAAGTTCCTGTATGGCTGTGAACGCCCCACCATCGCCGTGCTCTACCAGGTGCGCCCCACCATCGCCGTGCTCTACCAGGTGCGCCCCACCATCGCCGTGCTCTACCAGGTGCGCCCCACCATCGCCGTGCTCTACCAGGTGCGCCCCACCATCGCCGTGCTCTACCAGGTGCGCCCCACCATCGCCGTGCTCTACCAGGTGCGCCCCACCATCGCCGTGCTCTACCAGGTGCGCCCCACCATCGCCGTGCTCTACCAGGTGCGCCCCACCATCGCCGTGCTCTACCAGGTGCGCCCCACCATCGCCGTGCTCTACCAGGTGCGCCCCACCATCGCCGTGCTCTACCAGGTGCGCCCCATCCCACGGCCCCACCCCACTCCTCCACTCCACTCCACTCCACTTTGACCCGTGCACACGCAGTGCACCCATCTCGTGTTCCAGATAGGTTCTGTGCTGCAGTGCAGTCTCTGTGTGTTCCCTCACCACTGTTGTTCGTGCACTGACTCATTTCATGGTGCTTCAGTGTACGCAACTGCCTCTCTTGTCTTGCTGCAGTTCTTTTCGTGTCACTTGTGTGCTTCCGCCTGCACTCCCGTTCATGCTTTGCCTTGCTGTGTGCCATGGCAGGACAATAAGGACGCAAGGCACGTGAAGACATATGAAGTGCAGGTGTGTGTGTGCGCCGGACTGCCTTGCCTCTTCTGAGCCTTTTCTCTTTCAAACCTTACCTTTCGTGTTTTCCTTTTGTCCGACGTCCACTGCCTCTATTACAGCAGCTGGAGGAATGTTCCTCCAGCCACGCCACGCACGCACGTCACACAGTAACACACTGTGTGTCACAGGCCACGCCATACAAGCTTGAGTTTCTCTGGAATTCACTGTTTTGAATTCTCAGATACAAGCACTGGCTACCTCAACCCTGAACTTCACACACATCTGATGTCAAACACACACATCCTCTGATTTGCCCCTCATGCCTCAAACTACAAGCTTGTGCCGCGCTGCCAGCAGCACAGGCCGAGGGTTGCCGCCTGTGCTGGTCCGCTCTAAGGCTTCTCAGGCGGCCCTTTCCACGGATGCAGAGGTGCAGGAAGGCAACCTTTAGTGCAATGCATACATATGGGAGGAGCCTTGCTTGCCGTCCAGCTTTTCTGTTTCTACTCACACGGAGGTGCATGTATGCGTTTTCAAAAGAAGTGATCATTTTCTTAAAGCCCTGGGTCCGCAGGTGTGATACACGGGGCTACACAGACACGGCCCATGGCTGCGGTGCGGAGAACTTTAGAGTGATTCAGGAGAAAGCCTACCTAAAGTTTCATTCCTCATAAAAATCCCTCTCTCTATAATCTCCCCAGGGCCCAGATGCAAGACAAGGACTTCAAGGTAGGCCTGTGGCTGCGGCGCAATCTGGACTGGTAAGCAAGGGGGCGTTCATGATAGCGGTTTTTTTTTTTCCTCAAACCTTGTCTTCCAACCAATCCTGAACCCCCCAGGTGCGAGACAAGGACTTCACGGACGGGCCGTGGCAGCAGAGCAACCTGGACGGCGGGGCGGCGCTCATCATCGCCGTGCCGCCGCCCATGGGGGGCGCACTCATCGTGGGCGAGCAGAGCATCGTCTACCACAACGGCGCCGTGCTTAAAGCCCTGCCCATGCGCCCCGTGAGTGCTGCTCACTCATGGCCGTCTGTGCTGATTGAGTGCAGTAAGTGGTGCGAGAGGCAGCAGTGACGTGACGGTGTGGTGGATTGGGTGCGGAGCACCGTGTACCACAATGGTTCTTATTGTGTTCACTGTTTCGTGACATCAGCATTCACTCATGTGAGTCCCCGCCCTGCCTATCCACATGTGTACAGTGGTCTGGTCTGGTGGACCGTGGTTGGAGGCCACACAGACAGATATGCACCCACCCATTCTCGCCATCTCCCCCGTGTTTCGCCATGCATGCATGCAGTATCTCATGGAGGCGCATGGCGCATGCATACTTTTCTGATTCCTTACAAACACACCTCCCCATTTCCGTCCCCCTCCCCCTTTGTTGTGCCGTGTTGTGACTGGTGAAGTGGAGGCATATGGCTGTGTGAATCTGGGTTTTCTCTCAGTCTCTCAACTTATGTCCATTGGTTCATGCCCTTGTCTGCCCCCCCCCCACTGCGCCATGCATGCATGCGTGCGTGCGTGCAGTGTCTGGTGGAGGCGTATGGGCGGGTGGATCCAGACGGCTCGCGCTATCTGCTGGGCGACCACATGGGCACTCTCATGCTGCTCGCACTCACTCGCGACAAGGACCGGTGAGATGAACAGCATCAGCTCGCACCTTCTCTTCTCACACTTGACCTCTTGCTCTGCCATGGAATGGCCTTGGACCATGCATAGCGAGTTGCCACAGCAAGTTGTGGTCGTAGCCTTGTGTCATGGTAATCAAAAACCGATTCTTGAACTGCCACCATGCGTGCAGGGTGGTGACGATGAAGCTGGAGACGCTGGGGTCGGTGTCATCGCCCTCCACCATCGCCTACCTCGACAACGGCGTCGTCTTCCTCGGCTCTGCTCACGGCGACTCGCAGGTGCTCATGCTCAACCGCCCTTTCTTGCTTCTTCTCCTTCTACCTCCACTGCACTGCATGCATGGTGCCCGTTGCAGTGATTGGCCTTCCCGTTTCCCCGCTTCTGCCCCTCCTGTTGTGCGTCTCTCTCGTCCCCAGCTGATATGACTATCTGAGCTCCCAGCAGCAGCAGGTGGAGCGGTCAGGCCAGGCCCATGCCACCATGGACATGGTCGTGCCATCATGGACATGGTCGTGCCATCATGGACATGGTCGTGCCATCATGGACATGGTCGTGCCATCATGGACATGGTCGTGCCATCATGGACATGGTCGTGCCACCATGGACATGGTCGTGCCATCATGGACATGGTCGTGCCATCATGGACATGGTCGTGCCATCATGGACATGGTCGTGCCATCATGGACATGGTCGTGCCACCATGGACATGGTCGTGCCATCATGGACATGGTCGTGCCATCATGGACATGGTCGTGCCATCATGGACATGGTCGTGCTACACCTTCCCTTCCTCCTCCCTCCCCCTCTTCTCCCCTCTGTTCCCTACTCTTCTTCCGCTCCCCTGCGCTGTTCCCCCCTCCCTCTTGAGCGGGCAGCTGGGTGGAGGAGGTGGAGCGGTGTGTGAGCCTGGGGCCCATCCCATCCCATCGTGGGCATGCATGGCTGTGGTGGACCTGCACCGCCCTTGTGTCTCTTGCCGCCCCCCCACCCCCCCCTTCCTGCACACCTACCCCTCTTTGCATGTCTCTTGCTCAGCTGATCCGCCTGTCGGAGCACCCAGCAGCGGCGACAGGCAGCTACGTGGAGGAGATGGAGCGGATGGTGAATCTGGGCCCCATCGTGGACATGGCGGTGGTGGACCTCGACCGCCAGGGGCAGGGCCAGCTCGTCACCTGCTCGGGGGCCTTTGGCGACGGGTCGCTCAGGGTCGTGCGCAACGGCATCGGCATCAACGAACAGGTGCGGGTCGTGTCGTGTGGTGTTTGCAAGTGCACCCGTATTCTCTTCCTTTCGCTCCCCCTCTGCACCCCCCTTCCCACTCCAGTTCTCCCACACCGTATGCGTGCTTGTTTCTCACACTCACCAGCAAGCTGTCGGTGCGCGCGCGCTTCTTGTAACTTGCTTTGCCGCGCGCGCACACACCGGGCGACGGTGGAGGTGGAGGGCACAAAGAGCATGTGGTCGCCAGAGATGAACGCATGAGACCTGTGCCACGTACTATCAACGCATCCAGCACAAGCGTTAGCATGCTTGCTTACTCCCTTTCCTGCCTTCCCAACCTGTGCCGTTCACCAGGCTACGGTAGAGCTGGAGGGCATAAAGGGCATGTGGTCGCACACGCACTCGCTCTTTGCCTCTCCATCCACCTTTTTACTCTAACCTCCCACACACGAGTGCCCCACACACGACACCAGGCAACGGTGGAGCTGGAGGGCATAAAGGGCATGTGGTCGCTGCGGCGGGGCACGTGGGAGGAGCACGACACGTTGCTGGTGGTGACGTTTGTGAGTGAGACGCGCTCGCTGGCCATCAACGACGACGACGAGCTGGATGAGACCGACGTGCTCGGCTTCGACCAGCACGCGCAGACGCTCTTCTGTGGCAACGTGCTGCACGACCAGATCGTGCAGGTGCGTGGCTGGTGTGCTGTGGCGTGGTTGGGGTGGGGTGGGTGGGTGGGTGAGGTGATCCTTGCTCCTTGTTTCCCAGGCCTGTGAATGTCGAGGCACGATGTGCCCAGCTGCGCACACGCTGCTTTGTGCACATGTTGTCGTGAACAGCCCGTGCAGGATAGGTTGGGTGGGTGCCCGCCTTTCCTTGTGCTGCTCTGCTCTGCATGCTCTTCTCTGTAACAGCAGCAGGCATGCGCAGGCTTCCACTCCCATTCTGAGACGCTCTTCTGAGCGGGTGGGTGAATTCTGCAGGCGGGAGAAGCTTTGCTTTGACCCCCTTTCCCAGTCCTGTCCTGTCTTCTTTCTCTACCAGCCGTACCTGTTAGGCCAGCCTGACCTGTTCACAGCATCCCTCACAGTCATCCCCATTGCATCACCCCCCAGGTGGCGTCATTGGAGCTGCGGCGGGTGGTGAATGCACACTCGCTGCAGCAGCTGGCGGGGAGGACGCTTGCAAAGCCCCGCTTTCCCTTACAATCAACCCCTCAATCAATTTCTTCTCTTTTCACCCCGCAATCATCCCCCTCATACACCCCCTTCCCCCCCCCCCCCCCCCCCCAGGTGACGTCATCGGAGCTGCGGCTGGTGAATGCGCACACGCTGCAGCAGGTGAACGAGTGGCGGGCACCCGCTGGCGCATCCATCAACGTCGCCACCGCCAACCTCTCCCAGGTGCGCCTCTGGTCACCGCAAGTCATTCCAGTCACCGCGAGTCAACGGGGATGAGATGAGAGGTTGTACGTGCAGGAATGGTAACGAGTAAGTTACGATCACTGCCACTGCTAGCCTCGCACCAGCAAGGTGAATCTGCCGTCAACTCACCTGCAACAGCTTAGCAGCGGTCCCAGGAGGAACCATGCGTCCCTCCCCGCATTCCCGTGAGAGTTCAGGCTTCGTTGCTGCTACCAATTCTGTACTAATGATATGGTGAACCGATCGTTCTTCAAGCAATCAATTTGTAGAAGAATTGCTCGCTGGGGCAATACCAATATTCTCGGGTCTCCTTTCCTTTCCCCCAGGTGCTGCTTGCAACTGGGGGGGATGGAGGAGGGTGAGGATGTGGGTTGCTCGCTGGTATGCATGGAGGCACGCCGTCTTTGTCTCTGCGCCCCCCAATGTTCTTCACTCCACTCTCTCGTTTCCAAACAGTGTTTCCTGGGCGTTCATTGACGTTCCTTTCTCCCCCAGGTGCTGCTGGCGACGGGGGGCGGCACGCTGGTGTACATAGAGGTGGGCGAGGGCACGCTGACAGAGAGGACGCACGTGACGCTGGAGCATGAGATCGCGTGCCTTGATGTCACTCCCATCACTGATGACAATGCCATGGCAGATGGTGAGTATGGGGGTGCCTGGCAGATGGCATTTGCTGTGTGGTGTACACGCCTTGGGATGTGTGTGTATGAATGACCGTGGAGCATGAAATCGCGTGCCTTGATAATGCCACGGCGGATGGTGCGTGGGCAAGTGCTGTGTGCTGTGTGCTGTGTGCTGTGTGGCGCGCGGCGCGCGGGGCGTGTGCCGTGTGCTGTTCTGAGACGTCTCACAAGCCATGCAACATTGGCGCATGAGATTGGCGCATGAGATTGCGTGCGTTGATGAATGACAATAAGGCCACTGTGAACGTGGTGGATGGATGGTGGCCATGTTCTGTGTTGAGCATGTTGCATGCTGCATGCTGAATGACGCATGCTGCATGCTGCATGCATGGTGCATTGTGCATGCGCGCGCGGCATGTTGCAACTGCTGCTGCCGCTGCCGCTGTCGCTGCTGCTGTCGCCGCCGCCGCCGCCGCCACTGCTACTTCTGCTGGAGCTACCACCCTCAGCTATCTCTTGCTGTGCTCATCCCACTCGGCCCTCCCACCCGCCAGGCACAGTCCCCAAGGCGGCATTTGCGGCAGTGGGCATGTGGACGGACATGAGTGTGCGAGTGCTGCGCCTGCCGGGGCTGGAGGAGGTGCACAAGGAGGTGCTGGGGGGGGAGATCATCCCGCGCTCCGTGCTCATGTGCTGCCTCGAGCAGGTGGGTGCTCATGTGCTGCCTCGAGCAGGTGGGTGGTTGTGTGCTGGTTGCAGCAGGTGGGTGGTTGTGGGCTGGTTGCAGCAGGTGGGTGGTTGTGTGCTGGTTGCAGCAGGTGGGTGGTTGTGTGCTGGTTGCAGCAGGTGGGTGGTTGTGTGCTGGTTGCAGCAGGTGGGTGGTTGTGTGCTGGTTGCAGCAGGTGGCAATTGTGTCGTCGCAGTTTTCCATCCATACCATAGCAGCGGGTCTCAACATGTTGTGTCACGTCTCAAAACCGTCACAGCCGCCAGTTCACTCCACTCTCCTTCACCTCTTCTCTCTCCATTCCAAATCTCCTCTCCCCGCTCCACCTTTCCTCCGTCTCTCAACACCCCAGGTGCCTTACCTCCTCTGCACGTTGAGCAACGTATCGTCAGAGTGAGTTCACTCAAGACAAGCCACTCTCCGTTACCCCCTCGCCCCTCTTTCCCCCTGGCCCCACAGGTGCCGTACCTGCTGTGTGCGCTGGGCGACGGGCATCTGTTCAACTTCCACCTCGACCGCGAGACCGGGCAGCTGTCTGACCGGAAAAAAGTCTCCCTGGGCACGCAGCCCATCGCGCTGCGCACGTTCCGGTCGCGCGACGCCACGCACGTGTTTGCGGCGTCGGACCGGCCGACGGTGGTGCACAGCAGCAACCGCAAGCTGCTCTACTCCAACGTGAACCTCAAAGAGGTCACCCACATGTGCTCCTTCAACTGCGCCTCCTTCCCCGACAGGTGGGCCACGCGGACGGTGGGCGGGTACTGAGGGAATGGAGGTGCACTTTTGACTGTTGATTCGACTCAAATTCATTGAGAGGAGAGAAAACGTGCACTTATTTTCTTCTGCAGTTTTGTGTGTTCGTATGGGGATGTGAAGTGAAAGGTCACACAATAATTCATGAGCTTATGATTACATGCTTTTGGTCAACTTGCCCTGGTCTGGTTCTTCTAATCGGTGTCTTGTCCCGGTAGGTACTTTGTGACAAATCGAGAAGGTGAACCGATGATTGTCTTGACATAGGATGGGGTTTACATAGTTGGAGCTAGAAAAAGAGGCGGGGTGGTTGGGTACTTGGCAAACATTATTGGCCCCCACCAATAAGCTGGGTTGAGGAATTATTGGGGGTCCCAATAATGTTGGCCAAAGTTGGGCCAACATTATTGGGAAGCAATAGATTCCTAACCCAACCTTGAGGTCAAATATCTGCGCCAAGGTTGGTTGGTTCACAACCCCCAACTAGGATTAACCTTAGGTGTGCACCCAAACATATTTTGGGCGCCTATCTCTATCATAGGTTTATAGCATCAACGTAGGGTACGAGGAATAGCATAATCTAACAACTTTACCGATCTCCCTCACTCTATTCCTTGCTTTCTCTTTCGCGTCTCCATCATGGTCCGTTCTGGTTTGTTATCTCCAACACAAGTCTCTCACCCTTGCCTCTTTTCTGTCTGAAATTCAAGCACTAGCCAGGGAGGGAGGCCCGACCATCACCACTCCTATAGGCGTACACATGACTTCTCACATCACACGCACACATGGCCTCTCACATCACACGCTCTGTCACCTTCCCTCTCCCCGCCTCACTTCGGATTCAACATCACAGCCTACCAGTGGCAAAGGGAGGAGGCCTCTCCATTGGCGGCAACGATCCTTTTCAGAGGCTGCACAGCCGTGCAGTGCCTCTCAGGCAGCAGCTTGTGAGCCATCCTTGGAAACCAATTGAGTGACGTGCGTGCGCGTTACCTACAGGACACTGCACATCCACCTCTCGCCACGTGTCCCCTTCCACCCACCTGTGTTGTCCTGCCACCCACCCGTACTGCCCTGGCAGCCTGGCGCTGGCGAAGGAGGGCGATCTGACGATTGGCAGCATTGACGACATTCAGAAGCTGCACATCCGCACCGTGCCTCTCCGGGAGCAGCCCAGGCGCATCTGCCACCACGAGCAGTCGCACTCCATCGCTGTCACCACCATCAAAGTCAGCCTTGTGAGTATCACTCCGCTGATCACTCCCTGTTTTCATTGTTACACTATGTCTCCCGCCTCACCACCCTGCCTTCACCTCCTTACCTCATCTCTGCGTGTGTCCCCCGGCTATTCCTGTGTGAAGCTATTCAGTGCCACCGTGTTCACCCGTCTCTCTCGCCGTTTCCGCCATATCCTTCTTTCGTCGTTGTGAATCCACCGCTCCAGCGATCTGCACGTCAATGTGTCCCTGCACCTTGTCACCCCTCTCAACCACTCTCCCCTTGTCCCTGTGTGTGTCGCTTCACAGCATTCACCCGTGTCTCTCACCGCTAGATCACTCTCCCCTCACCCTTTCTCCATGTGAACGGGGAGGAGGCGGCGACCCACTATGTGCGCCTGCTTTGCGTCTCTCCCAACACGCTCTGCTCTGCAGCCGTCTCCCTCCCCACTGCCACCACAGTCGCCCATCTCTCTCACCTCTACCTTGCACGCTCTCGCTGCACCCATTCTCGCCGGTGAAGGGAGTGGAGGTGGACACTCACTTCATGCGCCTCTTGAGCCACACGTTTCACCCGCCGTCCCCATCTGCCCCTCCCATCTGCCTCTGTTGCCCCATCTGCCTCTGTTGCCCCATCTGCCTCTGTTGCCCCATCTGCCTCTGTTGCCCCATCTGCCTCTGTTGCCCCATCTGCCTCTGTTGCCCCATCTGCCTCTGTTGCCCCATCTGCCTCTGTTGCCCCATCTGCCTCTGTTGCCCCATCTGCCTCTGTTGCCCCATCTGCCTCTGTTGCCCCATCTGCCTCTGTTGCCCCATCTGCCTCTGTTGCCCCATCTGCCTCTGTTGCCCCATCTGCCTCTGTTGCCCCATCTGCCTCTGTTGCCCCATCTGCCTCTGTTGCCCCACCGTCACCATGTGTTTTCGCCCACTGACACCACAGTCGCCCATCTCTCTCCATGTCGAATGGCCCTTCATTAAATAAGCGTGATAAATACAGCACACTCATGTCTCTCCATCTCTCTCTCACCTCTAGTGTGCTCGCTCGCTGCATGCACGCCCCCGCGCCCAGGTGAACGGGGAGGAGGCGGAGAGCCACTACGTGCGCCTGCTGAGCGACCAGACGTTTGACCAGCTGTCGCACGTGGCCCTGGAGCCGTTTGAGAACGGCTGCTCCATCATCGCCTGCTGCTTCGCTGATGACCCCACCGCCTACATCGTCGTCGGCACCGCCTTCGCCTTCCCCGACGAGCAGGAACCCACCAAGGTGCTCCCACTCCCAGTAGTTTCCGATGCTCTTTTCTCTTTCTACTCTACCGGAGAACCATTAGTGCTGCCGTGTGGCCCTCCGCTGATTCTTGGGAATTTCTAAAGACCACCGCCTTACCCTTCCCCATTGACGAAGGACACACCAGGGCGCTGTTTGTACGCACCCACCCATAGGGCCGAAAGTGCCACATACCAGGGGCCCCCCACGTTGCCCCTTGAGCGCGACAGTAACAGTCACGTGCGAGTGAGGTCATTATGAAATCAAAAGGCAAGCCAGCAAGGTGCTTAGTGGCACTGTGGCACATCTCGTCAAACGATATCTGTCATATGTTTGGTAGGCTAGGTTGCATATGCTAGGGCATACTTGAAATGACCCCGTTTGCCATTCTACTTGTCACTCTCGTTTCTCATCCAACTTTGACACATCTACCATCTCTTCCACCTCCCATGCCTTTCCGTTTCTTTCTCCCTTTCCCCCCACGGCCTCGACCCACTCCCCCTTCTTTCCTTTTCATCCCCCTTGCCACTCTCGACCTGCTCGTGATCTGCACTTGGGCTGAAAAGGAATCAAGAGAGTTGACTATGTGCTCTTCTTGAAGCGCACTCAACTCTCTTCCCTCAACCCGCAACTCTCCTCCACCCCTGTGTGCTGTGGCCGTGCAGGGCCGCATCCTGGTGCTGTGTGTGGAGGGCGGCAAGCTACAGGTGGTGGCGGAGAAGGAGACCAAGGGCGCCGTGTACACGCTCAACGCCTTCAACGGCAAGGTGCTGGCGGGCATCAACAACAAGGTGCAGCTGCTGCGCTGGGCGCCGCGCGACGACGGCGGCAGGGAGCTGCTGGTGGAGTGTGGGCACTTTGGGCACATCCTGGCGCTGTACACGGCGTGCCGGGGGGACTTCATTGTGGTCGGCGACCTCATGAAGAGCATGTCACTGCTCGTCTACAAGGTGGGTGCTTTTCTCTCACACCGCTCCCTGAAGCAGCAGCTCATCCCTGGCTTCTTTTCTGTTCCTGGCCCTTCCATACGTTTTCCTTCCCACCTGCTCCTTCATCTGTCGTGCTGCAGCACCCGGGTCTATCTTGCCACACTACCCTCCTCCTCCTTCGTCCCCTCCTCTCCCTCTTCTCCCTCCTCCCCCTGGCAGCAAGAGGAGGGGGCGTTGGAGCTGAGGGCGCGCGACTTCAACGCCAACTGGATGACGGCGGTGGAGGTGCTGGACGATGACGTGTACATCGGCGCCGAGAACAGCTTCAACCTCTTCACCCTCCGCAAGAACGGCGACGCGCCCACCGACGAGGAGAGGGGGCGCCTCGAGGTGCGTGCCTGGGATCTCACACCATCCTGTGCCTGGGATCTCACACCATCCTGTGCCTGGGATCTCACACCATCCTTTGGTCGACCCTCGCGTTTTGCTACCTTTGGTCCCTGGGGGTGCTTTCAATCGGGTTCAAGAAGCTCAGGAATGAGTGACTCTCTCGCCATCGCTGTGCTGGGCCAAGTCAATGCCACAACACAACCAACACCCTCCAACGCCCGCCGCCCCGTACAGGTGGTGGGTGAGTGCCACCTGGAAGAGTTTGTGAATCGCGTGCGGCACGGGTGGCTGGTGATGCGGTGGCTAGACTACAGCAGGGCGTGGGGGGAGTACCCGTGGTGGTACAGTGAACCCGGTTGCAACAGCTCACCAAACATGTCTGAGCCTCCCCATACACAAACCTACTCCACAACTAACCCCCCTGCCCGCCTCTGCAGGTGGTGGGCGAGTACCACGTGGGCGATGTTGAGGCGCCACAAAGATATAGTTAGCTCATAATCGCCAACCCCCGTCCCTCCCCGCCCATGCAGGTGGTGGGCGAGTACCACGTGGGCGAGTTTGTGAATCGCTTCCGCCACGGGTCGCTGGTGATGCGGTTACCGGACTCAGAGACGGCCAGCATCCCCACGCTGCTCTTCGGCACTGTCAGCGGCGCCATCGGGGTCGTTGCCTCGCTGCCGCAGGACCTCTTCTCCTTCCTGCACCGCCTGCAGGTGCGTCTCTTGCTGGGTGTGCTTGTGAATGTATGTGTGCCTCCTCACTCTTTTTTTAGGACGTGTATGATTTTTTTCTAGGTTCGAAAATCAGGTCGAACTTTGTTTGGTTACCCGATTCGTTAATTTTGCGAAAGCTTTGTGACGAAAGACTTTCCTTTTGAAGACGTGGCAAATTCGACCTAGGTTTTCCGAACTCGACTCGAGTAAATGCATTAATGTGGGCGCGTACAGTGAACCGAACGTGTGTGGTTTTGCGCACGTACAACAATTAACGAGTTCTGCGAAGTTTTTGCGACACAATGTAACCCTCGTCAAAATTCGCAATCAGTATGTTGAAGTGGCGCGATGTCTACAAAATTAACCTGGTAACCTACAGCCCCTACGAGCGGCTCGGCTCACCCCCTATAAGGTCGAACATTCAAATTCGACCTGGGGTGTGTGATTTGACCCACTTGAAACCCTCATGCGCGGTTCAAAATTCACGTTCAATGGAAGTCGAACACTGTTCGGCTCAAGTTCAAATGCTACATTCGACAAAAAAAATGCAAACTTTGCCAATTTCAAAAATCATACACGTCCTTAGCCGCCCCAAATCCCATCAGGGTGGTTGCCTCGCTGCCCCGGGGCCCCTTTTTCCTTCCTCCACCGCAGTGCGTGTGTGTGTGCCACCCCCTTGCTCCCACTCACCTTTTTTCTTTGCCTGACACATTTTGTCTTATCTCTCTTGAGTGGCCTCACAGCAGCTAGTTTAAGGTGTATCGTAGCATCCTCTTGCTGTTGCTTTATCTAGCCTGCATTGCTGAAGCACCCCTCCCCGTCCCACCCCACCTCCCCAGCGCTCCGCCTGCAGGTGTGTCCAACGAGGGTGATCAAGGCCGAAGACAGCCTGTCTCTCACACATTTTAAATCCGCCCTCCCTCCCCCTTCCCCAACCTCGCGCCTGCAGGTGTGTCTAACGAAGGTGATAAAGGGTGTGGGCGGGCTGTCACACGCGGAGTGGCGCAGCTTCCACAACGAGCGCAAGACGGTGGACAGCAAGGGCTTCATCGACGGCGACCTAATTGAGGCGTTTCTGGACCTGAAGAGGGAGCGCATGGCGGAGGTGGCGGAGCAGATGAAGGTGCCTGTGGAGGAGCTGTGCAAGAAGGTCGAGGAGCTCACCCGCCTGCACTGACCAGCTCACTACTCTCAGATACTCTGACCTGCTCTGAGCTGCTCAGGAAACTGGAACGCGGATTCGTGGTGGCGGCGATGGTGGTTGTGGTGGTGACCCTGAGCAGCCTCCAGAGGGTGAAGCTGACTGCGCTCACGAGTTGCTCGCTCGATATGTTACCCTGCACTGAGCTGCGCTAAGGGATGGAGGCGCGGTTGTGGCAGCGATGCAGTGATGCAGTGATAGTTGAGGAGCGTAGCAAAGGGCGGCGCCGATGAAGGTGCCTCAGGAGGAACTCTGAGAGGTGGAGTGGAGCATTATGGTGCAGGGGCGGATGATGGTGGAGGGGCGGATGATGGTGGAGGGGCGGATGATGGTGGAGGGGCAGATGATGGTGCATATGGAGGCATTTGCCTGAAGGTTAGGGCGGAATAGGGAAGTTAGTGGGTTGCAGTGCAGCAGTGGGAAATAACAGCCCTGGGGCAGAGGGTGTAGAGGGGAACTCAGTGGCATAACCACAGTGTACTCAGTATAGACTGATGGGTTCGCTAGGGTAGCTTTGCATGGACCAATCAGTGGTGACTCGCATGATAGCATTGCATGTGTTGAACACATGATCAGTGCAGTCAGGCATGCCGGAGCAAGGGCGCTCACTTGCATTTTGCACTGTATTGTGGTAGTCCCATGGAATGAGATGACAGGTTGATTTGCAGCTGTAGGAACACATGGGTGGAGGTGTGTGACAGGTGGCATGGCAGGATGCATACAACTGCCTAACACGAGTGACGGCATAGGTGGCAACTAGTGAGTAATGTTACTTGTTACATTTTGTGTTGTGTGAAGTAAAGCGTGAATAACGCTATTGATTACCATACCATATCAGTACAAAGAAGCCTGATAGCATGTGTCCTGCAAACAAGGAGTACAAAGTATATCATAGCCATCACAAGATATTGACTGTGATGTGACTGCATACAAATATACTCTTCTCCTCTCTCTGCTTGACCCCCCACTCCCTCCACCAACTCAAGTCCCCCCTCCCTATTCCTCCTTTATATTCTCCTCTTCCACCTCCTCACCACCCCCCTCTCACCTCCCCATCCCTGCCTTCCTCTTCCTCTTCCTCGTCTCATCTCCAGCTCACTTCACCTCCTCTCCCTTTTCCCTGACTCCCCTACCCTTCACTCCTCTCCCCTTCGCTCTCCTCTCCTTCCTCCCCTTCACTCCACTCATCCTCCTCCTCTGTCCCCAATTCCTCCTCATCCTCTTCCTCCCCATCCTCTTCCTCCCCATACTTTTCCTCCCCATACTCTTCCTCCCCATCCTGTTTCTCCGTCCTCCTCATTCTCCCCATCCTCCTCCTCCCCGTCCTCTTCCTCCCCGTCCTCTTCCTCCCCATTCCTCCCCATTCTCTTTCCCCCCATCCTCTTTCTCACATCCTCTTCCTCCCCATCCTCTTTCTCCCATCCTCTTCCTCCCCATCCTCTTCCCCCCCATTCTCTTCCTCCCAATCCTCTTTCTCCCATCCTCTTCATCCCCATCCTCTTCCTCTCCATCCTCTTTCTCCCATCCTCTTCCTCCCCATCCTCTTCCTCCCCATCCTCTTCCTCCCCATCCTCTTCCTTCCCATTCCCGTCCTCATCCTCGTCCTCCCCATCCTCTGGCACCAGATCATCCCCGCACACCGAGGCACCCACAGCGCGCTCTCCCTCGTCCAGGTGGTAGACCACCATCCTCCATTCAACCCCCACCACCGGGCAATCACTCACAATGCATGTCTGCAGCTTCCCCATCTGCTGCAGCCCCCTGGGTAACCGGGCCAGCCGATTGCATTTGTACAGGTCCAAGTTCTCCAAACCGGGCAGCTGCGAAAAATTATTGGGCAGGCTTCGGAGATTGGGCAGGAACGCCAAAGAGAGGTCCACGAGAGAAGAGAGCTTCCAGAAGTCGTGAGGAAAGCTCGAGATTCCGACAATGGACAAACCACACCGCTGCAATCCGCTGAGGTCAGGGAAGGACTCGGGAAGCCTCGTTAGGCTCGGGCTGTTGTGAATCTGAAGAGACTGAAGCTTCTTCAGCTGCCCCAATGATTCGGGCAGCTCAGTCAAGCCCATGAGACCGTTCAAATAGAGGGATGTGAGTGCTGAGAGCTTCCCTATCGTCTTCGGTAGAGCTAGCAGGCTTTTGGCATGGTTGATCGCGAGTGACTGCAAGCAAGAGAGGCGAGAGATGGACTCTGGCAGCGATTGGAGGCGATCCATGTCGAGGATTTGCAGGCTTGTTAGCGACGGGAAGCAGCCCAGCGATGGACCGAGCTGCTGCAGGGGAAGCTCTGCAAGCTCAAGGACCTCCAGGGATGGCAGCAACACACCCGTACCACTCTTCTCGCACCCCCGTGCGGCTCTGTTGCTACCCGTGTGACCAGCTAGCTCCAGACGGGCGATTCTTCCCCCACGCTCTTGCCCAGCGGCTCCCGAGCGTGCACCCCCCGTGCGTGCACCCCCCGTGCGCGCACCCTCCTGGTCTTCATCCCCAAACAGAGACTCCAATGCGCTGCAGGAACTCACATGCAAAGATTTTAACCGTGGCAGCTGATACAGCGAGCGAGGGAGCGACTTCAAGTTGGGTAGTTGTGAGAGCTTAAGTGTAACAAGCTCTCCCAGCCGTCCGATCTCCTCCGGCACCGCCTTGATTCGCGTGGACCTGACGACCACGAGGTTGGTGAGGGTGCAGGCGAAGGCAGGGAGGGAGGCATTGAGGGAGGAGAGATAGAGCTCCTTGAGGCTTGTCAAGTGGGAAAACCTGCCTGGTAGTGTGCCTCGTAAGCTGGTTGCTTCACAGATTGCTAGGTGTCGCAGGGACGCAAGGCTGGAGAAGGATCTAGGGAGGTGGGTGAGAGCCGTGCAGTCGAGCAGACACAGTATGCGCAAGCTATGCAGACCATCCCCAATGCCGTGCGGTAGCGATCTCAGCTTGCAGCAGTCATTGATTTGCAGTCGCTCGAGGGAAGATAGCTGACTTAGGGAGTCTGGAAGCTGCGTCAGCAGGCTGCACTCGGCTATTTTCAGCTCCTTGAGGCTCGTCAGGTTGCCAAGCGACGCCGGCAGGCGGCTAAGCTGCGGGAGCTTAGCTAAGCGCAGCGTCTCCAGGGCAGTCAGCTGCCCGAAATCCTCGGGTAGCGATTGAAGAGCTCTGAAGTTTTGCAGCGTGAGTTTCTTGAGTGCAGTGGCAAGGGTTATGGAGTGAGGCAGATGCGCGAGAGTTTTGATGTCTAGCGTGAGCGTGTGTAGGTGTGGCAGGAAACCGACGTCGTCCGGCAGATGGTGGAGTGTTAGGCCGGCGAGAATAAGGTCCGTCAGGGAAGGCAGGCAGGAAAGGGAGGTGGGGAATGATCTTAAATCGTCGCAGTAGGTTAATGAAAGGAGCCGCAGCCGCTGCAGCTGCCCGAGACTGGCGGGCAGGTCGGTAATCTCCCTCACCTCCTCCAAACGCAGGGTTTCAAGCGCCGGCATGTTTCCAAAACTCTCGGGCAGAGGTGAAAGGTCTGAGCAGCTGGAAATTTCGAGCGTCAGCAGGGACGAGAGGTTCGAGATAAATTCGGGCAGCTGAAGCCTTGTCCTGGAACCGCTGATGGAAAGATGTGTTAAGTTGGTTAGCTGCCCGAATGAATGGGGAATGGAGCTGAGCCGCATGCAGCCGTTGAAATGAAGGGACTTGAGCATCCTCAGATTGCCGAAGCCCTGAGGCAGTTCATCCAGGCCGTGCATTTCAATCTTGAGATGCGTGAGTGAATGCAACGAGGTGAACGCGTCTGGAAGGAGAGCGATTCCCCCCCTGTCGGTGATGTGCAGGCTCTTAAGAGACGCGAGGCCGTCGATCGAAGAGGGAATGGCGGTCAGATTTGACTGACAATCAAGACGAAGACCGTCCAGCCGTGTGCATTTCTTAAAAAGATACGAAAGACCGTTCTCAGTGAACCCCCCGCGTACGTTCCGTCGTTTCATCGTATCGACGTGGAGGTCCGTCAGATCTGGACACGTGTCAGAAATCCCCGAAAGGAGGGAGTCAGGGACGGACGCGATGCTTCCATTGGCGAGGACGAGCTTTCGGAGCCTTGGGAATGACGAGAGGAGCGCGAGCAGCTCATGAGGACGCATGCGACGCTCTTCGCGAATCTGGATATGGTCGTGCACGCTATGGGTGATTCTGAGCCATTCCTTGCACACAAGCGCGTGCTGGAACTGGCCGTCGGATTGACCGACTAAACGAAAGATAACGGAGAGAAGATCGTCTGACAGCCGTCCGATCGGTGATGCAGCATCCATTCTGTCTAATAGATTAGTTGCAATGGGGCTTAGGTAAATGCTCGAAGACCAATAAGGTCGCAGTGAGAGTCCGCAAACCAGTTCACAAATAGCATCGAATTCTCAGCTGCCGTGGGAATCCCTAGTCAAGAAAAGTCTCTGAGAAAGTCGCTGTGCGAGTTCTGGTGCAGTTACGTGTCTAAGAAAACCGCTCTGGGGATTCTTATACGACTGTCTCTGGGGGAATCGCTGCGTGAATCGTTGCAAGAAAGGCTCTGGGGGAGTCAACGTGGGAGTTCCAGGGCAAGCAAGTCTCCGTGAGTCGCTCTGGCAGTTGGGCAATCCCTAGGCTGGATCCCAAGCACTGCTGTACAGCGTGTTGCGTGAGGTGAAACCCCCGCCTCTGCCGCAAGATCCACTGCAGCGGATGACGGTGGGTTTCGGGTTTGGGTGATGTTACGTTTGGGGCTCCAGTAGATTTCACAGCGAAGATATCCCCTCTCTTGTTCTATTCTTCACTATCAGCGTTACTTTCAATTTTTGTAAGAATGAAGACTTCGCATAATGTTTTTCCCTCTTGGGGGGAACAACTACAACCCTACCAAAGAAACATTCCTGCATAGTTGAACTCCACAACGGCTTCCACTCGTAATGAGTAATCGACATTAGGTTGGGTGGAGGTGTCAAAATGAAGAATGGATGGTGCATTGATGTTGGTTGGGGTACATATAGCTAACCCTAAGTTTTGTACCCCCTAAGACAAACCTCACTATAGGCTACAACATTTGACACACCCCCATAGCCTAAGTGAGGGGTGTCTAGCAGAACCAAACGAGTACGGTCACAAGACCAGTCCAAGAAACAAAGCTCAGGGTGGATCACAACGTCACCACACAGTCTGAGCACAAACAACAGTGGCCACAAGGCCAGTCCAAGAAGTAACAGAGATATATAGAAAGCAAAGTAAACAGTACACTCAAGTCTAAGCAACACGAGAACCAGTGTCAACAAGGCCTAACTGCACACAGCACCTCTGGTGGTCACAAGGCGGAAGCGCCTTGGTGAAGATGTCTGCAGTGTTGGCCTCGGACTCCACAAACTCAAAGCGAGCCTGTCCACGCCTCTGCAACTCTCGCAGAAGAAAGTACCTGACGTGAATGTGCTTCACTCTGCTCTCCAGTCGTGGCTCTCGACAAAGGAGAATAGACGCCTTGTTGTCAGTGAACAAGGTCGGTGCAGAGCTCGGCCGCTCACCAAGGTCGGTGAGCAAGAAGGTCAACCAACGCAGCTCCTGTGCCGCCATGGCACCAGCGTAGATCTCAGCCTCAGCTGTAGAGGTCGAGACCGAAGAGGAGCGCGTGGACCGCCAGGAAACAGCTCCAGAACCCAGGCTGAAACAGTACCCCTGAGTAGACCTGTGAGTCTCAGCGTCGTCAGCGTAAGAGGAGTCACAGTGACCAGTAAGTACGACAGACTGCTGCCCTCCAAGAACTAGCCCCACGCCTGACGTCGTCGCTAGGTACTTCGCCACCCTCACAGCTGCTGTCCAGTGAACAGGACGGTGTCTCCCTGGCGCAACAAAGCGCGCAAGAACGCTGAGAGGGAAGGCGAGGTCCGGGCGAGTACAAGTCATCAGGTACATGAGGCAACCCACAAGCTCTGCGTAGGGACCACTAGGCTCGAACGGCTCGTCAGGAAAGGGTCCAGTGAGTCTGTGGTCAACAGCAAGAGGTGTGCGCTGTACTGTGGAGTGCTGAAGCCCGAACCGCTGAAGGACCTGCTGCACCATGTGCGACTGTGAAAGTGTAATGGTGCGAGCAGCTCTGTCCCTGGTGATCTGCAGGCCAAGGTAGTGGCGCAGCTCACCAAGATCAGTGCAGGTGTGTCTCTTCTGCAGTTCGGACTTCACGTGTGCCAAAGCAACCCTGTCAGGGGTGGCGAAAACAAGGTCGTCAACGTAGACCAGAACAAAGAAAGGTGTGGTGCCACGACGAACGAACAGCGACGGGTCAGCAGAAGACGGCTGGAACCCAAGGTCAGACAGGGTAGAACGCAGGGTGTCGTGCCACTCACGAGGAGCCTGACGAAGACCGTAAACCGGTCGCCTCAGCCTCCACTGGGTCCCAGGAGGGAAAGAGCCAGTGAAGGCAGAGGGACGACGCAACCAGACCTCCTCGTGAAGACTGCCCTGAAGGAAAGCAGTAGAGAAGTCGAGAGAGTGTAACTCGTAGTCTCTCTGTGCTGCTACGTGTAGTAACACCCGAAGAGTGGTCATCTTCGGGGTGGGCGCGAAGGTCTGAAAGAAGTCAACTCCCTCGCGCTGACTGAAACCTCTAGCCACGTAGCGCGCCTTGAAGACCGGAGGAGATCCCGGTGGCCGCTTCACCCTGTAGATCCACATGCCGTCGACTACGTTCGCCCCCGGAGGGGGAACCTCATCGACGTAGGTGCCTGTGGATCTGTAGGAGGCCATCTCTGCGTCCATGGCAGCTCTCCACTGAGAGGCCCAAGGCCCTGACACTGCCTCAGCGTAAGTGCGAGGAGTCGGAATGTCAAGGGCGTCGGGGTCACCCTCAGGGGCGAGGAGCATGGCACAGAGATGAGGGGAAGCGGCCGCCAGGAACTCTAGCTCAAACTGCCTGTCCTCTAGGGCGTCACAGCCAAGGGCAGACACACCCCCGACGGCCAGAGGACTGGAAGGAGGAGCAGCCACAAGAGCGGTGGCGAAGTCAAGGCGGCGGGTAGAGGCAAACTCAGTGACTGCGGCAGTAAGAGCGGACACAGAGGACACAGAGGCACGAGGGTGGGTAACAAGAGAGGCGAGAACACGAGAGAGAACAGGACGGTACGTGCGGTAGTAGTCAGTGACAGGAGTAGGGAGCGACGCAGTGAGAGCCGACTCAGGAGGAGACGGAAGCACAGACGGAGACGGACGAGGTGGACTAGAACGAAGTAAGGCAGTACGAAGGTCAGTGAAGGGAACAGGAGACGAGGGACGAGCACGAGGGGAGCGACGAGAGGCCCAAGTCTGAGAAGGAGGAGGGGACAACGAAGACTGAGAACGAGGGAAAACAGCGGGAGAGGGGTCAGGAGGAGGAAGCGGAGGACCAGAGACGGGAGGAGAGGGGGAGGAGGAAGGAGAGGGAGACGGGAGACCAAGGGTCCGAAGACCCGAGACAGGAGGAGGAGACGGCAGCAGCTGCTGCTGCTGCTGCTGCGGCTGCTGCGGCTGCTGCTGCTCCAGCGGCTGCTGCTCCTGCTGCTGTCGCTCCTGCTCCTCGAGCCGCTGCAACTCTCTCTCCTCTCTCTCCAACTCCAGCTGCTCCTCACGAGCACGACGAACACGAGCCTGGAACCTGGTCGGGTAGGGGTGGGGGGAAGGAGTAGTGTCCGGGGCAGCGGCAGCCCCAGAGTCGACCTCCGAAGCACCAAGCACACCACCCCCAGAGGCAGCACCAACACCAGCTCCAGACCCAGGCTCTCCAGAAACCGAAGGAACACCCTCACCCCCAGACGCAGCACCAGCACCCCCAGACTCCGCACGACCAGTACCAGCCCCCGGAGGAGAAGAGTCCTCTGCAACCCGCGGCTCAGCTCCAACTCCAGCACCCCCAGAACCAGAGACCTGTACAGGGACAGTCGCAGGACCAACCTCCCGAGAGGGAGCACCTACAGGAGGCGGTGAGGAAGACTGTGGGGAGGGAGGCTGTACAGGGGGGGCTACCGAAGGGGGAGGGCTAGCCTGAGACACACCAGACGGGGCTGGACCAGGGGGGGGAGGCTGTACCGGGGGAGCAGGCGGGGGAGCGGCTGTCAGGAAGAGGGGGGGAGGAGGAACCGGGAGACCTCGACTGGGGTACCTGACGTAGTACGGGGTGGACTCCTCGAAACGGACGTCACGGGAGTCAAAGAACCGGTGAGAGGGAGGGTGGTAAAAGGTGAAGTCAGAGGAGTCCTCAGGGAAACCAAGGAAGACACAAGGAACGGCGCGAGGCGAGAGCTTGTCCGCGGAGGTGTCGCGGACAAGAGCCAAGCACCCCCAGACACGAAACCTCGACGCGACACCAGGGGACCCTGTCCAAAGACTGGTCGGTGAAGCCTCCGGCCGAGAGACGCGTGGCCAGAGGTTCAGCTGGTGCGCGGCGTACCTGACTGCGTATGGCCACAGGAAATGGGGGGCACGGGCGTGAGTCAAGGAGGTGCGGGCAATCTCCATGACCAGGCCTATGCGACGCTCAGCAACCCCATTCTGTTGTGGGGACTCCGGAAGCGTCCAGGACTGACGAATGCCCTGTTCGCGACAGAATCCAGCGAGAATGCCGGAGCGAAACTCGCCCCCGCGGTCGGAGTGGAGACAGCTGACACGACGACCACGAGTGTCCTGGGTGGTAAGCAACCACCTGATCAGCGTAGAAGTCACCTCAGACTTCCTCGCCAGGGGGAACACTGTGGTGTAGCGGGAGTAGTCGTCAACGACCACCAAAAAGAAACGCTCACGCTCAGGGCCAGGGCGAGGAGAGGGGCCCCAGACGTCCAAGTGCAGCGTCTCAAAAGGCTCGGTGGCCGGACGAAGGGAGGAGGAGTGAGGGGTGGCACGCAGCCTACCCTCGACGCAAGGACCGCACGGTGGTGCAAGAGACGGCGGCAGCGACGGCAAGACACGCGGGAGACCTAAGACCAGACGCTGACTAGACATAGCACGCAGACGTGGAAGAGAAGGGTGTCCCATCCGGTGGTGCCACAGAACGGTGGGGTGGGCAAGCGACCGACAGGAGCAAGACGCAGCGACTGGACTGGACGCGACAACCTGAGGGGACGGAACCACCTGGTGAGACGCAGGGAGGAGACTAGGGGGAGGGACAGGAACTGGGAGGAGTGGCTGCTGCGACGGCGGCCGCTGTGGCTGCGGCTGCGGCTGCTGCCGCTGCTGCTGCTGCGGCTGCTGCGGCTGCTGCTGCTGCTGCTGCTGCGGCTGCTGCTGCTGCTGCAGTCGCTGCTGAGCGCGCGGGCCAGTGTGAAGAGTGTAGAGACCGGAGCCCGGCTCAGCAGCAAAAGTGGCGAGGGGCTGGTAAGAGTCCCCGTCAACACACACCGCAGTCTCTCCAGAAGGCTCAAACCACACACCCACGTGCTGACTCACGAGGGGTCGCACGCCCACCAAGTTCCGGGAGAACGAGGGGACGTGAAACCCAGTGAGAGACCCAGAAGGAGCAGCCGGACACGGCAAGGTGGTAGTGTGACGCGCAGTGACTGGTCCCGAAGTGGGATCAGCCAGCGCCACAGAAACAGGCGCAGGAAGAGGCGTAAGTGTCGTGCTGTCACGAAAGAAGCAGTGAGAGGCTCCAGAGTCCAGCGTGAACGACAGCGAACCGTCCTCTGAGGTAGCCGCTGGACTAGAGTCTACACAAGAACCTACACTAGCAACAGGCAACTGAGCAAGGCTAGCACCTAAGCTAACAACACCAGAGTAAGCAGAGTCAGAAACACTAGAGTCAACAACAGCATACATAGCATGGGGAGTACCAATCAGATCAACTAACTGCTCAGCAGACATGCCCCACAGAGCGGAGCCGTAGCGCTGAACAAGAGGCAGCCAGTCGGGGGCAGGAAGTACAGGAGGCGACTGACGAACTCGGGCGTCGCCACCACTAGCAGGCGCAGTGGAGTCACCAGTCACTGCACGAGGCGCCTCTCCAGGCCCTGAACCTCCACCGCCGCCAGGCGCAACGCCACCTCCACTACCTCCGCCTCCACCTCCACTACCACCACCAGAACCGCCTTTCTTGCCACTCCTACCGCGGGACCGCGACGCAGTCGTAACAGCAGCTGCAGTCGCGTCAGTAGCGGCAGTGGCAAGTGAGGCAGTAAAGGTGGGTAACTGCGGGACTGTGCACCCGTGGAAGAGTGGGGGGGGCACAGCACCAGAGGCAGCGGCTACCGAGCGAAGGTTGCTCTCGACGTCCTTGAGTGCAGACTCAAGGACATCGACGGTGAGCTCACTAGGGTGCTTCAGCAGAAGCGCGTCGCGAACGGAGGCAAGGCGGTCAGGGAGGCTAGTGGCGATGAAATAGATAGTAATCGCCATAGGGGGAGGAAGCAGTGCAAGCTGTGCCTCAGTGCAAGCAGCGCGGTAACTAGCGTCGAGCGAGCGGAGGTGAGCGATCAGGTCAGCAGAGCGCTCAAACGAGGCGAGATCAGGAAACAGGAACGGGAGGAAAAGACGGCCAAGAGAGACAGTAGCGGGAGTAGAGTAGCGGGCCTTAATCGCAGTGAGGTACGCAGCAGCGGTGCGAACCTGAGTGAAGTGGACCTCCTCTGACTCAGGGAGGAGGCTGCTGAGTGCGATGCAGGCCGCAGCGTCACGCGACGTCCAAGCCGTCCTGTCAGCGCGCTGACGGGCAAAGCGAGCCGTAGCAGCATCGTCAGGGGCAGGACCTAAAGCGGCAGGCTCGGGGGGCTCGGGGAGGTCACCAGAGGGTCTCGCCCCCCTGGACCTGACTCTCTAACAGACGGCGAGCGCGAAGAAGCCAGACGGAAAAGTCAAGAGGTCTACCGTCAGCGTCGAAACGAAGAACTCGCGGAGTCGCCATAGCGAGAACTAACGCGAACGAGCAGGCGAGTAACAGCAGGAGGTAAGAGGCAAATTAGGGTTCAGGTGGGGGGACTTAGTCGCAGCGGAAGAACGGGCTAGGGCGACGGGCCAGGGCGTAGGGTCGACGGGACGGGGGAAAGGGCGGGCGCGATGCGACGGGGCAGGGCGACGCGACGGGGCAGGGCGACGCGACGGAGCAGAGGCGACGGGACGGGGAAGGGCGACGCGACGGGGCAGGGCGACGCGACGGGGCAGGGCGACGGGACGGGGAAGGGCGACGGGACGGGGCAGGGCGACGGGACGGGGCAGGGCGACGCGACGGGGCAGGGCGACGGGACGGGGAAGGGCGACGGGACGGGGCAGGGCGACGGGACGGGGCAGGGCGACGCGACGGAGCAGAGGCGACGGGACGGGGAAGGGCGACGGGACGGGGCAGGGCGACGGGACGGGGCAGGGCGACGGGACGGGGGGAAAGGGCGCGACGCGACGGGGGGAAAGGGCGCGACGCGACGGGGGGAAAGAGCGCGACGCGACGGGGGGAAAAGGGCGCGACTCGACTGGGGGGAAAGGGCGCGACGCGACGGGGGGAAAGGGACGCGACGAGGGGGAAAGGGCGGGCAGGACGCGACGCTAGGAGTGGCGCTAGGCGCGGCACTACGCGCGGTAACAACGGAACCGGGACGAATGAGAGCTAGGATCAGGCTCGGGAGGCTCGAACGGAGAACGGAGGAACGGGATCCCACAGGATCCTAACCTAACTGATACCATGTCAAAATGAAGAATGGATGGTGCATTGATGTTGGTTGGGGTACATATAGCTAACCCTAAGTTTTCTGCCCCCTAAGACAAACCTCACTATAGGCTACAACATTTGACAGGAGGGGCGTAAGGGAGCGGAATCCAACTAGTGCTGCTCCCTTTTTCCAGTTTTGTGAGTCCCAGCACATCCAACAGACTGCTAAGGAATGTGTTTCCTAGGAGGATTGGGAGCAGGGCTCTCGTTAGCAGACCAATTTGGTCTGATGGTCTGCGTTTCAGACTTAATTTTCTTATTTCAGATGATCTGTAAGGCAAATCATTTTACTTCAGATGATCAGTAAGACAAATGATTTTACTTCAGATACATTTTCAGATCGCATACTATGCTTCATCTTAGACACCAGATAACGAGTACGATTCCGTCTGAAACCGACATTTCTGCCCACTTGTCCATAGGGCCACTAGTTAGGGTATCTGCCAGCCTGTATACATGCAAGCGCAATGAATGCCTCGGTCCCGTAGCATCCGCGCTGGAGGAAACAGCACCGCTGGCAGCAGCTAACTACGTATGTGCAACGCTGCCAGCACTTTGTCGCTGCGTGGGTGTAGGCGCCGATGCCAGCCACACCCAAGAGGCACCGACACCGTCATTTTGTGCAATGGGGTGTAACCTGTATGCATCCCGGATGCACGTAACTGTGGTCCCCACCCAAACCCCGCACCGCGTAGGCCCCGTAGAATAGTTCATCTGTTTTTTCAGACTGGTATTAATGTTTCATCTTAGAGGTCAGACAAAAAAAAAAAAGGCCAATCTGAGCGTAAGACGAATTTTTTTTTTTTTTACAGATACTGTCAGACAGGCCAGAATCCTAGCGAGAGCCCTGATTGGGAGGCGACCCAGTGGTAGAGCAGGCTGGCACCGAAGCCAGTGCCTCCGCCCTTCTTCTCACTCCACGCCGGCCCTGCAATGTCCACATGCGCCCATGGCAGCCCCTCCGCCACAAACTGGCGTCGCAAAAGGCAGCACGGATTGGTGGCAAGGATTTGCGAATAGGAACGGGCCGGGGATGAGGACGGAAGAGAAAATATGCTGTTTGTTGCAATTGAAACAGATCCTGATGTTTCTGGGCGATCTCGAAGGGAGTGGAGAAGAGGAGGCTAAAGGAACACGGATGACAAGAAAGCGATTCTGGTCAGTAGAGCATCAAGCAGTGGCAGAATACAAGCACACATTCTCTCCCTCTCGCCTTCTGATATCATGTCTCATGCAAAAAAAAAGGTATAGGGTCCTTCTTTCTTGTTCAACTTTCCACCCACCTGCTTGAGGAAGAGCGCTGCAGTGATGGAGCCACCCTCACGGCCGCCCGTATTGAGCATGTCGGCATGCTTGCTGCGCATGCCCTCCCAGTACGCCTCCTCCATGGGCATGCGCCACACCTTGTCGCCACACGCCTTGGACGACGCCTCCAGCTCCGCTGATAGCTCATCACTCGGGGTGAAGAGACCTAGGGTGGTGGGAGGGAGGAGCACGAGGGAGATGGGGGGGTGAGGAAGGGGGGTTAAGTGAGAGAGGGTGCACATGAGTACACATCCATACGATTTTGGCAGCAATGCCGCCGGCATATCAGCCAACACGTCATGCCATGAGCATACCAGCGATGTCATTCCCGAGGGCGATGATGCAGGCGCCAGCGAGGGTGGCGACATCAACCATCTTCTCCACGCCCTGCTGCTGCGCGTACAGCAGCGCATCCGCCAGTGTCAGCCGCCCCTCCGCGTCCGTGTTGTTCACCTGCCAGGGGATGGGCACAAGGGAAGGGGGGGAGGGGCGGGAAAGGGGAGGAAGGGGCGGGAAAGGGGAGGAAGGGGCGGGAAGGGGAGGAAGGGGGGGGAAAGGGGAGGAAGGGACGGGGCCGAAAGGGTAGGCAGTGCCAGAAGCTGTTAGACAGCACCCAACTGTCATTCCTCAATGCTCTTGCCGCACCCCACTGCTCTCACTGTACCACACCTCGAGGTACCGCACACAATATTTAAATAAATACATGTACGGTTCACCTTAGTGGTTTTGCCATTGGAGGCAGAGATGATGACTATCAATCAACTACCTCAACGCACATGAATCGAGCAAAAGCCTCAGCAGCTCGCTGGCCTCCCCTCACCTCACTGGCCCCCCGACGCACCTCGATGGTTTTGCCGTTGGACGCAGTGATGATGTCGCCCGGCTTCATGCCGCCCCCACTGACCATGCTCTCACACGCTGCTATGATGAAATGCACCTGTGGTGGTGGGCATGTTAACATGCACATGCAAGGCACATCCACATGCAAGGCACATGCACATGCACATGCACATGCACATGCACAAGCACATGCACATGCAATGCACATGCACATGCAAGGCACATCCACATGCAAGGCACATGCACATGCAAGGCACATGCACATACAAGGCACATGCACATGCAAGGCACATGCGCATGCAAGGCACATGCACATGCAAGGCACATGCACATGCACATGCAAGGCACATGCACATGCACATGCAAGGCACATGCACATGCACATGCAAGGCACATGCACATGCAACGCAAAGCACACACACAGACAGACATCACATCAACGAAATTAAGCCTTCACACTATCCCCACTGGTGTGAATTTTAAGAATTCTCAAACAACTCAAAGCACACACACAAACATACACATCAACAAGATCAAGCCTTCATGAAGCCTTCACCTAGTGTTCCCCACTGGTGTGCCGTTATGACCAACTGTCCCTGGGCATGCAAACAGCAAGCAAGGGGCGTGGGGGAAAAGGTGACAACACACGCAACAATACACACTTGCCTCCATCCACGCCCCATTGCATCTCGAGCCTCATGCTTTAACAGCACGCGTTGACCACCCCCTACCATATGGGAGGTGAATGCGTGCCATGCCCCATGCCCCATGCCCCATGCCCCATGCCCCATGGCCCATGGCCGTGGCATGCCTGTGGCGGCAGCAAGGCACGTTGGGAAAAGAGGTGAGGTGGTGCTGAGTGCAGAGGGAGCAGGTGGGCGGAAATAGGAGCACAACCCTCACCTGCACGCCCTCAGGCTGGATGGCAGTGACGGCCTTAGTGGTGCCAGCGGTGTGTCTGTGCGTGTGTGCTTACACGGTCACATGCACAGACATACCAGCACTGGCATGCACACACACACAGAGACATACCAACATTGGCAGTCAATACACTGATATTAGGAAAGAAACTGCTCCCATAGAAAACTTCCTTGACTTGTTTATTGGTGGCTTGCTATAGTGCTGTACAACCTTGCTTGACATCACAAGGACCATTCGAGGGATAAGTGAAGGACAGCGAGGAGGACGCTGAAGAAGAGAGACCTACCGTACGACCAGAAACAGAACCTTACCACCACAAATACGCCTTCCAGCAACAAAGTACCAACAAGTAACACTCAGGTTGACATGACATGCTTTTTCTGCAGCTCACAAGACGTTCCGCCAATAAATACAGTTAAGTTGAGATGAAACACCATGGCACCAAGGAGTGCATACATCATATGAATCTCTCTCTAATCAACCCCCCACCCCACACGACATCACCTATTGCCTCCTCTGAATCCTCTTCTTCCATCAACTTGCCATTCCTCTCTCACCTCGTCATCCTTGCCTTGCTCGTCCTCCTCATCTCCATCTCACTCCACCACCTCCTCCGTTCCACATTCCTCTACTCTTCACAAAACTTCACTCTTCTCCCCTTCGACGCCCTCCCCTTCGTTCCCCTCACCACCTTCCCTCCCTTCCCCTTCGTTCTCTCCACCCCCCGCGTTCACCTCCTCGATCCCCTGCCCATCGTTCCCCTCTCCTCCCTCCCTTCCACTCGCTTTGCCTTCACTCCCCTCATCCACCTACGCTGTCAACAATTCCTTCTCCTACTCTTCCTCACACTCCTCCTACTCCCCCTCCCCCTCTCCTCCTCTCCTCCTCCTCCTCCTCCTCCTCCTCCTCCTCCTCCTCCTCCTCCTCCTCCTCCTCCTCCTCCTCCTCCTCCTCCTCCTCCTCCCCTCCCTCCTCCTCCTCCCCCCCCACCCCCCCCCCCTCCTCCTCCTCCTCCTCCTCCTCCTCCTCCTCCTCCTCCTCCTCCTCCTCCTCCTCCTCCTCCTCCTCCTCCTCCTCCTCCTCCTCCTCCTCCTCCTCCTCCTCCTCCTCCCCCTCCTCCTCCTCCTCCTCAACCAAGCGCTCGCCCTCGTCCAAGTTCGCTTTGTGAATCGATGCGATTGTTCTTGTCGGCAGCAGCGGGCACCCACTGATGATGCATGTCTGCAGCTTCCCCATCTGCTGCAGGCCCGAGGGTAACTGAGCCAGCCCCTCGCACTGGGTCAGGCTCAACTCCTCCAGCGCGGGCAGTTGCGAGAAAGATTCGGGCAAGCTGCAGAGTTTGGGCAGTGACGTGAGCATGAGGTATTTTAAAGCAGAGAGCTTCCAGAAGTCATTTGGAAGGCTCGAAATGCCGACATTGCAGAAATGGCACCGCTGCAGTCTGCAGAGAGCAGGGAAGGACTCGGGAAGCTGGGTTAGGCCCGGGGATTGGTCAATATGAAGAACTTGAAGCTTCTTCAGCTGCCCAAGTGACTCAGGCAGAGCAGTCAAGCGCACGAGACCGTCAAGGTGGAGGGATGTGAGAGCTGAGAGCTGCCCTATCGACTCTGGCAGAGCTAGCAGGCTTTTGGCACGAGTGATCGTGAGTGATTGCAAGCGAGAGAGGCGAGAGATGGAGTGTGGGAGCGAGCGGAGGCGATTCATGTGCGAGATCTCGAGGTGGGATAGCGAGGAGAAGGAGCCCAACGATGCACCGAGGTGCTGCGATGGAAGGGCCGCCAGTTGAAGATCCTCCAGGGATGGCAGCAACACGTTCATGTCACTCTCCTCGCACCCCCCACAGCTGCCAGCGCCACTGCTGCTACCCGTGTGGGCGGGTAACTGGAGGCAAGTGCTTCCCGCCCCACGACCATGCGGAACGACTGCCCCGTCCTCATCCCCAAACAGCGACTGCAGCGCACTGCAGCTCACTTGCAGTCTTTTCAACCGCTGCAGCTCACACAGCGAGTGAGGGAGCGACTTCAGGTTGGGCATATTGTAGAGCGTGAGAGCTTCAAGCGCTCCCAGCCGTCCGATCTCCTCTGGCAGCGCTGTGATTTGCTTGCAGCCGACGACCTCGAGGCTGGTGAGAGTGAGGCCGATGGCAGGGAGGCAGGCAGGCAGGGCGGTCAGGTGTGGTAAGTCATGAAGAGAGAGCTTCTTAAGGCTTGTCAAGTGGGAAAACCCGTCAGGTAGCGCGCCTAAGCTGGTTGCTCGATGGATTACTAGGGTTTCGAGGGAGGAGAGGCTGGAGAAGGATGGAGGGAGGTGGTTGAGAGCCGTGCATTCGAGCAGAGTCAGTCCGCGCAGGCTATGCAGACCATCCCCCATGCCCTGTGGTAGCTCTATCAGTTTGCAGCAATCCTTGATTTCCAGCAGCTCAAGGGAAGAAAGCAGAGTGAGGGAGTCTGGAAGCTGCGTCAGCAGGCTGCAGAAGGATATTTTCAGCTCCTTGAGGCTCGTCAGGTCGCCAAGCGACGTGGGCAGGCTGCTGAGCCGCGAAAGCTCAATTAGGCGCAGGGCCTCGAGGGCAGTAAGCTGCCCGAATTCTTCGGGCAGAGACTGTAGAGTTCTAGTTTTTTCAATCGTGAGCTCTTTGAGTGTGGTGGCGAGGTATACGGAGGGATGCCGCTGCACGGCAATTCCAACGTCTAGCTTGAGCGTGCGTAGGCGTGGGAGGAGAGCGACGCCGTCAGGCAGATGGTGGAGTGTCATGCCGGCGAGGATGAGATTCGCCAGAGAAGACAGCTGCCCGAGACTCGCGGGCAGATTTCTGATCCCCCCCACATCCTCCAGACGTAGGGTTTCAAGCGCTGGGAGGTTCCCGAAGCTCTCGGGCAGCGGTGAGAGGTCTTGGCAGTTGGAAATCTCGAGGGTCAGCAGCGATGTAAGGTTGGAGATGGACTCGGGCAGCTGAAGCCTTGTGGAGCAACTGATGGAAAGTTGCGTCAAGTTGGCAAGCTGCCCGAAAGAATCGGGAATGGAACTGAGACACTGGCAGCCGATCAGATGGAGCGATTTGAGCAGCATCAGATTGCCGCAGTCCTGCGGCAGTTCCTCCACACCGTTCATTTCAATCACGAGATGCGCGAGTGCCTGTAACGAGGTGAACGCGTCTGGAAGGAGAGTGATTCTCCCCCTGTCGGTGATGTGCAGGCTCTTGAGTGACGCAAGGCCGCCGATTGACGAGGGAATGGCGGCCAGATTCCACTGACAATCCAAACGAAGCCCCTCCAGCCGAGTGCATTTCTCAAGGAGATACGAAAGCCCGTTCTCAGTGAACCCCCCCTGTCTGTACTCTCGTAGCATCATATCGACGTGGAGGTCCGTCAGATCTGGACACGTGTCGGCTATCCGCGAGAGGAGGGAGTCAGGGACGGACGTGATGCTGCAGAAGGCGAGGACGAGCTTTCGGAGCCTTGGGAATGACGAGAGGTTCGCGAGCAGCTCGCGAGGATGTACGCGACGGCTTTCGCGAAAGTGGATGTGGTCGTGCACGCTACGGGCAATGCGATGCCATTTCTTGCATACAAGCGCGTGCTGGAACTGACCGTCAGATAGACCGACGAGATGGAGGATAACGGAGAGAAGATCGTCTGACAGCTGTCCGATCGGCGACGCAGCAGCCATTCTGACTAGTTGCAATGAAACTACCCTGAGATCGAAATGGTGTGAGAAAGAATCGGTGTGAGGGGATATCCAACCTCCCTAAAACTTGTCTTCTCCCATGAGGTGTCTCGAACGCGCCAGTCCACACTGGTCCGGCTCGGACCAGCGCGTGAACCAGGGACGGACCGGAACAAGATACGGGACTTGTTCCGTATGTTACATTGCTTCAGTGTTCGCATGTTACATTGATTTCGTTGTCAGACCAGTCCGCGCCTGGTCCGTAGGCAGCGGTAGCTGTTACATTTTTGCGAACTCTCTCACTCTCTCGTGATCTTTGCAAATACAGATTTCGCAAATGCTGCCAAGCTAAACAAAAGAATAACTTGATTTCGGCCATGTCTGCTTCTCATCGCAACTGTTCCACCCGCAAGCACCCTAATCCCCCGATTCGCTGTGCGTCAGCCAGAACTGTCCGTGTCTGCTCCAACATTGGTCCGCCAATTGGGTCCGTCAGAACAGAATTCATGGACCAGGCATTGTTATTTCTGTGGTTGCGGACCAGGTCTGACAGACCACGATTTATCCGACCGATTTGTGGGATTGACCCTCCCGCCATTCTCCTTGTTTCACCTGTGGGGAACCCATACATATGGTCTGGTGTCTTCGCCTTTCGGGTTCGTTAACTGGTTATCGTGATCGACGCATTCCCCTCTGACCCAGCGCGACCAGACGGTCGCACGGCGTCGCAGCTGCGGCCAGACGGTCGCACGGCGTCGCAGCTGCGACCAATGCTCGCCAGCCGGGGTCTGCTGTGCCGCGCCGATGGCTCCGCGAGGTGGTCGCTAGGTGGGTGCGTGATAACAATGAGCGGGAAATGAGACATCTCATAAATTGGCCCCGCGAGGTGGTCGCTAGGTGCGTGACTATATTGAGCGAGACGTTCCCGAGCTGCGAGAAGGGTATGATGTTCCCTGCACGAACTGCATGCGCAAATCTTCCTTCTTTCCTCGCATCCCCGCCCTCCTTCCTCCCCCGACCCCCCTCGCCCTCTCCCCCCGGACCCCCTCGTTCTTTCCCCCCACTCCCCCGGCCCTCCCCTACCGCCCGCCCCACCCTTCCTTCCCTCCTTCCGCCAGACCCAACCGCTCTCTCTTTTTCGTCCTTTAACCCCTGCAGGCGACACGTGTGTGGTGGCGTGTGGGGATGTATGGGCGGGGGGGATGGGCGTGGGGCAGTAAAATCTCCCCCTTCTTTACTCTCCTTCCTCCCTCCTACTAACCCCGCTCCAACCCCTTTTCCCCATTTCTTCCTCCCCTCCTACCCAACCTCCCAACCCCACCCCCCTCTTCCCCCGCAACTTGACCTCTCCCCCCCGGCCTTACCCCAAAACCCCGTGCAGGCAAGTGTGGTGGCGGGGTGTATGGGGCGCGGGGGATGGTTGTTTGTGGGGCACTCAGGCCATTCCGCGTCTTCCTCTCACTCCCTGCTAACCGCTCTGCAGCCCCTCCTTCCCCTACCCCCACCGCTCCCCCGTGCAGGCGACACGTGCGTGGTGGCGGGGGTGTATGGGCCGCGGGGGATGGGCGTGGCGGGAGGGGGGCTGGCGGGGGGATTTTTGAGGCGCCTCAAAAATCGGCGGCAGGTGGGCAGGGAGGGAAGGAGGACCCTGTGAGAGCGTCGCTGCAGGTCATATGGCCGCGCAGGAATGGAATCGCAGGTCCGTGCGTGTCACTGCACTGCACTGTAATGGTGTCTTTGACTAATAGTGACTGTAGCGGTGGTGTGACGTGACTGTACTGATGACGTGGTGGTGTTCCTGTCATGGTGTGATTATAACGAGCGTGGTTGGAGGAGTGCGTAGCTGATTGTACATACAGATGAATGGGCTGCTGCTCCAACCAAGCCACTGGTGCGCCACACAGTGGCCGCTGTGCTGCTGTGTCTACCCCTTCTCTTCCTCAACCCCCTCGCCTCCCCCATTACTCCCACTGTGACCGCTGTCCAACCACTAACCCCCCCTGTTCCCCTGTCATGGGCAGGCGCGGCGGAGAAGTAGAGCGAGGCCGTGGTGCGGCACACCGTGGATGCCGTGCTGCTCTCCTCGCTGCTGCCGCGCACCACAATACACCTGCACCTGCAGGTGGGGTGAGCGGGGCGGGGTGAAGTGCGGTGATGCATGGTGCTGCAGCGGAGAGAAGAGGTATTGCAATTGTAGGTAGGTTGGGTGAGAGGAGGCAGTGCTGCAGAGTGCATAAACAGCATGCACGAGGTGTCATTCCGATCGCTTCTCATCTTGCTTGGTCTTCCTACTAGCAGTGTCCCTTTCAGTTGTGACTCTACTCTAAACTGTGTACTTTCGTTGGCTGCTCCCTTTGCTCCTCCCATTTTCCTGCATGCTCCCCTTTCCTCTCCCGCTCTCATGCCCTCCGCACTCCCTCCTCCCTGCTGCCACGGCTGCATGCAGGTGGTGCACGATGATGGCTCAGCTGCATGCAGGTGGTGCACGATGATGGCTCGGTGAGTGCTCCGCTCGCACCTCAATGATCTGCCGCCTTGCTGCTTGCTGCCTTTTTGCTCCACTCAACACTCGCCTGCATGCGTGCCGTGCCGCCACCGTTGCCGCCGCCGCTGCCGCCGCCGCTGCTGCTGCTGCTGCTGCGGCTGTTGTGTTGTGCGACGCCTCAGAACACATGGTGCGTGATGATGCTTTCCACAGCTCCCGTGCTGCTGTGGCCAGCCAAATATACGTGCACACGACTACAATATCGGCTCATTATTCATGGTAAAAAAGTGCAAAGACTCCACATGTTCCATCATATGCCCCTTGTTGGAGTTAGCAGCCTTCCTTCTCCCCTTCTCGCCCCTCTTACCCCCCCCTGTCTAGCTGCCTGCTCCTGCTTCCAACGATTCTTTCTCCTTGGAACACCCCACCCCTCGGCACCACCCCACACCACTCCACACCCCGCCCATCACCAGCTGCTGCCGTGTGCTCTCAACGCTGCCTTTGCTGCTCTCCTCGATGCCGGTTTGCCTCTCGTTTGCCTTCCAGCTGCCTCTCTCCCCTCCCCTCTCTTCCTCTCTCATCTCCTCTCCTCTCCCCTCCTCTCCCCTCCTCTCCCCTCCTCTCCCCTCCTCTCCCCTCCTTTCCTCTCTCTCCCCTCCTCTCCCCTCCTCTCCTCTCCTCTCCTGTCCTCTCTCCTGTCTCCCCTCTCTCCTTGCTTCCGTCTCCTCTCTCCTCTCCTCTCCCCTCTCTGTTCTCTCGTCTCTCCTCTATCATCTCCCCTCCCCCCTCTCCCCTCGCTCTTCACTCTCATCTCCCCTCTTCTCTCTCCTCTCTTTCATCTCCCTTATTCTCTCTCCTCTCTTTCATCTCCCTTATTCTCTCTCCTCTCTTTCATCTCCCTTATTCTCTCTCCTCTCTCCCGTCTCCCCTTTCCTTCGCACCTCCGTCCCCTCGCCTTCGTCCACATCTCCTTGCTCTCTGCACACTGCATCTGTGCTTCGCCTCTAAAAGGAGCTGAGGTATTCAGGAGTATTGATCAAGAGCCTGAGAACCTGAGGCAACTCAAACGCCCTGTGTGTCTTGTCTGTTGCCCTGAGGCAACTCAAACGCCCTGTGTGTCTTGTCTGTTGCCCTGAGGCAACTCAAACGCCCTGTGTGTCTTGTCTGTTGCCCTGAGGCAACTCAAACGCCCGGTGTGTCTTGTCTGTTGCCCTGAGGCAACTCAAACGCCCTGTGTGTCTTGTCTGTTGCACTGAGGCACCATCGCAGGGGCAGCTGGCATCACGGCCTTAACTGCTCCTTCACACGCACACGCTCCTGCCCTCCTCCTCCGTGCGCCCCTCTTGTCACAGCGGCAGTGCAGGTAGCTCTGGACCCCCAAGGTCGACCCAACCAAGCATGAGCAGCAGGTCAGTGCGCATCCCCCAGGTCAGTGCGCATCTCCCAGGTCAGTGCGCATCCCCCAGGTCAGTGCGCATCCCCCAGGTCAGTGCGCATCCCCCAGGTCAGTGCGCATCCCCCAGGTCAGTGCGCATCCCCCAGGTCAGTGCGCATCCCCCAGGTCAGTGCGCATCCCCCAGGTCAGTGCGCATCCCCCAGGTCAGTGCGCATCCCCCAGGTCAGTGCGCATCCCCCAGGTCAGTGCGCATCCCCCAGGTCAGTGCGCATCCCCCAGGTCAGTGCGCATCCCCCAGGTCAGTGCGCATCCCCCAGGTCAGTGCGCATCCCCCAGGTCAGTGCGCATCCCCCAGGTCAGTGCGCATCCCCCAGGTCAGTGCGCATCCCCCAGGTCAGTGCGCATCCCCCAGGTCAGTGCGCATCCCCCAGGTCAGTGCGCATCCCCCAGGTCAGTTCTCTCCCTCCTCTCTCCCTCCGCCTATCCAGCTCTCATTGTTGTGAATCACCACTTCCCATGACCGAGAATGCGTGCCAACCTCAGGACATCGCTGACCAATATCCCTTGAGTGAGCAATGTGTGCCATTACTATATTGTCTCCTTGACTATCGACTTCTGTTTACTTACGTTGACTTTCATTGACTCTCCTTGACTCTTCTTGACCTTCTGTCTGATTCCCCCCCATCACTACAGACAGCATCTGCAACCCTCTCTACAGTGTTTGCCAGCCGCCCGCTAACTCCGTACGGTGCAGTGCTTGCTACAGTGCCTGCTTCCGGGCTGGGTGGGGTGGCAGAAGCAGCAGGGAGCAGAGCAGCAAGGGGCAAGAGGCAGTGGAAGGGATGATTACGTGTGAAGCCACAGGGCGCATCAGAGGTGCGGGAGGGGCATGGGCACGGGCAAGGGATGGAGTGACTAGGCGGTTGTGGGGGGGAGGCAGTGGATGGGGTGACTAGGCGGTTGTGGGGGGGAGGCAGTGGATGGGGTGTCTACATGCTAAACCACCGGGTACATTAGAGGTAGGAGCGTTGTCGTGGCATGGGGTATGAGTACGGGCATGGGCATGGATGGATGAATGTTGAGGTGCCTTACAAGGTGGTAGGAACAGTGTGTGGGTGGGGATGGGCAGGGGATGTGGAGCGAGTGGCTGGTTATGGGGGACAGGCAGTTGATGGTATGGTTGTTGCATGTGAGGGAGGGGCATGAGCATGGGTACTGATGATGTGTCACAGTAGGCAGGAATGGTGTAAGTGCGAGTGCAGTGGCAGGGGTGGAGCCGATTGGCGGTTGTGGGCAGTGGATGGGATGATCAGTTGTGAGGCCAGCGGACATAGAGGTACGAGAGGCATGTGGGCATGGATATGGATATGTGCATGGACATGTGTATGGGTATGGGTATGGGTATGGGTATGGGTATGGGTATGGGTATGGGTATGGGTATGGGTATGGGTATGGGTATGGGTATGTGCATGGGCATGTGTATGGGTATGGGTATGGTTATGAGCATGGGGCATGAACATGGCATGGGCATGGGGGTGCTGCACGTGGAAAGGACATGGTGCATTAGTGAATGCCATTCTTCCATCCCTCCACATCACAGCACGTCGCTGTACATCACCGCACATCACTCCACATTACCGCACATCACTCCACATTACCGCACATCACTCCACATTACCGCGCATCACTCCACATCACAGCACATCACAGCACATCACAGCACATCACAGCACATCACCGCACATCACATCACATCGCCGCACATCTCTCCACATGAGCTTCAGATCACTTGCCATTATTGCATTCAGTCCACATCACTCCTTATCACAGCACATCACTACTCTTCACCACTCATCATTCAATACCACCATCGCACATCACCGCACATCACAGCACCCCACCAGCCCTGAAATACGTGGGCCTTGGAGAGAGCAGAGTGGAGGGAGTGTGGTTGCCCCACTTCAGTCTCATTCATTCCACCCACATCACCGCTCACCATCCCTCACCACCGCACATCACCGCATCCAAGCAGCCCTGAAGTACGTGGAGGCATTGGAGAGAGCAGAGCTGGCATGCCGGGTCATCGATGCCTTCTCCCGCACGGGCCTCCAGCACTACCAGGTGCGCCAGTGGTATCATGCGGTGCAGTGCAATACCTTGTGGTAGAATGTGGTGCCAGGTGCATTGCAGCAGTACATGTAAAATTCAGTACAATGTGGTATCTTTCGGTAACATCCGGCACCATGTGGTAGCAGGTGGTAACATGCGGCACCATGTGGTAGCAGGTGGTAACATGCGGCACCATGTGGTAGCAGGTGGTAACATGCGGCACCATGTGGTATCTTTCGGTAACATGCGGCACCATGTGGTAGCAGGTGGTAACATGCGGCACCATGTGGTAGCAGGTGGTAACATGCGGCACCATGTGGTAGCAGGTGGTAACATGCGGCACCATGTGGTAGCAGGTGGTAAGATGCAGCACCATGTGGTAGCAGGTGGTAAGATGCAGCACCATGTGGTAGCAGGTGGTAAGATGCAGCACCATGTGGTAGCAGGTGGTAAGATGCAGCACCATGTGGTAGCAGGTGGTAAGATGCAGCACCATGTGGTAGCAGGTGGTAAGATGCAGCACCATGTGGTAGCAGGTGGTAAGATGCAGCACCATGTGGTAGCAGGTGGTAAGATGCAGCACCATGTGGTAGCAGGTGGTAACATGCAGCACCATGTGGTAGCAGGTGGTAACATGCAGCACCATGTGTGAGTTGGAGCAGTACCAGGTGGGTTACCCAGGCCACGCAATGCCATGGTTGGGGCAACACAACAAGGGGCATTCTGAGTAATGATGCCCTCTCACACGGAGGGCTTGAAGCAGTAGCAACTGTGTTGCCACATGCACGGTACATCCCGCTTACTAGCTTGCCCCCATGCTGCACCTCCAGTGCCCTTCCATGGGCTCGCTTGTAATCAAGGTAAATCTTGAAACTCCGCACAGATTCTCACCCTCCGTGGTCATTGCTGTGGGCATTTCTGTTCTTCCGTGTGGTGCAGAAGAGAAGAGAGGTGGTGGCAGGGTGAGCTGTTAGCTTTTGAGACACACCAGCCAGAAGCACCAGACCCAAGGTGCAATATCCACGACGATTACACATTCGCATGAGCGTGCACTTCAGAATGTGTAAAATGAGTATAATCTGTGTTGGAAGCATGCAAAGCCAATTCTTGAGTTATCACTCATGCAAAGCAGTGTAAGCAGAGAGAGTGGTAGATTTTGAAGGAATTGTACAGAGATAAAAATGATGAACTGATAACGCTCTTTGTCAATGGCAAGTGAGAGATACTGTATCCACTGGACACAACATGGCGCATGTTTTTTCAGAACCTTCGATGTGAGTTGAAGTGCTAAAAATGGATGATTTCTTCACACAATACCCGTACAAGGTGTTAGTCTACTGAATATTTTCAACATTGTGAGCACTTCCCGCTGGGCAGCTTCAGCTGGGGGGATTTGAAGTAGAGGCCACATCGCCTGGCTGTTTGTCCGACGACACGATTTGCTGCAAGCTCAACCGACCCTGGGCATCCGGATCGGAGGAGAGGCGAGCCTGTAGGTCCCGAGCCAGCAGGGCGGTGTAAGGCTGCTCTTGATGGCACACAGGGGGGGCAACGGGGGGCAGACAGAGGGTTAAGTGTGCCAGGGATCAGATTAAAGCCACGGGGAGAACCTTCAAGTGAGAAAACGGATGGCAAGGCAGCCACACCAAGCTACAGTGGCAGGTGAGCGAATGCCAAGACGCCCACACTAAGATATGAGCCAGAAGGAGTATCTTGTTCCACAATTCCCTCTCACCTCCACAAATTTCTCTCACCTCCATTATTCCCTCTCACCTCCACAAATCCGTCTCACCTCCACAATCCCCTCACTCTCACCTCCACAATCCCCTCTCTCTCACCTCCACAACCGCCTCGTCTGCCGCTACAGCCTCAGCAGCGAGTCTCATTCGCTCCTGCCTCTCCTTCCTCTCCACTGCTCCCCGCATCCCAGCCCCTCGCCGCCCCTCCTCTCCCCCCCCCGCAGCAGCAGCAGCGGCAGTGGAAGCAGCTTTAGCGGCCGCAGCCAGCACTGCAGAAGGAGGGGCGCCCGTTTGCAGCAGCTGTGCTGCCGTGTCGGTGCGATGGTGCTGGGAAAGGTGGGGGGAGAGGAGGGGGAGGAGGGAGGGGGTGGGAATCGGGAGAGGGAAGGGATTGGTGCAGGGTTAAGTGGCAGGGGAGAACTGTGATGGCGTAAGGGTGAGCATACTTAGAAAAACAAAAGAGGGTGTTGGGGAGGGGGGGGGGGAGAGAGGGAGGGTGTGAACAAGTAACAAAGCTACGACAGATTGAGTTCAAAACTTCCAATACGCAGCATAGTGGCACGCGCAGGATTGAAGGTAGCAGAGTGGCACGCTCTTAAACAGGTTACTGGTTGCCGCTCTAAGACTCACGGGTGCCTTGCCACGCTGCCCGCGCCAGTACGCGTCACTGAAGGGGCGCTGACGTGGCATGTCCCTCTGGCGCTTCTCGTCCTCCTCCATGATCGCCGCCCACTCTGCCGCTTCCTCCTAGCGGCAGCGAGAGCAGAACGATAACGGGAGAGGGCATTGAGGGCGAGGGGAGATGGGGGAAAGGGAGGATGGGAGGAGGGGAGGGAGGGTGCAAACATGATGAAGAAACAAGTATGTCCCGCTGGTGCCTCTTGTCCTCTTGCACACTTGCCGCCCAAACCTGTGGCAGCAGAGAGAGGAGAGAGATGAAAAACGATCCAAGGGAGGACGAAGGAGGGTGGGGGAAAGACCCTGCAGCGTCTCAGCTTCAACTTGCTTGAAACATTGTGAGGGAGTGAGGCAGTGAGGAAGCGAGGCAGTGAGGGAATGCGAGGGCCGGGCCCCTCCTATCGTACCTGAGAGAGAGAGTTCTTCCAGTCGTCCTCCTCCTCTACTTCCTCCACACGCCTGCCACCCCCCGTGCTCCTCCGCCCACCACCCATGCCCCCGCCCATGCCGCCGCCCAAGCCGCTGCCTCTGCCGCCCAGGCCCATGCCGCCCAGCATTTGTGACACCATGGGCATGACGTCAGCCATCATCTGCCCGAAATCCAACTCCTCTCCCTCCACCATGCCCCCTCCCATGCCCCCTCCCATGCCCCCTCCCATGCCCCCTCCCATACCCCCTCCCATCATTCCCCCTCCCGGTCCGCCCAACCCTCCCAGCAGCGCCCCCAAGTCAAGCCCACCACCACCCATCCCCCCTTGCTGCCCCCCAACACTCCCCCCACCACCACTCATCCCCCCCATACCCCCCATCCCCCCCAATCCCCCCAGCAACGCGCCCAGGTCAAGCTCCGCGCCTCCCCCATCCCCCCCACCTCTCCCTGCGCCTGCCCTTCTCACCCCTCCCCCCAGCGGTCCCCCAGAGCCCCCCATGCCACCAGCGCCAGCAGCAAAGCCCTGCATGAGCTGCGACAGGGCGGGGTCAGCCAGGGCCTGCTGCATCATGGCGCCCAGCGGATTCGCCTGGGACGCCCCTCGCCCTGCTGCCGCTGCTCGTGCTGCTCCTCCTGCTGGTGCCAAGCCCAGCCCGCCCAGGCCTGCAGGCGCGCCCCCTTGCATCCCTGGCAGCCCCCCCAACGCCCCCATCCCCCCAAACGGACCTAGCCCCGCTCCCCCCATGGCACCTGCGCCCATCCCTCCCCCGCCCATCCCCAGGGACCCCAGCACCTCAAACATGCCGCCCAGGTCAGGGGCTCCGCCACCCGCCCCCCGCCCACTACCCCCTCTCCCCTGCGCTTGCCTCCTTTCCCCTCCTCCTCCCCTCCCCCCTCCCTCTCCCCCTCCGCCCATGCCTGGTAGCCCCATCCCCAATCCAAGCCCCAGTGCACCAGTCCCCGTGCCTCCCACTCCCCCTCCCCCCAACCCTGCACCCCCAGTAGGCTTGCTGCTCTGGGACGGTTTAGGTTTGGGTCCCAGGCTCGGAAGCCCCAGGCCTAAGCCTGATGGGGGAGCGCTGCTGCTGCTGGGTGAGGTGCCAGTGGTGCTGCTGGTGCTGCCGCTGCTGCCTGGTTGTGTTGGCTTGGTGGTTCGCTGGAGAGAGAATTTGGGGAACAAGGGGCAGGGCAGTGATGGTGCAGGGGAAGGGGAATGGAAGTGGTGAACGAACGAGTAGGGCTGTGCAAGAGGATGGGGGGAAGGGAGATACAGCGGTGGAGAGGCAATCAAAGAAGTGTGAAGCAAATGTGAAGAGAAGAGAAGGGGAAGGAGGTGGAGGAGAAAATTGATACGGAGACAGGAGACGGAGGGGTGAATGGAGAAAGGGAATGTTTTCTGTACGAAAAATTATCTTTGATTCTGGTGTGGGGCCCGAAGAAACTTACCATCAGCATGGGCCTACCTTTGGCTTAGGAGTGAGGCCAAGCCCTCCCCCCAGACCCAGCGGGGCCGAGGGGCCAGATGGGGGGGTGGCAGACTGGGTGGCACTTGAAGCTGCTGCTGTCTGCAGTGGTTGATGGGAGGGGAGGCCCAAGAGGAAGAAGAAAATGAAGAAGAGAAAGCATGTTCTATGCAGGAAAAAAAAGGTACATTTGAAGGAGGGGAGGCAGAAAAGAAATACGAGACGAGGTAGGGTGGCCGGACACGGGAGCACTTGGCAGTGGGCGTGTTGTGAAGCAGCATCCCGTCGATTGTGCATGGTGGGGCACAAGTCAGGCGACGAGAATGTGTGTCCTGCCTATGCATGTGAATGTGAGACGTCTCAAGACATGTGGGCACGGCAGATGAGTCATAAGGTGAAGAGAATGTGTCTTGCCTGTGCATCTGATGACACAGCCTTCTTGCCAGGAGCAGGGGGAGAGGGTGACGGGCGGGCGCTTGGTGGGGGAGGAGGACGGCTGTAGGCAGGGAGTGGGCCCCTCTCGTCATGCCCAACGTGCTGTTGCTCGGTGCTGTTACTGCTGCTTTCACCGCTGCTGCTTCCACCACTGATATCCCTCCTGCAGTTGCTGCTACTGGCATGGCATCCATGTGCTTTCACCTGAGAATCCACCTGGCCCAATGTGTGTAGCGAGCCAGGTGGGCAGGAAGGTGGGGGGGAAGCAGGGGGGGGTGCAGCAGGAGGAGGGGGAGGCGGGCTCCACGCAGGCACCTCTCCTCTCTCTTCCCCTCCCTCCTTGCCACCCTCCTCCTTCCCGTCACAGTCCATTGCATCGCCTTCCTTCTCCGCTGCCCCACCCTCCCCTTGCGCCTGCCCTCTTTCACCTCCTCCTGCCTCTCCCTGCTGCTGCTGCTGCTGCTGCTGCTGCGGCTGGCCCTGCTGCTGGCCCTGCTGCTGCCCCTGCTCCCCCTGTTGCCCCTGGCGGCTCTGCATGGCAGCAGAGAGGCGCTGCAGAAGAGGCCCCATGGCCTGCAGCAGCCGCTGTCCCACGTCCTCCCCCTCCTCCCCCGCTCCCCCTCCCCCTGCTCCCCTCTCCCCCTCCCCCCTTCCTCCTGCCGCCTCACCTGGAGCCTGAGCGCTCTCCTTGGCTGCGTCCCCCTCCTGCCCGCCCCTGCTGCCTGCCGGCTGCTGAGTTGCTTCTCCACCTGCCTGCCCTCCTTCCCCCTCCGCCTGCTCTGCGTCTTCCGGCACCACTGGCATGGCATGGGCACGAGGGCACACGCAGGAGGTGCAATGAACGGGAAGGGATGAAGGGCAGAGGGCAGAAGGGCACAAGGGCAGAAGGGAAGAACAGAAGAAGGGCAGAAGGGAAGAACAGAAGAAGGGGTGATTATTGGTAGTGAACAGGAACGAAGACAAGGAACGTGAACGACAAGGAGCAAAGAAAAGTGAGGGAGAGGATGGGATGGAAGGAAAAGGAAAGTATGCGAGACAGGCAGCCTCTGTTGTAATTCCATATTTTATACAACATGCATAGGCTAGACTTAGATGTGCAGCAGTCTTATAAATTGGGGGGTTGGTTAGTGTACCCTCCAACCACATTTTGTGGTTGGTGGGGATTGGTCCTTACCTTAACCAATCCCAACCAACACACATTTTGTGGTTGCTTGGGCCACAAGCAAACTCACCCATTGGCCAACTTATTGGCCAATAGGGTAAGCTTCCCTCTTATCTCTCTCTTGCTCATTGCTTGTACTAAAGAGCCTTTTGGCTCATTATTCAGTGCAACAATTCTTCTTTCTCACATGGTATTCAGAGCTTATGGCTCACGCCCTACCAAGATCCTTAGGACCGTCCTAACATGTACCTCTCTTCCTACCCGGCCAATAATGGCCTCCCTCCCTGTGTTTCCTTAAGCGCTACCTCCCGCTTCACGTCTTAGGCGCCATCCTCTCTCCTGCGGACCAGATCCGCCCTCCCGCGGACCAGATCCGCCCTCCTGCGGACCAGATCCGCCTTCCCGCAGACCAGATCCGCCCTCCCGCGGACCAGATCCGCCCTCCTGCGGACCAGATCCGCCCTCCCGCGGACCAGATCCGCCCTCCCGCGGACCAGATCCGCCCTCCCGCGGACCAGATCCGCCCTCCCGCGGACCAGATCCGCCCTCCCGCGGACCAGATCCGCCCTCCCGCGGACCAGATCCGCCCTCCCGCGGACCAGATCCGCCCTCCCGCGGACCAGATCCGCCCTCCCGCGGACCAGATCCGCCCTCCCGCGGACCAGATCCGCCCTCCCGCGGACCAGATCCGCCCTCCCGCGGACCAGATCCGCCCTCCCGCGGACCAGATCCGCCCTCCCGCGGACCAGATCCGCCCTCCCGCGGACCGTATTTGCCCTCTCCGCGACCTACCTTTGCGACGGCCGCGATTTCCTCTTCAACGGCCGCAATTTCCTCGTCAACGGCCGCGTTCTGCTCGACGGCCGCGTTCTACTCGTCGACGGCCCAGATCTGCTCGTCGACGGCTCAGATCTGCTCGCCGACGGCCGCAACCTGCTCGGCGGCCGCGGTTTGCTCGCTGACGGCCGCGATTCACTCGTCGACGTCCCCGATCTGCTCGTCGACGGCGTCGATCTGCTCGTTGACGGCCGCAATCTGCTCGCCGACGGTCGCGATCTGCTCACCGACGGCTGCGACCTGCTCGCCGCACGGGCTCCTTTGTTGCGTGCATCCGCGGCGACTCTGCCTGTCGCGCGCGTCCGCAGCAGGCCTCCTCGTCCAGCGCCTCCGCATCGCACCTCCTCGCCCAACGCGTTCGCCGCAAGCCTGTTCGTCGTCGTCGTCTTCCCGCCCTCCAACCACACCGCGCCCCCCCCCCCGCCCCCCTCTCCTCCCCCTCTCCTCCCTCCCTCCTCCCCCCCCCCTCCCCCATTCGTCCTCCTCCTGTTCTACCCAGCAGCAGCGGGACCAGCAGCGGCAGCAGCAGCGGGACCAGCAGCGGCAGCAGCAGCGGGACCAGCAGCGGCAGCAGCAGCGGGACCAGCAGCGGCAGCAGCAGCGGGACCAGCAGCGGCAGCAGCAGCGGGACCAGCAGCGGCAGCAGCAGCGGGACCAGCAGCGGCAGCAGCAGCGGGACCAGCAGCGGCAGCAGCAGCGGGACCAGCAGCGGCAGCAGCAGCGGGACCAGCAGCGGCAGCAGCAGCGGGACCAGCAGCGGCAGCGAGACCAGCACATTACCTGCCTCCTCCTCTTCCCTCTCCTCGACCTCGTCCCTATGGCATCATCATCCGACTCCTCTGCCGATCTCGCTACAGTTGACGCACTTGAGCTACTTGCTGACAACTCTGCTGCTAATTGGCACTCTTACGCTCACTCAGTCGAGGTGCTTCTCTCCTCTATCGTAGTCAGCGGCTACAACCTTCGATCGATTGTATTCCAGGAAGACACCGGTCTTCAGCCCGTCGCCCCCACCGCTCCTACTGGGCCTGCCCCCGCCACTCCTGGGGCCGAGCCTATCCCCCCGGGTGACCCTCCCACCTTCGCGCCGAATATAAACGACCCACAGAGCTCGGAAACCGCCATTCGCACATACCGCACCGCTCTCCAAGAGCACCTACGCCAGCAACTGCGTTACGAAGAGGACAAGCGCACATATGATGCTGCTGCTGCCCTCCACAACAAGTACCAGGAGGACCTCAACACCTACGCTGCACAACTTGCCGACTACACCACCAAAATCACTGCCTGGCGAGTTGCTGATCGACGCGCGCTTGCCATTCTTCTCGCCACCATTCCCTCCTCCCTCAAACGCGAGCTCTCACCCACCTCCTCCTCCCACCTGTGGCGAACACTCGTCGACCTTTTCGACCGTCAAGACGTCGCCACCCTCTACGCTCTTATCAAAGAATTCGGAACTCTCTCTATGGATTCAACCTCCGGCGCAGCTGCCTTCACTCGCCGCGTCCTAGATCTCGCTCGACGCCTTGCAGCACTTGATGTGGTGTACCCAGATGCTGTCATTTGCTGCCACCTTCTTGAGGGCCTGACACCTGCCTTCGACGCTCACAAGCTTGCGTACATGCAGCTTATCTCCAAGCACCACACCCCTGCTGAAGTCGCTCAGTGGATTATCACCACCGAAGCTGAGATCCTTCGCCACTCTTCCTCCACAGCCGCAGCAGCCCAATCGCGCAGCAGCCGGGGTGGCCGTGGTGGTGTGCGTGGGGGTGGGCGTGGTGGTGGGCGTGGGGGTGGACGAGGGGGATCAGCAGGACGCGGTGGTGCTGGTAGCGGAGGTACAGGTCGTGGTGACGCAGCTGCCTTTCCTCCCTGTCAGTACCTGCCTCGCTACGGTCCCACTCAGGGACAGCGCTGCGGCCAAACCACCCATGCCACTGAGACGTGCTTCAAGGCACTCAGTGATGAGTGGTTTGCCCGTGGCAACACCGGCACCCCTCCTCGCTGGTCCGCCCTCAACCCTCGCCCCACTCCCCTTGAGGTCCGTTCCTCTCCCCTCTATGAACCTTCCTCCTCCACCCACGCCCACCAGGCCCTCGCCCCTCCCCAGCAGCAGCAGCAGCAGCAGCAACAGCAGCAGCAGCTTGGGAATCAGCAGCAGGGGTCACAGCAGTATGGGCAGCAGCTTCTCCTATCTCAGCTCCAGCAGCAGCTCCAGCAACTCCAGCAGCAGCTAGACCTCCAGCCGCAACTGCCCCTCCTCCCTCCTCCTCCGGTATCCCAGCAGCAGCCCTTTCCTGCCTGGACTGCTGGGAGTGCTGCCTCTGCAGCCCATCTCTCGGGTGCATCCCCGGCGCCGTCTGCAGGTGGCAGTGCGACCGCTTTCCCTTCCTCTGGTTTTGTTGGTTTATTAGGTCAACCTGAATCTGTTGCATCTCCCATGTACCCTTCTTCTGCTAATGAAACGTCGTTCCAGTACTCTGCCTCACCTTCCTCCACCATTGACTTCGTTCTGGACAGTGGAGCCACTGACACTGTCCTTCGTGACGCTGGTACACTGCGCCCTCTCCCCACACCAACCTCCCTCCTCGGCGCTGATAGCAGTTTTTTCATCCCTTGTCACAACACCTCCACCCTTCCCTGTCCTCTCTTTCCCTCAGGTACTGTCACCGGACTCCACATTCCCTCCCTTCGTACTAACCTCCTCTCCCAAAGGTCCCTCCAACAAGCCATGATCACCACTCTCATCCCAGGTGGTGCTAACCATTGTGACCTATACCAAACCTCCACAGGTCGTTTTCTCGCCCGTATTCCCTATTGTCCCCGCTCCCGTCTGTACACCCTTCGGGTTCCCCGCCCCCTCACCTTCCAAGTTGCCTCCCCCCCCCTCCTTCCCCCTCCCCCTCCCCTCCCTCCCACTAACCCACCCCTCCCACCCCGCCCTCCTGACTCTGACTGTTCCTGTCGCTCCCTCTCCCACCCCACCATCCTCCTCCATCACAGGCTAGGCCACCCCAACTTCGCTACTCTCCGCTCATCTGTCTCCTCCGGTCTCCTCCACGGTCTCCCCTCCTCCCTCCCTCCCCTCCCCAAATCCCCTGCACCCCCCTGCACCGTCTGCGTTCAGAGCAAGCTCAAGCAGCAGCCGCACCGGAGCTCCCCCTCCGCTGCTGCGCAGCCACTTGATCTTGTTCACATGGACCTATGGGGCCCTAATCCCTCTCCCACTCGCCAGGGCCATCGCTACCTTCTTGTGCTTGTTGATGATCACAGTCGGTACTTGTCCGTCTCTCTTCTTCGGACAAAGGCGGATGCCCCGGCTGCGATCATCGCCTGGCTCGAGCGGGCAAACACCCATTTTGGGCGCCCTGTTCGCCGCCTTCACTCTGATGGAGGTGGTGAGTTCCTTAACAACCAAGTCTCCTCCTATTGTCAGTCTCGTGGCATCCTTCAGACTTACACCCTCCCTCACTCCCCACAGCAGAACGGTGTGGCTGAGAGTCGTGTTCGAGAGATCACCAAAACAGCCCGGTGTCTGCTTGTCCACGCCTCATGCCCCCCTTCTCTGTGGGGCTACGCCCTCCTTCATGCCGCCCTCCTTACTAACCTTTACCCTCACCCCCTTCTCCCCTCCATCACCCCCACTGAGCTTTGGACGAAGGACAAGCCTGATGCCTCATCACTTCGTGTCTGGGGCTCTAAGGCACATGTCCTTATTCACCCCTCTGACCGCTCCCGATCCATGGGAAAGCTTGCCCCTCGTACCCTTCCTTGCATCTTCCTTGGTCATAATCCCTCCTCCCCCGACTACCTTTTCCTCCACCCCCCATCCGGTCGTCTAATCCGCTCCGTCATTTCTTCATTCGCGATCTTGTTCAGGCTGGGCACCTTCGGCTCGATAAGGTTGACTCCGCAGCCAACCTTGCCGACATCTTCACGAAAGCTCTTCCGCATGCGGCTCACTCTTCACTGATTCGTCTCCTTGGCCTTACTCCTCCAAAGTTGGTCTCCACTTCTTGATTATAACCTTCTCGGTAGCCTTATGCATGTTGGGGGGTTGTGTTGTAATTCCATATTTTATACAACATGCATAGGCTAGACTTAGATGTGCAGCAGTCTTATAAATTGGGGGGTTGGTTAGTGTACCCTCCAACCACATTTTGTGGTTGGTGGGGATTGGTCCTTACCTTAACCAATCCCAACCAACACACATTTTGTGGTTGCTTGGGCCACAAGCAAACTCACCCATTGGCCAACTTATTGGCCAATAGGGTAAGCTTCCCTCTTATCTCTCTCTTGCTCATTGCTTGTACTAAAGAGCCTTTTGGCTCATTATTCAGTGCAACAATTCTTCTTTCTCACAGCCTCTAACCCCTTGAATGCCCCAGCCACAACTACTGCCACACCAACTAAGGCGCACCTACTGTCACAACAACTTAAGGCCCTACTAACACCAACCCCAGCAGCCCCCAGCAGTGTGACTCACATGACTCGAGTGTGTCCCCAAACACGGAGAACATGGCTGCCAGCAGCTGCGACCGCCCCTGCTCCATCTCCCTCTGCCTCTCCGCATCCTCCTCTCCCTCCCCCCCGCCCTCCTCACCCTCCTCCCCTTCCTCGGCCTCTCCCCCCTCCCCCTGCTGCTGCCAATACCCCCATGTGTAAGGATACGGGTACTGGTACATCCCCCCCATGCCTTGCCCCATTCCCCACATGCCCCCCATCCCATACGCCATACCACCAGTCCCCCCAGCAGCACCGCCCCCAGCAGCACCCGCCCCTCCAGCAGCAGCAGCGGCAGCAGTACCCGCCACACCCCCCCCGGGGTGCACGAGGAGGGTGGGCAGGGGGCCAGGGCCGGCCATGATGGACACCATGGCGGGGAACTGAACCACCTGGGGTTGCGCACCCTGCTGCTGTGATGAAGGCTGTGCGCGCCCCTGCTGCCCCTGCTGGCCCTGCTGCTGCTGTGCCGGTCTGCTGCCTCCTCCTGCTGCTCGGGTTCCTGTACCTGCTGCCCCTGTAGCTGCCCCTGCTGCTGCCCCTGCTGCTGCCCCGGCTGCCCCTGCATCCCCACGGCTGCCTGCTGCGCCTTGCAGGGCCTGCAGGTGCGGGTGCAGCTGGGCCAGCATGAGCTGTGCCTGCTGCATCTGAGCCGGGCTCATCTGCTGCTGCAGCGCCTGCTGTAACTGCACCAGCTGCTGCACCTGCTCCGGCCCTAGCTGGACCCCCTGCTGAGCCTGCCCTGCCCCCTGCTGAGACTGCGATGGCGTTTGCTGCTGCTGCTGCTGCTGCTGCTGCTGTGGTGGCGACTGCTGCTGCCTCTGCGCCTCTCCCTGTCCCTTCCCTTGCACCTGCGTCTGTCTTCCCCTCGCCCCGCCTGGGGCACGCAAGCCCATCCCCAGTCCAAGCCCCAGTCCACGCGGCTCCTCCCTTCCTCCTCCGCCAGCCCCACCTGCTCTACCACTAGCACCACCACCCGACCCGCCGGCAGCAGCAGCAGCGGCAGCTGGTGCGGCAGCTCTGGAGCCTGTGGCACTGGTGCCAGTAGCAGTAGCAGAAGTGCCACCAGCACTGCTACCAGCCGCAGTGGTAGTGCCAGCAGCGGCAGTTCCAGTGCCAGTCCTGGCAGCACTGGCATTGCGGGCGGTGCGGGCGGCAGTGGCAGAGCTAGAGCCTCGTGCGCCACGTGCTGCCCCTGGGCGAGGCCCTAAGAAGCCTGCTAGCAGGTGGAGGGAAGGAATGATGCGAGGGACGGTGAATGTTTCTTCATGAGAAGAGCAATCCTGGGAGGCTCGCAGTGCGCAAGATGAAAAGGACTTGGATGCACAAGGTTGCTGCACTGCACGCACGTGAACACTGTGTGATTAAGCAGCCCACATGGGTGGTGCGCTGCATGACCCCTGCCCAGGAACGGGGGTTATGAGACGTCTGTAGCCTCGAGTACATGGGTCACGAGCTGCTTGCATGGGTCACGAGCTGCTTGCATGGGTCACGAGCTGCTTGCATGGGTCACGAGCTGCTTGCATGGGTCACGAGCTGCTTGCATGGGTCACGAGCTGCTTGCATGGGTCACGAGCTGCTTGCATGGGTCATGAGGTGCATGCATGTGCATGTGCGTGCACAGGCGCGCAGGCAGGTGGGAGAATGGGCAGGTGTGCAGGCAGGTGGGTGCGTGGTTGATGTGCAAGCGCGTGTCCACAGTCCACAGTGTGTCAGTGAGAGTACCTGGTTGCAGGTTGATATGGTAGTCCTCCACTTGCTGCTGCTGCTGCTGCTGCCGCCTTTGCTGCTCGGAAACGTCAGCAACTCTCTTGAAAAAGCACACGGTAACAACACACGTGGTAACCCCATCAGATACTGTCCAAATGGGAGAGCAAAGCACAAGCGTTCAACCCCCATGGATCCGTGCCTTGCAACAATGAATCCACACAGTGCAGAAACGCCAGTGAGTTGGTTTCAGCCTCTATTCTCACCGTGTGATCACTGGATTAAACTCTGAACCTCAACTGGGTTAACATCTGAGCCCCACCTGCATGACGACGGGGTTGGGGCCGAACTGGTTGATGAACACCGGCTGCGACGCCTGCAGCCTCGCCTCTCCCTGCGTGTGGCGGGAAGCGAGACGGAGAGGGAGGTGGAAGGGTGGCAGGATGAAGATGGGAAAAACGAGTACGGATGGAGGGTGGAAACGGTAAGGGAGAGACGTAGGTGGGGAGTGAGTGAGGAAGTGTGTGTATGTGTTTCATCCCTTGCACCACCTCCGCCTTCCTACCACCAGCCCATCCCACACCATCTCCACCCCAGCTCTCTCTTCTCATGTGTGCTTGTGTGTGTGCCCAACGCATGCCATCCCTTAAATCACCACTATCCCAACCCTCCACTCACCACACTCTCTCCCATCTGCACAGTGGCACAGTCTTCCCTGCTCCAGCAGCAGGAGCACCGTCTGCTGCAGTGCGTATGTGTGCCCAACCCATCCCATCCCTTCAATCACCACTGCCCACCCACCCACTCTCACCACAGTATCGCCCATTTGCACCGCGTGGCACAGGCGGCCCAGCTCGAGCAGCAGAGGGCCCATCTGCTGCAGCGTGTGCCCCACGCCCTCCACCACCTCCCTCGCCGCCGCCCACTCTGCCGCATCCCGCACCGATGCCACCCCCTCCAGCCGCGAGGCCAGGTTCTGGGGAGGGTGTACGGGTGCAGAGTGGTGTGGAATGGTGCCGAGGGAGGAGCAGGTTAGAAGGCGAGAAGAATTGGAGTAAGCTGGACTGAACGTCAAAGCCCACTCTGCAGTGTCCCTCACTGATGCTGCTCCCTCTAGCCACAACGCCAGGTTCTGGAAGCGGCTCGGTTGAGAGCGGTGTGGAACGGTGGCTCGGAGGAAGCAGTTAAAGAGGAAAAGAACTGGGCCCTGAGACGCTGAGAAGGCGCACTGAACTACCCTAAGCTGGGAGAAGGCGGGGCTTCTGAGAACTCTTTCCACGCAATGCTTGAGTCAACTGCCCATGTCACCTCACTTCATTTCCAGCACGGGCAGGGCAGCTGTGTTGGAGTAGCTTTTGAGAATTCTCCAGAGCGACTCCAATGCGGCTGGCAAGTGACAAGAGTGTGTGCGACACCGTGAGATACAAGGCCTGAGAGGTACACACTCTGAGGTGGCTCTGACACTATGAGACACTGAGATCTCTGACACTATGTAACATGAGGAGGGTCAGTGCCACAAATCATTGAGGCGCCTCAAGAAGCTGAAGGGCTTTTGGGGAACTCTCAAAAGCATCAAGGAAGTGAGTGAGCGGCCATACCAGCAGCTGGGACGAGGCGGAGCCGCGCAGGATGCTTTCGAGGCGGCGAATGTTGGCAGCTAGTCGCGGCAGCGGGGCGAGCGCCTGCCGGCGCGCTTGCTCCCTCTCTGCCTGCGCCGCACCTGGTGGAGCGGGGTTGGTGGCACCGCATGGCAACCCGCCTTCTGAGCCAGCTCACACGTTTTTCAGCGGGGTGGATGAGTGGGTGCGTGTGTGTGTGTGTGTGTGTGGTTGCATGGGTGGTTTGGTGGGTGGGTAAGCAGGCGGGCGGGCAGGTGGGTGGGCGGGGTGGAGGGGCAGGGAGGTACCAGAGGAGCCGGCAGGCAGCAGTGAGTTGTGGAGGCGAGTGAGGTACAGGTCGATGGTGGCCAGCGAGTCCAGCCGTGCCGCCTGCCATTCGGGCGTTGAGGACGGAGTGATAGCAGGGCAGGGGGCGAGAAGAACGGGAAGCACGAGCAAGTTGTGAAGGCGACTGAGGTACGCGTCTATGTCGCCCCAGCGTGTCCAGGCCAGCCGCCTGAAGGCAGCAATGATCGCAGCGGGCGAGGGGAAAAAAAGGGGAAAGGAGGAGTTGTGTCGGTGTGTGAAGGAGGTATGCGCATCAATGGTTGGCAGCATGCCTAGGCCCGCTGGCGCCGCCTCAGGAACGGGGCATCGAAGGAAGCAGTGATACAAGCAGGGGAGGGGAGGGTTAGGAAGACAGGCGTACGAACTGGGGACACACCTGCAACGCACACATGAACTCACACATGAACACACTGACACACATTCGCACACACATGCAAATGCACACACACATCCACACACACACACACATACAAGCACGTACGCACGTACGCACGCACGCTCTCTCTCTCTCTCTCTCTCTCTCTCTCTCTCTCTCTCTCTCTCTCTCTCTCAAACGGTCCTTTGTATTAATTCAGCAGGGGTACAAAGATGCAGTGCTATCCATGATAACCTCGATCCCTTAAGCCCCTTAACTCACCCCTCTTCCCCCCCCCCCTGGGTTACCCTCTAGCCCTCCAGCGTGTGGAGGATGTCCCCCAGGTGCAGCGGCCAGGGGTCCGCTGCCATCTGGGGGTGCGCTGCCTCGATCCCAGCCCTGGCCTTGGTGTGCAGGGCATTCGCCTGGGAGCGCTGAAGGGCCACTGACCAGCGCTGGCTGAAGTGGCAGGCCATCTTCTTGGCGGATTTCGCCAAGGGGTTGGCCCTGAACCGGTTTCCTAGCCGCTGCTGTGGCCAGCAGTTTCAGGAACGCTGTCGTGGGGGGCGCGTTTGCCCCGTAGGTCTCGACGGCCAGGGCGCAGAACACCACGTGTTCGGTGTGCCTGTAGTACTCTCTCTCTCTCTCTCTCTCTCTCTCTCTCTCTCTCTCTCTCTCTCTCTCTCTCTCTCTCTCTCTCTCTCTCTCTCTCTTTCTCTCTCTCTCTCTCTCACACACACACACACACACACACACAAACTCACACACACACACGCACACAGAAGCAGCAGCAGCTGCAGCAACAGCGGCGGCAGCAGCAGCAACTGCGACGGCGGCAATTGCAACAGCGGCGGCAGCAGCAGCAACTGCAGAAGCAGCATCTGCGGCAGCAGTAGCAGCAGCAGCATCGGCGGCAGCAGTAGCAGCAGCACCCACCTGTGCGTGAGGCGGCACCAAAACATGCCAGCTCGTGCGATGACTGCCCCCTCCTGCCAACCCCCCCCCACCTCCACCAGCAGCAGCACCACCACCGCCACCAGCACCAGCAGCACCGCCAGCAGCCTCGGGGTTACCAGCACCCATGGGCATAGGCATGGGCATACCCATAGGCATGTGCATAGGCATCTGCATACCCATCTGCATAGGCATGCCCATGGGCATGTGCATGGGCACACCCATGGGAACTCCCATAGGAACACCCATGGGCATGGGCATGGGCATGGGGCCTTGAATGACAGTGTCAACATGAATTTGAAACTCCGGCCCTCCCTGCGCCCTCCCTGCACCATCCCCTCCTCTCCCTCCCGCCCCTCCTTCCGCTCCCCCTCCTGTTCCTCCTGTCCCTCCTCCTGCCGTCCCTCCTCCCGCTCCTCCTCTCCCTGCTGCTGCTCCTGCCGACCCTCCCCCTGTCGCCCTACCCGCTGTGCCGCCCGGCTGGGTCACGTTGATGGTGGCGCTGGTGTTGCCGGCCAAGGGGTTGAGACCAATGGAGCTCAGAACACCAGTCACGATCTGTGAAGAGGGTTAGGGGATAGGAGGGGAAGTGTGCAAGGAAGATCGTCCGAGGGGGCTCAGCAAGGCACCTTACAGAACCCATGTGCATCGCACAGAGCCCATGTGCATATTCACTCATGACTTTGTTGATTCCACTCACTCACGAGAGAATGTGTACGATTCTGTATGAATGCAGACACACACACACACACACACACACACACACACACACACACACACACACACACACACACACACACACACACGCACGCACGCACGCACGCGCGCGCGCACGTGCACACACACGCACACACATGTGCACAGAGCAAAGCAACGACAAGTGTGCACTGCACAGCCCAGGTGCTGCACAGCAACAAGGCCTGGGTGTTGCCAGGGTCCAGTCTCATTGCGGGAGAGCCGTCCATGTGAACGTTGACTGAGCCCACGTGCAGCGCGGCTGACCCACAAGGTGGATAGCATAGCATCACCAACCCTCATACGACCAGCGTTATGAATGCTGGCAGTAAAGGAGTGCTGCAGTCACCTGGTTGAGGTCCGGCATCATTGGGGAGCCGTCCGTGTGAATGTTGACCGACCCCATGTGCAACGTCGCTGCCCCCGGCATGCCGTCTGTTTGTACAGACAGACCCACACCCACAACACGGGATGGTGAGAGCGGCACGGCACGGCACCCGGTGCAGTGCGGATGAATGATGAAAGCAGGTCGAATACAATCAGTGCAGATTACGAATGCAAATGTTGACCAGCATGTGCATGCAGCGGAGGTGCGTGTGTGAGGGAGGGAGGAAAGACATGCCAGAGCATTACAAAGAGCAAGATACAGAAGACAAGGTACACGCGCTCACCTATCTGCATGTGAGTGAGTGGCTGGCCGGAACCGCCCCCAGGCCCACCTCCCCCCGCCCCCTCGCCTGCCCTACTCCGCCCCGTCCCTCCCTCCCCTCCCCCGCCTTCACCCTCCCCCTCAGCCCGCCCCAGCCGCGACACCAGATGCACCACGTTCCCCGCCTCTAGTCCTGCACGTGCGCATACGCACAGGTGATGGGCAGATGGCACATCAAATCTGTGAACCACAGCAGAGCAGATGCACCACCCTCAGATTCACCACCCTTGCTCAGCCCAGCCAAAAGCAGATGCATGCATCACGTGGTCTTTCGCCCTCAAGGCCGGTCGGGGTACATGACATGACATGACATGACATGACATGACATGACATGACATGACATGACATGACATGACATGATGACATGACATGATGACATGATGACATGATGACATGATGACATGACATGATGACACGATGACATGATGACATGACATGATGACATGACGACATGATGACATGATGACATGGCATGATGACACAAACACTCAAACGCAACGCCCAATTCATCTTTAAGCCGATTTGAGTCGAGTTGATTCTCACGGCAGAGAGTCGCGTGCTGTTTGGGTCGACTCTCAAGTAAGAGAGTCACGTGCGGCCACACCAAGTTGCCAACCAACGAGGCATGGACAACAGCAGTAGCGCAGCCGCCTACGGTAGGCTATCGTAGAAGCGTGGGGAGAAGGGGTCAGGGGGAACGGGGAGTGATGGCGTGTACAGTAGCGGCCGGGAGGGGGGAAGGGGGGCGGGGGGAAGGGAGGGGGAAGTGCTGACGCCTACCGTAGGGGCGGGCGGAAGGGGAGAATGATGGCACTTACCGTAGCGCGCGGGGGAAGGGGGAATAATGGTACCTACCGTAGCAGCGGGGGAAAGGGGGAGAGATGGAGCGTACGGTAGGACGCGGGGGGGGAGGGGGTAATGAAGGCGCATACCGTAGGACGCGGGGGGAAGAGGGGAGTAATGGCGCGGCGTACCATAGGACGCGAGGGGGAAGGGGGGATAGATGGCGCGGCGTACCATCGGACGCGAGGGGGAAGGGGGAATAGATGGCGCGGCCTACCGTAGGACGCGACGGGGCTGTCGTCTTTGAGCACCTTCCCGCGGAACACCAGCCGCTGCCTGGATGGCAGCTCGCTTAACTGCGGTGTAATGCGGTCTGGAGGGGTAACCAAGCCTACCGTACGACGCGACGGGGCTGTCGTCTTTGAGCACCTTCCCGCGGAACACCAGCCGCTGCCTGCCCGCTGGCACGCCCAGCAGCGGTGCAATGCGGTCCTTGAGGGTGGAGACGAGCATCTGCTCGGTGAGACGAGGGAAGGGGAGGCAGGAGGAGGTAAAAACACGGTTGGATGTTGAGCGCCTTTCCCGATAAGCACTTGTCGCAAGCAACGATCAGCAGCGGTAAAATGATGCCCGTTAGGGTGGACTCGACACAAGAATCTGGGTGAGGAAACAGAGGCAGACGACGGCGAACTGCCGAAACGGAAGGCGGATGGATGGTGGAACTGGGAAGAAAGGAGCATAAACTACGTGAAAACTCCTAACGTCGGGAAAGGAAAGCGCGGTGAACTATCCCACCTCGGGATGCACGGCGACATCGAAGGTGCGGTTATCGAGCGTCTTTATCTTAATCTCGAACGAGGATCCATCGGCGATGCTCTCGTCGTCGCCGCCGCCCGCCGCCATGACCGCAAGAAAACTCGATCTGCTACTGGTTGAAAAACAGCGTATGAGATTATCCAAATCACAGCTTGTGAGCTTGGCGGTTGCAAGTTCAATGGTAGAAATCGGTGGAAGCAGAGGTTGGAGAAAATTCGAGAAGGCTTGTAACTTGTGGTCGGGTTTACAGTTCGATCTGTTTGTGGTTACTGCGTTCGCATGCGTCGCAATGGTAACTGGCGTTTCAGGATGGCTCCTCAGATCAGGTCAGTTTGGGCCGCTGTAACTTATATGTAGGGTAACCGCGTCAAAATGTGAAACGAAACAACCAAGACGCGATAGATCGCCACGAAGGGACGCGCAAGCACGTGCTCCAGTTTGTGTTTCGATTTCGCTCGAGTCCCTAACACGTCCTGGCGAATCCTCGTAACCCTCACCATCTGCTCGTTTCGTTTACGCGGGGAGGCTGACCTTTCCGACCACCAATTGGCCACTGCTCCTCAAATTGTCCGACAGGTTTTGTGATCCAAACTGTGGATCGGTTTCGGTTTCGTTTCGTATTCCTGTGCCATTTTCCAAAACCGTGATGAGTCTGACAGTCCGCGAAAGCAATTTGTGCGGGTACAGTGCGTTTGTTTACAGTTCATCCGTCGTGGCGCAAAACGATTGCACACGGTTCACAGCGGTAATCAAGCTTCTCCGTACTGAACTGAGACCAAAAAGTGTAACCGCACAGAACGAACGAAGGACGAACTCGCTGGACCCGCCCTTATGGCGCAGCAAAGCAGATCCTAGCTTGGACATTCTGTGCCTTTCCAGCAGGTTACGCGGGGTGAGAAAAAGCTACTTTCCCGTCTTAGCCCATGAGTCTAGTTTTCAAAGCTGAAGTTCTTTTCGTAGAACGAGTCTCCGCCACACCCATTTGAGCCCCTTTTTTCAGGCCGAGATGATCTTGTCGCGGCAGGAGCTGCTGGTGGCTCTTCGCGGCCAGCCACGAGAGCTCGCCGCGAATCCGGACGCATCGCAGCGCGATGCAGCCTCTTGGTCCCAGCCATCGCATTCGCCGTTCGTTTCGGAAGACTCGTTTGATCCAACGGACGAGCTGTGAGTCGCTCACGATGTTCCTGCGACGAATACGGGTCCGCCTGCGTCATCTTTGTTACGCCGTGTCGCCAATCTCTCTCCGCGTCATAGTTCCTCTTCTCGTTGGATTTCTATGTCATGAGTCGAGTTCTGGAGCACCAGAAACGGAATCCAAAGTTCTCGTGAGTCATCTGGCCATTTTAGATTCACTGCTGAGATTTCCGAAAAAGAATCTGATCCACTTCTGAGAGATTAGAAGATATTTAAAAAAGGACTCACAATTCTCAAATTTTCCGGATTCACTATGTCTCGCTAGCATTGGATTCATCTCCACGTCAGCTACACGCCCATTGAGTCCGTACATGCAAACTATACGTCCTCCAGGCATCCACGTCATCCATACGTCCCCATCCCATTCGTCCACGTCACAGGCCATGGGTGGAGAAGCTCCTCCAGCTGGCAGCGTGCGTGGCGGAGATCCACCGCTTCGCCCGCCGCCTCCTGGACGCCCGCAGCGCCGCCATCAGCGCCGCCGCTACAGCCTCTCTCGCAGCGTCACTTTCAACCTCCGTCGCAGCACCTCTCTCAACCTCCGTCGCAGCACCTCTCTCAACCTCAGCACCATACAGCCTGGCTGGAGCGACAGGCGGAACCACCTCGGTGTCAGAGAGTGGACGGGATGCGTCGCACAGGGTGCTGGCAGGAGCAGCAGCGGGTGCGAGCAGTCTGCAGTGTGCGTTTGCAACGTGTGTGGAGGAGGAGGCGTTGCTGCCGTACACACACGAGGTGGAGCGACTCTTCTCCTCCCACCACCCCGTGCGAACCATCTGGGCCAAGCTCTTCGTGGTAAGCTGAAACTGATTGCCCTTCCTGCTTCTCTTCTCCTCCCACCACCCCATGCAATCCATCTGGCCGCTCTCCATGGTAGGTTGAAGGCTCCATGTTTCTGTTGCAATCACTTTTTAGTATATTAAAGGGCGCCACTTTTTTCACTCTGCCTCTCCACTCTGCCCCTCCACGGGTTCGTTGTTCCTAAATTTTGTCTTTGTTGGATGATTAACCTCCATCCTCCTTCGTGCTGCAGTATGAACAACTGCTGACAGGACTCGTTAGAGTCACATCCGCCATAGAGCAAGGCAACCTCACAGGCGCCTATCTGCTTCGTTATCTGGAGCAGGAGAGCAGCTACGGGTCCCTCCTGCTATCAATTGCTCTCGACACGTAAGCAATTAGTCAGTTTCACTCTATCATCTCAAGCTCAAGTAGTCATTCCCGCACCATAGCCTCTACTAGGCACTTTCTTTCTACTCACCTAGTCACTTTTTCTCTAAAAGCTCAATCGATGATTATCACATCCCAGCCCAATGAACCACATTAGAGATCTCGTTTCCGCGTGCAGCGTCATCCAGTCCTCTAATCGTTGCTATCCTTCATTTCTCGCCACCCCCTCCATACCTACCCACACTCCCTATGTGTGCGTCTCTCCCGGCAGGTGCATCCGCCACTGTCAGCGAGTGTGTGGGGGCCATCTGGGGCACTGGATGGCTTTTTGTGAGTTGCCTCAAAGCCCCACTTGTTGTTGCGAGCCTCTCTCCTCACAGGTGCATCCGCCACTGCCAGCGTGCGTGGCTGGGGCAGCTGGCGCACTGGATGGCCTTCGGCGCCTTGCCCCCTGATGGCGGCGCCGAGTTCTTCATTGCCAGGTGCTCATTTCCCTCCCCTCCCATCCCTTCCACCTCTCCTCCTCTCCTCCGCGCCTCTCCCCTCCTCTCCCCTCTCTCATCCCCTCCCTTCCTCTCCCCTCCGTTCCCCTCTGATCTGCTCCCGTCCTCTCTCATCCCCTCCCCTCCCCTCCCCTCCCCTCCCCTCCCCTCCCCTCCCCTCCCCTCCCCTCCCCTCCCCTCCCCTCCCCTCCCCTCCCCTCCCCTCCCCACCCCTCCGCACACCTCCCCATCCATCCCATGCCATCCAGTCCCCTGTCCATGTTCCCACTCTCGGGCGGCCTCATATGTGTTCGAATCAAACACAAGGAGCACTGCCCTCCCTTGCTGCCAACCCCCATTCGTTGCCCTCTGGCTACCAAATCTCTTTTTTGTTTATTTATTGTGTGTGGGTTGGCGTGTGTGTGTGATGTGCATATGCAAGGGCATGTCCATGTCCATGTTGCATGTATTTGTGCATGTGGATGTGCCTGTGTGCTTGTGCACGTAAATGTGTATGTGCCTGTGCATCTCGCATATCTATGTGTATGTTTATGGTTACGGTACGGCCGTGTGCATCTCCCCATGTGTATGTGCATCTGCACGCATGCGTGCATGTGCATGCATGGGTCTGTGCATGCGAGTGGGCATCATCCCCCCACAGGGCTGCACCTGCTGCCTTGCCTGGCACAGCGGCGGAGAGCAGAGCAGAGAGGAGGGAGGAGAGGGGACCAGACACCCGCATTGTATCCTGGGAAGAGTACAGCATCAATGAGGTGGGGCGGATGGACGTGGGGTGGGGTGGGGTGGGGTGGGGTGGGGCAATTGTTTAGTCGCCTCAAAAATAGAGAAAGGAGGAAAGAGAGGGGCAGGCAGTGGCATCGCATGCATTTATCCTGGGACGAGTACAGCATTTATGTGGTGGAGCGGATGGGGCGTGGGGTTGGGTTAGACATGATCACGAGTCGAGTCGAGCCGAGTCACCTCGAATCGCGGTCGAGTCGGGAGTTGCGTCGAGTCGAGTCGAGTCGAGCCATAGTCGAGTCAGTTTTCCGGAACTGCCGACTCGTGCTCGACTTCTGAAATCGAGTCATGCCTTGACTCGAGCACGAGTCAACAACTCGCGAGTCAGTCTTGACTCGACTTAACCGTAAAGAATTTTTAAGGGCCCCAAAAGTCGTGTCCTGATTCGTAGCTAGCATGCAAGGTAGGAATGACAAAATCCCGTCCCTTCCCCTTTCAGCACAGGTAATTTGATGCGCACCCAAAATTGCGTGAAAGGCGGAAATTGGGTGTCAACGGAATTTGCGTGACAGGCGGAAATTGGGTGTCGGGGGAATTTGATGTGTGACAGGCGGAAATTGAGTGTTGGGGGGGGGATTTGCATGTCGAGCGGAAATTGAGTGTCAAGGAAGATTTGCTAGTCAAGCGGAAATTGAGTGATGGTCAGGAATTCGGTGACGGGAGAAATTGCATGAGGAAAGGAGGGGGAATTGACAACGGGAATCCACGTGGATAAAGTTGGTGGCCCTCGAGTCAGGCCAGCTCGAATCGAGTCAGCCGACTCGCCGACTCGTGGCTCACCAGACTGTCCAAAGTCGAGTCGGGCGATGCATCGAGATTTCTCCTCAGTTCGACTCGACTCGACTCTACTCGAGTCAGGAAAATAGAATAACTGACTCGACTCGACGAGCCAGCGAGTCGAGCTAAAACTCGCCTCGATTGATCATGTCTAGGTTGGGTAACGTGTTTACATGCCTCTTTTCCGCATGTCTCGCCACCACCCACCCCCCAACCTCACATGCTCCTTGTTTCCCACCCCACTTCCCCCACCCACCCCTCATTCGCCCGCCCCAACCACCAGGCACAGCGCAGCTGCCCCCTGACTCTGCACTTGAGAAAGCGGAAGCGGCGCTGTTTGTGGGACGAGAGGAGAACAGTTACAACAACTGTCCACCCGTGCCCCACTCCCCCCTTTCCACTTCTCTCGCGCCCCAACTACCAGGCCCAGCTGCCCCCTGACGTTGCACCAGAGACAGCAGAGGCGGCGCTGTTTTTGGGGCGACAGGAGAACAGTCACACTGCCTCAACGCCGCACTTATCCCGCTCCTCCCTCTCACCTCCCCAACCACCAGGGCTGCCGCCTGACTTTGCACCTGAGACAGCGGAGGCAGCACTGTTTGTGATGGGTGGGTGGGGGGCAGGGTTGGAGAGGGGGAGAGCAGTCACAAATACTGCGTAGCTCCAACCCGCTTCCCTCACTTCGCCCCATCCCATTTGAACCACCAGGCCCAGCTGCCGCCTGACTTTGCACCTGAGACAGCGGAGGCGGCGCTGTTTGTGGGGCGAGCCATGCTGCTGCTGCAGGAGGCGGGGCGGCGCAGCGAGAGCGAGCTGAGCGGGCGAGGGGCGGGCAACAGCCGGCAGCGCACGCACGAGGCAGACGTGCAGAGGATATTGGACAGCGTGCTGGCACTGAAGGTGAGTGCTGTGCGGATCAAGGGAGGGGAGAGACTTACAATGCTGACGTGGAGGGATTTTTCGACAGTGTGCTGGCCCTGCCGGTGAGTGCTGTGCGGAGCAAGGGAGTTTCCGGTGAGCAGGCAGCGGAATCATGAGGGGGGCGTGAAGGGAATGCTCGACAGTGTGCTGGCTATGCTATGCGGGTGAGTGTTGCTGAGTTGTGAGACGATGAGAGAGAATGTGACTGTGTGCTGGCGGTGCGAGTGAGTGTGAGCGGAGCAAGGGAGGGGCGGGATTGATGGAGTGTCTTAATAAAGGACGACTCGAATGCGACAGTATACTGGCACCCCCGATGAGTCATACACCCGTGGTGGTGAGGCATGCCGTCACACCTCCGCTGCAATGGCTCTGATGGTTGTCCTGTTTGTGGTCGTCCCGGCAATTTGACCTACTCGTTTCTACTCTACTGCCTTCCTCCGTATCATGGCCTCCGCGTTTCTGTTCTGACCCCACCCCAGCTGCCATCATCCGTCACAGCAAGAGCAATGGTACTACAGGGATGCTGCAGTGTGATGTGATCGCATGCCTTTTGTCCCACTGTGTGCCTCCGAGCCATCCCTTCCTTGCTGTCAATTCAAAGCTCTATGAGGGCCTAACAGGGACAAAAATCCAGAATCAACGTCTCACCCTCCTTCCCCACCTTTCTATCGTCTTCATTCAAATCACCCATGTCGCTGCATGGGAGCAGGAGGGGCGGACGAAGCACGCGTGGGACGGGCAGCGGATGCACGACGTGGTGGAGGCAGCCAGAAGAAGAGCAGCGCATCGCCTCTGGCAGGTATGCTTAGGCGTTTTCGTTTTCATTGATGTAGTGTTTATACATGTGTATATGTATACTTTGAAAAGCTGGCAACAAAGGGCCCATCTCGGCGCACTGTGACATGACATGTGTGCGAAGGCAGTTTGTTTGCTTGTTTGTTTTTGCCTCCCTTGCCAGCTGGTGGTGAAGGAGGGTGCCCGTTTTGCCATCTGTGCACCAGCTGTCATGCCATCACCTTACCATCTCCCTTCTCATCAAGGCCCCCTTCTCCCTCCCTCTTCCCCCCTCCTCCTCCTTTTTGATGGTCCATGCCTCTCCCTGCTGTCCCCCTGTAGCTAGCGGTGAGGAGAGCGACCTTTTTGGCCGTCTGCACGGCAGCTGCGACCTCGTCATCTCACCACTTACTTTCTCATCCGCTCCCTCCCATGCCATCTCCCTGCTCCTCCTGCTGTTTCCCTGGCAGCTGGTGGTGAGGGAGAGCGACCTCTTTGGTCATCTGCACGCGGTGCATTACTTCCTGCTGGGCGGAGGGGGCGCCTTCATGCAGGTCAGCAGGGGGGGAGCCTCTTCTGGATTGATTTCAGGAGTCACTTCATTGAAGGATTAGATCAGCTCACCTGTCTTTTAGCTGTCAGCCACTGAGGGAGGTGCTGGCACAGCGAGACGTGCGGAGTGGCCCACGAGAAAGAGCACTTGCATGGGGATATTGTGTTACCCGCTCTGCCCTCCCCTTCACCCATCCCTGTCTCGCGTAGCGCGTGGCAGTCACTTCCACTGCGGGAGGTGCTGGCACAGCAGGCAAACATGCGGGGGAACGGTCCATGGGGAACGGTCCATGGGGAACGGTCCATGGGGAACGGTCCATGGGGAACGGTCCATGGGGAACGGTCCATGGGGAACGGTCCATGGGGAACGGTCCATGGGGAACGGTCCATGGGGAACGGTCCATGTGGAATTTTCCATGGGGAACGGTCCATGGGGAACGGTCCATGTGGAATTTTCCATGGGGAACGGTCCATGGGGAATGGTCCATGTGGAAAGAGGGCTTGTGCTGCGGCATGTGGAAACTTTGTTTTGAGACATCAAAGCCCGCACTCTCCTCCCCCTTCTCCTTTTCCCTGTGTCTCAGAGCGTGTGGCAGTCACTGCGGGAGGTGCTGGCCCAGCCAGACGTGAGGGCCAGGGTTGCCAACGACAAGCTGCAACTGGCCGTTGAGAAGGTGGGGCATTCTGGCATTGTCTCGCATGTTCTGTCCTGTGCGACCAGGACAGCCAGTAGCAAGCGGTGGATGGTGGTGCTGTTGGTCCGTATCACTGCCGCCCGTACCAACAGAGTCGCTTTTTATCGCACCGCAGACACGGCGAATCGTAACGGAACGGCAGCTGCATCTCATGTCAAAGCCCGATTGGTCTATTCTCAGCGGCTGATTTCCGTGCCATTGCCATACCAAGCAAGGTGATTGTGCCTGTGTGTATAAGAAGGAAATGTTTGCAAGCACAGGGACACAAGATTGATGCTCACCTAACGTCATACAGGCAATAGCACGCGAGTCAGCCGCTAAAACGGACCATTCCGGCGTGTGGCATGAGACGCAGCTGTCGTTCTGTTTTGACCCATCGTGTTTGTGCTGCGCATGGTAGCGTAGCATCGCCATGCTGTTAGTACAGGCGGCATTGGAGCGGATGAGTGGAAGTGGTCGGTTGTATTGTTATGGGATGGAATGGGATGGAGCATGTGCAATGGAACATGTGCAATGGAACATGTGCAATGGAGCATGTGCAATTCTCTCCCAGTCATGCTTCATGCCTCAGATTCAAATCAAACCACTTTCAATCTCCATTTGTTCCTTTGCTTCCGCTCTTCATTTCCCCCCTCCCCCATGCCTTCGTTCCCTATCTCCCATGCCTTCATGCCCACCGCTTGCCCACCCACCAGGCATCGGCATGCATTGTGGAGGAGACGACTCTCAAGTACTTCCGCACATTCTCCTTCAAGTGAGGCCATGGCTCTCTCTGCTCCCACTCCATGTGGTTCAACATTCTCGTAGGCACTCTGCAAGCGAGGTCTTGCCTCTCGTCCCATGTGAGCTTGTTGGTCTTTGACCTTTCCTTTTTTGAACCTCAGCAATGCACCGACATGCTGGAGAAACAAAGAACCTAGCATGAGTGCAGTAGTGGTGCTGTCGATGAGTTGTGGCACTGACAACCAGGGATGGCCTTGGTTTGTATTGCTTATCATGGCCATGGCGTGGTGTGGCATGGTGGACATGGCGTGGCATGTTGTGGCATGGCATCAAACGGTGTGCAACTTGCATGCGTCCAGGTTCATCCCCCCTGACCTGACAAGGCCTCAACCATCAGCCCAACCATCTGCTCAGCCGTCCACTCAGCCATCAGCCGCGCCTGCCACACCAGCGCCTGTGGCAGCGCCAGCACCAGAGGCAGCAGCAGCAGCAGCCCTGTCAAGACTGGGAGTGGCATCCGACATAGCAGCTGGAACAGCAGGGGCAGCAGCAACGGCGCTATCAAGATTAGGAGCAGCAACTGGCATAGCAGCTGGACCAGCAGGGCCAGCAACAGCAGGGGCAGGAACGGCAGCATTAGCAAGAGGAGGTGGTGGGGGTACAGGGTTGGTGGTGACTCCGTTCGACCCGTCTGCTTCACGGGTCAGGGGCGTGGAGACAGGTGAACGACGCGTGCAGGGAGCGGTGCAGGCTGGCTTGCCCACACAGCAACAGGAGCAGGTGCGGGCGCAGGGGGGAACACAGGGGCAGGGACAGGGGCAGGGGCTGGGGCAGGGGCAGGGGAAGGTGGAGGGGCAGGGGCAGCAACAGGGCCGGGTGCAGGGGCAGAGTCACAGCACCCAGTCAGGAGCAGCTGGCAGTGGCAGCAGCGGCAGTGTGAACTGGTGGGACCGGCTGGTGATCAACACGGGTGTGGCATGGCCGCTGCAGCTGGTGCTGTCCCCCTTGGCCCTGCAGCGCTACAACAGCGTGGGCGCGTTCCTCTTCCGCCTGCGCCGCGTGGCCCTCGAGCTGCAGCTCGCCTGGCTGCTGCTGTGTAAGGCCAGGCACGAGGGCGCCAGGATGCGAGGGCTGCCTGAGAAAGGGGCGCGTGGGGTGGTGGTGGGGAGGGGTGATGGGATGAGGGGTGGAGAAGGGGGACGGAGAGGGGCAGAAGTGGGTGGGGTTAAAAGAGGGGAGGTGGTGGGGAGGGGTGAGGAGGAGGGGCAGATGAAGCGGACTTGGTCGCTGCCCTCTGGGAGTGGGGAGGCTGTGAGAAGTGGTGGTGGTGATTCTGGCCCTGCTACCGCCGCTGCTGCTGCTACTTTTGGCACGGCTGGTGTCAGTGGTGGTGCTGGGGCTGCTGGGTTCGCTAGAAGCACAAGTGTGGCAGGAGGCAGCCTGGCAGGGGCAAGCGGTGGGGTGGTGCGCATATCACTATCGGAGCGCAAGGAGCATCTGATGCTGTGCATGATGCTCAAGGAGATGCTGCAGATCGTCACTAGCCTGCAGACGTACCTGCATGTACGTGTGTACCTGCATTTATGGGTGTATCCTCCACTCCCTAGTTCGCCACTCCCTGTTTCGCCACTCCCTGTTTCGCCACTCCCTAGTTGGCCACTCCCTGTTTCGCCACTCCCTGTTTCGCCACTCCCTGTTTCGCCACTCCCTGTTTCGCCACTCCCTGTTTCGCCACTCCCTGTTTCGCCACTCCCTGTTTCGCCACTCCCTGTTTCGCCACTCCCTGTTTCGCCACTCCCTGTTTCGCCACTCCCTGTTTCGCCACTCCCTGTTTCGCCACTCCCTGTTTCGCCACTCCCTGTTTCGCCACTCCCTGTTTCGCCACTCCCTGTTTCGCCACTCCCTGTTTCGCCACTCCCTGTTTCGCCACTCCCTGTTTCGCCACTCCCTGTTTCGCCACTCCCTGTTTCGCCACTCCCTGTTTCGCCACTCCCTGTTTCGCCACTCCCTGTTTCGCCACTCCCTGTTTCGCCACTCCCTGTTTCGCCACTCCCTGTTTCGTCACTTCCTGTTTCGCCACTCCCTGTTTCGCCACTCCCTGTTTCGCCACTCCCTGTTTCGCCACTCCCTGTTTCGCCTTTGTGCCACTCCCTGTTTCGCCACTCCCTGTTTCGCCACTCCCTGTTTCGCCACTCCCTGTTTCGCCACTCCCTGTTTCGCCACTCCCTGTTTCGCCACTCCCTGTTTCGCCACTCCCTGTTTCGCCACTCCCTGTTTCGCCACTCCCTGTTTCGCCACTCCCTGTTTCGCCACTCCCTGTTTCGCCACTCCCTGTTTCGCCACTCCCTGTTTCGCCACTCCCTGTTTCGCCACTCCCTGTTTCGCCACTCCCTGTTTCGCCACTTCCTGTTTTGCCACTCCCTGTTTCGCCGCTCTCTTTTTGCTACTCCATTTGTGCCACTCCCTGTCTTGTCATTAAACAATGAAAATGGTGTAATCACCACAAAGCACTGCAAATCGTCTATCGCTGCAGGCAGGTGTAGCCGAGGTGGGATGGGCAGGCTTCTTGCGTCTCATTCAATCACTGCCACCCCCCTCTGCCACGCACACCTGGCCCTCTCACATCATCCACCCCGGCAGGCAGACGTGGTGGAGGTGGAGTGGGCGGCCTTCCAAGTCTCCTTCACACATAGCGAATCGTGTCAACCACCGGAAAGCACTGCAAATTGTTCTAATCATCACGCTGCAATGCAAATTGCCCATCCACACAGGCGGACGTGGTGGAGGTGGAGTGGGCAGCCTTCCTCGCGTCCATTCGCGCCAACCCAGACTTCTCTTTCCTGCTCGCAGCTCATGACCGGTGCTCCCCCCTCTTCACACATGCCTTGCACTCCCTGCCCCTCTTTTCTCAAGCAATCAGTGCCATTTCACACCATTCATGACATGTTTTCATCCCCGCTGCTCCGGTCGTGCCTTGAGTGGGTGTCCTGTCGTCCCTTGATAGCCACGTCACGCACTCACTTGGGAGGCACTTAGTCGCTTAAACCATTGGAGGTGCTGTTGAGATTCTAAGAAGAGACTCAAGCAGGTTGTTGAACCACGATTTCCAATTTCACTTGAGCACCACACTAACTCTTTCTTGCTCTATCTCTCGCCTGAACCCCTTGTGTTCCCCGTCGCATTCTTAGTCTCTTCTCTTCATTGGAGCACCATCTTATGTTGAGAAACACACACTGCCACCTTTAATGTGTTTCCCATTGCGCTCTCAGCTTCCTCTCATCGTTGGAGCGCCATGTGATGCTGGGCAACACACACTTCACACGTCCGCTGCACTCGCTGCTCGTGCTCGCCATGAAGCTTTGCCGCCGCCTCCACCACTCTGCACCGCTGCCTCTCCCGTTGCTCCAAGACATGCGCAAGGTGCGCCCTCCTCTCTTACTCACAGCTCTCTGCTCTTGCACACGTATGTAGGGGTAACAGCAGGACACGCACTCTCTGTCGTCAGAAATGTGGGCTCCCTCTCTGTCGTTAGAAATGTGGGCTCCCTCTCTGTCGTCAGAAATGTGGGCTCCCTCTCTGTCGTTAGAAATGTGGGCTCCCTCTCTGTCGTCAGAAATGTGGGCTCCCTCTCTGTCGTCAGAAATGTGGGCTCCCTCTCTGTCGTCAGAAATGTGGGCTCCCTCTCTGTCGTTAGAAATGTGGGCTCCCTCTCTGTCGTCAGAAATGTGGGCTCCCTCTCTGTCGTCAGAAATGTGGGCTCCCTCTCTGTCGTCAGAAATGTGGACTCCCTCTCTGTCGTCAGAAATGTGGGCTCCCTCTCTGTCGTCAGAAATGTGGGCTCCCTCTCTGTCGTCAGAAATGTGGGCTCCCTCTCTGTCGTCAGAAATGTGGGCTCCCTCTCTGTCGTCAGAAATGTGGGCTCCCTCTCTGTCGTCAGAAATGTGGCACCACTCTGTGTCCACGCCTCAAGTGTACAAGTTGCTCTCTCCCTCCTCCTTCACTCCCTCCTTCTCTCCCTCCCTCCTTCTCTCCCTCTCTCCCTCATCCCTCCTTCCATCTGACCCGCCAGGAGCTGGATGCGAAGGCGTGTGCTTTGTATCTGTCGGTGGGAATGCTGCACCACTCCGTGTCCACACCGCAAGTGCACAAGCTGCTCACACAGATCAATTTCAACGGCTACTACTCACTCTCCACTAGTTGATTCGTCAAGTTGTTGATTGCGTCTTGATAATCAATTGAGCAGTAGCAGTTCCAAGACGGCCGTATGATTTTGAGTGACAAACATTTAGATCTCTATGGCAATCAAGGCATGGAGTATCTAGTACAACATACTGTACATGATAGCAAATCTATCTGGAGCAAAAAGATACGGTACCTACAAAAATTTCAGCCACCACCTAGTGCCGAAATCTTTGCGAGGTGTGAAAATAAGAGCTGTCCGTAGCCATTGGGCGTGTGTACATCAAAGGGCACGTAGCTTGGGTCCCGGGAGCGCAGGATGGCCTCATAGTCCCGCCACGGCATCCACTTCACCTCCGCTACCGTCATACCCCGGATATAAGCGCCACCCGCGGATAAGCGCCTGGCGCTTTTAATCGGCGCCCGGCGCTTATATCCGGTGCTCGATTATAAGCGCACCCCCCTGAAAAAACTTGTTTTATTATAAGCTCACGTAAACTTTAATTTTTGAATTGTGTTCGAAACACTGTAACGATTCCTACTTTAGCAGGGGAATGTGTTGCAGATTCGCTTCCCTTCACATTCGGACCCTGCACTGGGTGCGGGTCCAGTCAGCAGGAGCAGTCAGGGGCTGTCAGAAGCTGTCAGAAGCTGTCAGGAGCTGTCAGAGTGGGTGTATCTCCAGCGCGCGCGAGAAGTTTCACAGAACTTCGACTCGATTGGAAAAGGCAAGCACGAGATCTACAGCTTGGTGTTAAAAAATATATCAATTATAGATGTCGTTTTATAAACGCCGGCGCTTATAAATTTACCCGATTATAAGCCCACCCCCCCTAAAAAAACATGTTTTATTATTGCCCCCCATGGGGGTATATCCGGGGTATGACGGTACCTCCGACTCCTGGTGGTGAGGGAAAGGGAACGGGGGAGGTGGGGAGTTGGGGGGGCGGGGGGGGGAGAGGAGGGGGATCTGAAGGAGCGAGTGCGACTCCTGGCGGTGAGGGGAAAAGGGGGGTGGGTTTGAAGGAGCGAGTGAGATTGAAGGAGACAGAGGGACACACTGTCAAAACATATGCATGTTAGTATCTAGGCTATATTGGGGCTAGCCTTAAGGGGTACAGAAACTCACTCGACACTCTAGTCTTGTACCCCAACCTCCACCTAATCACACATACTCTTCTCATTCTAACATGGCATCAGAAGCCTAGGTTAGGAACCTAGGACCACCTTGTACTAAGGGCCCGCCCTTCCGCTAGCGCCCTCGAGCGCCTTCTTCCTTTCGTGCGCCCTCGCGCGCCTCGTTTCCTGGTCGCGTAGCCCGCTAGACGACCGCGCGCGGCCCCCTTTTTGCCCGCGCGCGGCCTCGTTTTTTGCCCGCTAGCAGCCTGCGCGCGGCCCGAATCGCGTGCGCGACGACCATAGGCCGCTCGCGCGGCTCGATCCGCCCACGAGCAGGTCGCTAGCCGCCCGTCGGCCCGCCCGTAGGGCTTCGCGTCGCCCGTAGGCCGCCGCCCCTGCTTTCGTAGCCGCTGCCTGCGCGCGAGTGCAGCCCACGCCCGACCGCTCGCCCCTAGGACGGCGCTCGTAACGCCGCCGCCCGCCCGCAGGTCGCAGCCCGCGCGCAGTGGCGATCGCGCGTCGGCTGCTGCAGCTCGCGCTTAGCTGCAGCTCGCGCTTAGCTGCAGCTCGTGCTTAGCTGCAGCAGGACCCCAGCCGCGGCCTGCACGCAACTGCAACCCTAGGCGCCGCCGCGCACCGTGCATAGGCCCGCCGTTGCGCTGCCCTACCTGCCCGAGCCGCGCCGCCCTGACTGAGCCTACTGTTTAGGGTTTAGGGTTTTGCAGCACCTACTGTCCCTGTTCCTGCTGTTACAGCTGTTCTTCTCACTACAGTTGTTCCTACTACTGCTCTTACTGCCGCTACTGCCACTATGGCTACACCCACAGTTCTCTCTTTCGATGCTGAGGGCCGTCCGCTCCAGTTTGATGCTTGGCTTGACGATCTCCACCTTTTCCTCCAGATCACCGCTAAGGATGACGTCTCGCTGTATGACCACGCGTCCGGAACCGCTCTCGCACCTGCTGACACTGCTGACAGTACAGCTCGCTCCCAGTGGCAGACTCGTGACGCCCACGCTCGCCTAGCCATTCGCAGCCACCTGCCGTTAGATGAGCGCGCGCACTTTGGCCAGCACAAGACTGCTAAGGAGCTGTACGATGCAGTAGTCGCCCGCTACTCCTCACCTGCCTCCGCTACGATAGGCCGTCTCTCTCTGCCCTATCTTTTCCCCGATCTCGCCGCCTTTCCCACAGTCGCTGACCTCATTACACACCTCCGCACCAGTGACACTCGCTTCCGAGCCGCCCTCCCTGCTGAGTTTCTCGCCAAGAACCCCCCACCGATGTACCTCGTTCTCTACCACCTAGTCACCCGTCTCCCTGACTCTCTTCGCGCAGTCAGGGACCACTTTCTCGCCCTCTGCCCTACCGAGCTCACCATTGACCTGCTCGAGAAGCATCTGCTTGCAGCTGAGGCTAGTATAGTTGCTGTAGGTGCCTCTCGTGGCGACCCCCGCACGCCCTTCTTCGACGGGTGTTCCCCTTCCCCCCTTCTCCCCTCGGTTGCCTCTGCTGCCGCTGTCGACTTCCTCGGTGCTGAGGACGTCGGGGCTGCGTCTGCTCCTAGCTGGAGGCGCAAGAGCGGCAAGGGCAAGGGGGGCAAGGGTGGCGGCGGTACCAGTGGGGGAGGTGGGGGTGGCGGTGGAGGTGGAGGCGGTGGGGGTGGTGGCGGTGGTGGGGGTGGTGACGGGGCTGGGGGGGTCAGTGGCAGCGGCGGAGGTGGCAGCGGCGGGGGTGGCAGCGGCGGGGGTGGTGGCGGCAGTGGTGGTGGGGGAGGCCGGGGTGGAGGTGGTGGTGGTGGCGGCAGTGGGCGTGGTGGCGGCGGCTCGGGTGGTGGTCGGGGTGGACCAGCGCAGCGTGGAGGCTCGGGTGGTGCCCAGCGCCAGCAGCAGCGTCTTGGAGAGACCCCGTCGTCCCAGCAGCTTCGTGAGTGGTACTCTCAGCATGGGGGGTCTGGGGGTGGAGGCACCTGCACGTATGTCATCCGCACCGGTGACCGCGCTGGTCAGACGTGTGGGCGTTTCCACACGCCGCACCGCTGCTTCTTTCGTCTAGACGATGCCTGGCGTGCACAGTTCCCGGAGGCCTCTGAGCTGCCCCGCTGGGCTGATCTGCTTAAAAAGAACATTGATGTATTTGCACTTGACTTTGATGTTATTCTTGGAGCCATGTATGCATTGACTATTAGTGTTGAGGGTGACTGTTACTTGTGTGTGCCACCAGACCCAGGCATTGCGACCAGTGAGGCTGCCGCTCTAGGTGCTAGTGCGTCCGCTGCCCCAGGTCCTGGTGAGACAACTGCTCTAGGTGCAGGTGTGTCTGCTGCCCCAGGTGCTTGTGAGACTGCGCCTTCAGGTACAGCGTCTACTGCGGCACTGCACACCTTCACCCTGGACTCAGGTGCTTCCCGCTGTTTCTTTCGCGACCGCACTGCCCTCGAGCAGCTTCCTAGACCGGTTGCTGTCTCCCTGGCTGACCCCTCCGGGGGTCCGGTTCTTGCGACCTCCTCCACTGTCCTCCCGTGTCCTGCGGTCCCGTCTGGCACCCTGTCAGGTCTTTACCTCCCCTCGTTCTCTACGAACTTGGTGGCGGGCTCTGCTCTACAGGACGGGGGTGTTCACCAGTTCACCCCTGCCTATGAGCGTGTGACCCACTGTACGTGTGCCCGGACGGGTCGCCACCTTGCTACCTTCACTAGGGAGCCGGGGTCGGACTTGTACACACTAACCACTGAGTCCCCTCAGGTCGCTGCGTCTGCGTCTGCGTCAGGTCAGCTGTCGGCCCCCTGCTTGTGTCGCTCCCTGTCCCACCAGACTGTCCTCTGGCACCACCGCCTTGGTCACCCGTCAGTGCAGCGCCTTCGCGGCATGCACCGTCGCCTCCTTGTCTCTGGTCTTCCCCGGGTTCTCCCTCCCCTCCCACCCTCGCCTGCGCCTCCCTGTCTTCCCTGTGTCGAGGGGCGGCAGCGCGCCGCTCCTCACTCCTCCGAGTTTCCCCCGACAGAGGCTCCTCTGCAGACACTCCACATGGACGTGTGGGGCCCCGCCCGCGTCCGTGGACAGGGCGGGGAGCGCTACTTTCTGCTGGTAGTTGACGACTACACGCGTTACACCACGGTCTTCCCCTTGCGCACCAAGGGTGAGGTCCCTGATGTCTTGATCCCTTGGATCCGCACTACCCGTCTCCAGCTGGAGAGGCGCTTTCGCTCGGACCTTCCAGTCCTGCGACTGCACTCTGATAGAGGTGGTGAGTTTTCCTCCGACCTCTTGAGAGCCTTCTGTCAGGGGGAGGGCATTGAGCAGACGTTCACGCTTCCGGCCTCTCCGCAGTAGAATGGGGTTGCTGAGCGCCGCATTGGCCTGGTCATGGAGGTCGCTCGTACCTCCTTGGTCCATGCGGCTGCCCCCCACTTTCTGTGGCCGTTTGCGGTACGGTACGCCGCGCATCAGCTCAACCTCTGGCCCCGTGTCTCTGACCCGGACACCTCGCCGACACTGCGTTGGACGGGAGAGGTTGGCGATGCGTCGGTGTTTCGAGTCTGGGGATCTCGTGCCTTTGTCCGCGATGCGTCCGCGGACAAGCTCTCCTCCCGTACCCTCCCCTGTGTCTTCCTTGGCTTTGTCCCTGACGCGTCTGGCTGGCAGTTTTACCACCCTGCCTCGCGCCGTGTCTTCCCTTCTCAGGACGTCACGTTTGACGAGTCGGTCCCCTTCTACCGTCTCTTCCCCTACCGCACTGCCCCGCTCCCCCCTCCGCCGCTCTTCCTCACTCCAGGTGCTGCTGTGGTAGACCCCCTGCCTCCCCAGGGTCCTGCAACCTCAGGTGTTTCCCAGGTAGACCCGGTCGAGCCTGTCGAGGTAGCTGTCGACTCTGGTCCTGCGCGAGGTACTGAGCCTGAGCGTGCCGAGCCTGGTGGTGCTGGGTCTGGTGGTACCGAGACTGGGGGTGCTGAGCCTGGGGGTGTGGAGACTGGGGGTGCTGAGCCTGGGGGTGCTGCCGCTGGGGGTGCTGGGCCTGAGGGTGCTGACACTGGGGGTGCTGCGCCTGGGGGTGCTGACACTGGGGGTACTGAGCCTGGGGGTGCTGTGCCTGGGGTTACTGAGCCTGGGGGTGCTGCGCCTAGAGGCACTCTTTCTTCCTTGGAGCTGCGTGAGTGGTACTCTCGGTACTGCCGCCGCCACAGTGGTACTGTGGGAGCTGGGAGTACTGTTGACACTGGAGCTGAGGGCGCTGGAGCTCCTGGTGCTGGTGTGGCTGCCGACCCTGGGGTTGGCGCTGGAGGTGCTGGAGCTGCTGGGCCTGGAGGTGCTGCTGGAGCTACTGGAGGAGCGAGTGCTGCTGGAGCTGGAGGTGCAGGTGCTGACGGTGCTGCTAGAGCTGGTGCTGAGTCTGGGGGTGTTGCTGCTGGGGACACTTCGACAGGAGACCCTGGGACTACAGGTGCCGGCTCTGGGGGTGCTCCTGCTAGTGACGCTGGTCCTGGAGGTGCTGGAGCTGCTGGAGGTGGTGGAGCTGCTGGTGCTGGGGGCACTGCGCAGCCACGACTGTTCTTTGCTCCGCCGTCTCCATCGTCTCTGCCACCGCCTGACGCTGCTCTTCGTCAGGTTCTTACCCTCCCGTCGTCTACTGGTCTTCCGTTACAGCCTGGCTCACCACTGCCTGCCCCTTCTCCTTACACTGAGCAGACAGGAGGTCTTGCTGAGCGTCGTGAGCCTGCGTCTCGTCCTGCGTCGCCCGTTCGCACTGCTCGCACTAGTCCTCGTGTCCCACGTCCGCGTCCTCCTCCTGTCCCTGGCACGCACCAGATGACACTTCGTCCGTCCACTGCTCCACTGCGTGTTCCACTGCCGTCCCCCCCTGCGTCTTCTCTGCCTGACGTTCCAGACCCTGAGTCTGACCGTGTACGTGCTGCTCACCCTACTGTCACGCGTCTCCTGGCCACTGTTGTCACTGACCCTTCCTTTGAGTCCGCTGCTGCGTCTGCCTTAGTTGCTGAGCTTGTCGACTTTGCTGCTCACTGTCGTCTAGACTACGCCGCGAGTCTAGTTGCTGAGTCTGAGTCTGTCTGTCCTCCGTCCGTCGGGGGTGAGTGTGCTCTTGGCACGGACGTCCTTGAGGACAGGCAGGAGGAGTTCGAGTGCTTTGCCGCTGCTGTACCTCATCTCGTGTCCATGCTGATTGCACCTGAGGGAGACCCGGATGCACCAGACATCCCGACCCCGCGCTCTTACGCTGAGGCGATCGCGGGTGAGTACTCCTCTCAGTGGCAGACAGCCATGGACGCAGAGATGGCATCCTGGAAGTCCACTGGCACTTACGTCGACGAGGTTCCCCCTCCTGGGGCGAACATCGTCAGTGGTATGTGGATTTTCAGGGTGAAGCGGCCGCCAGGTTCTCCGCCTGTCTTCAAGGCTCGTTACGTTGCTCGTTGCTTCAGTCAGCGAGAGGGAGTAGACTTCTTCCAGACCTTCTCCCCCACCCCGAAGATGACCACTCTTCGGGTGTTGCTGCACGTTGCCGCTCACCGTGACTACGAGCTTCACGCTCTTGACTTCAGCACAGCTTTCTTGCAGGGCAGCCTGCACGAGGAGATCTGGCTGCGCCGCCCCCCGGGTTTCACTGGGTCGTTCCCTCCTGGTACCCAGTGGAGCCTCCGGCGGCCGGTCTACGGTCTCCGCCAGGCGCCACATGAGTGGCACGACACACTGAGGACTACGCTTGCGGCTCTTGGGTTCGCGCCTTCTACTGCAGACCCGTCGCTGTTTCTGCGCACCGACACTTCACTGCCGCCGTTCTACATCCTCGTGTACGTCGACGACTTGGTTTTTGCCACTGCTGACACTGAGGCTCTCGCCCTCGTGAAGTCGGAGCTGCAGAAGAGACACACGTGCACAGACTTGGGTGAGCTGCGCAGCTACCTTGGCTTGCAGATCACCCGGGACAGAGCACGCCGCACCATCACCCTGACTCAGTCACACATAGTGCAGCAGGTCCTTCAGCGCTTCGGCTTCACCTGGTCCTCAGCACAGGCCACTCCTCTGGCTACAGGTCATTCGCTCTCAGCTCCACCTTCGGACGAGTCCGTAGAGCCGAGTGGTCCTTACCCAGAGCTAGTTGGCTGCCTCATGTACCTGATGACTTGCACTCGTCCTGACCTCGCGTACCCTCTTGGTCTTCTGGCTCGCTACGTGGCTCCTGGTCGGCACCGACCTGAGCACATGGCTGCTGCTAAGAGGGTACTGCGCTACTTGTGCAGCACATCAGGCATGGGGCTAGTGCTTGGAGGGACGAGCCCAGTTGTTCTCACTGGGCACTCAGACGCTTCTTGGGTTGACGACCAGGCTACTCAGCGGTCGTCACAGGGTTACACCTTCAGCCTTGGCTCTGGTTCAGTTTCGTGGCGTTCTACACGCTCGTCTTCAGTTCTCAGCTCCAGTTGTGAGGCTGAGATCTACGCCACAGCCATGGCTGCACAGGAGTTGCGCTGGCTCACCTACCTGCTGACTGACTTGGGAGAGCAGCCTCGTTCTCCTCCAGTGCTGTACGTCGACAACAAGGCCGCCATTGCCTTGTGTGAGGAGCACAGACTGGAGCACAGAACAAAGCACATCGCTCTGCGTTACTTCCTGGCTCGAGAGCTGCAGCAGCGTGGTCAGCTTCGTCTGCGTCACGTGGCCACTCGGGCCAACACTGCTGATATATTCACTAAGGCGCTTCCGTCTGGTGATCATCAGCGTTTCTGCACTTTGCTAGGGCTTGTGCCCACATTTCCTCACTTGCTGTAGGCCTTGCTTGTACTGTGATATATATATATATATATATATACGTGCATGTTTGCATTGCTAGGTAGAGATCACTGTGCTGTTCTTGCTATACCTCTACATGTGGACTGGCCTTGTGGCCGTTTGTTTGTGCTCAGTATGTGTGGTGACGTTGTGATCCACCCTGAGCCGTGTTTTGTTTCTTCTCTTGACTGGTCTTGTGACCATTGCTTGCTCTGGCTATCCCCCATTTCGCCTATGGGGGTGTGTCAAAACATATGCATGTTAGTATCTAGGCTATATTGGGGCTAGCCTTAAGGGGTACAGAAACTCACTCGACACTCTAGTCTTGTACCCCAACCTCCACCTAATCACACATACTCTTCTCATTCTAACACACACTTGGAGCACGGAGGCACATACATCCAGTGTGAAGGCGGAGGGAGGGAGGGGCTGTGGCACAGTGACGAGGTAGACGTCACTGAACTCGTTGTCTATGTACGTGCCTCCCTGCCCTCTGCACGGCACATGCACACAGGACAGGAGGTCAGGTACAATGAGACGCAACGAGGTGCAATAAAGTGCTGGACAGAATACACGGGAGCGGTACAGGCTGATGATAGACGGAGGAGCAGCAAGTACAGAGGAGCAGCACACAACACAATGCAGCGATGCACAGCGAAACGCAGCGAGCAGAGAGGGAGGAGCGAGGGGCGGGGCAGCGGCACTGACGACTGGAAGATATCTAGGAAGAGCCACTGGTAGGCGGACGCCGGCAGCGACAAGCCCAGCTCCTCCTCCATCTCGAGCCTGCCAGGCCAGGGGGGAGGGGAGGAGAAGGGCAGCGCGAGCCTCAGCAGCGAGAGGAAGATGACGAGAGCAAGTGAGCACAGACGAGCACGAGGCGGGGCATGGAAGAGCCAGGTGGGGATGCGAGCAGCAGCGGCACACACTGGGCGGTGTGGAGGGAGGAGCAGCCAGCGGTGACGTGCCCGGCACTCGACACGTCCCACATGTTGGGGCACGACTCCTTGTGCGCCGCGCGCCGCTGCAGCAGCAGCTGCGCGCCCCGCCGCGCGAACACCCACGTCTGCACCGAGCGGTGCCACAGCCCGCGCCTGTGCACCTCGCCGCTGCGGAGGGGAGGGGGAGAGGGGAATGGAGGAGCGGGGTGGGAGGCGCGCGATTGGCCGAAGTGTGGCGGGGGTGGGACGGGAGGCACGAGCAGAGGGACACGCTGGTAGCGAGTTGACACTCGACGGGAGGGTGACTGGCGGGGGGAGGGGCAGCGCGGCGCAAGGCTCACCGCGGAAGCGCCTCCCCGGTGGGGCGTCCCTTGTCGTCTAGCACGTCCAGCAGCTCCGCCGCCACCGCCGGCCCCGCTGTTACTGCCACTGTCGGAACCTCCGCGTTCTGCGCCTGCGGAAAAACCTCTGTCATGGCGCTGGCGGCGCTGACGTGTGCGCGCGGCGGAGTGTGAATGGCGCAGAGCGATTGGGCGAGGGGAAGAGGACAGCGATGAAGATGCACCGAGGTTGCGCAAGGAGTAAGTCGCTCGTCGGCTGGCACTTGCTGAGTGGGCGAGGTGAGGCCTTGGATCTATTTATGCTAGTAGTGCATTCTAAGTTTAAGATATGCGACTCGGAATGCCGACTCCGGTGGCCAGCCCCAACATCGAGCCGAGCCGCATTCTTCATCCGCATGTTGTAACGCTTCTACTACCCTGTATTTCCGCCACTTGTCCTGTCCTTGTCCTTCAACACAAATCGCCCAATGCTCGAAATCTCGGTTTCGTCCTCTGCACGTACTTACACCGCTTCCTTCCCAGTGCACGCGCCTTCTGCATGTCCTCTCCTCCCCTGCACCATACGCGCGCTCCAATGCAGGTCGGTGGTGTCACAGGCGTGGAGGGGAGTTGGAGGAAGGAGGTGAATGAAGGTTGGGAATTGATCAGACTGGGGCCCCGGGTTAGCAGAAACAGTGCCAACTTGGGGCCTCGTGAGTCGCGACCCTACGAAATAGGCCCGAAGCAAATCACAAGACTGGGCAGCAGGTCCGAACCTGGCAAACTCGCCAGGTCACCACCTACTGCCTTGGGTTTGACGGAAATCGCTAGCACCCCACACCGCTGGAAGCACAACAATCCGTCAAACCAACACAGTCTGATCGAGATACAGCACAAGCAGCATGTAACAAACAACTCGGAATTATTACGGAAACATAAGACTGCCAGAACACAAAGAGCTGAAACATGAAAATTAATAAAATGAGTGGGCACAAAATGGGGAGGTTCATGACCTTTTTCTGTTAGAGAAATTTCAACCAACCTACCCACATTCTTTCAGAATATGTATACATACATATATGATTTACATGCAAGTGCTTCCCTTGTAAAATCTTCGATGAAAAATCTTCTACCGTATTCCCCCGGATATACCACCCTAGGGTGCTATGATAACTACACAAAAAAAAGGGGGGGTCTTGTCATCGGAAAAAGCTTCATTGCACCCGGGTCTTTACATAATGTGTATTTTTTTTATAGCGTAAAACGATTTAGTACAGATGTAAAACAAAAATACAGATGTACATTTAGTACTAATCGTTTTACGCTATAAAAAAAATACACATTATGTAAAGACCCGGGTGCAATGAAGCTTTTTCCGATGACAAGACCCCCCCTTTTTTTTGTGTAGTTATCATAGCACCCTAGGGTGGTATATCCGGGGGAATACGGTAGAAGATTTTTCATCGAAGATTTTACAAGGGAAGCACTTGCATGTAAATCATATATGTATGTATACATATTCTGAAAGAATGTGGGTAGGTTGGTTGAAATTTCTCTAACAGAAAAAGGTCATGAACCTCCCCATTTTGTGCCCACTCATTTTATTAATTTTCATGTTTCAGCTCTTTGTGTTCTGGCAGTCTTATGTTTCCGTAATAATTCCGAGTTGTTTGTTACATGCTGCTTGTGCTGTATCTCGATCAGACTGTGTTGGTTTGACGGATTGTTGTGCTTCCAGCGGTGTGGGGTGCTAGCGATTTCCGTCAAACCCAAGGCAGTAGGTGGTGACCTGGCGAGTTTGCCAGGTTCGGACCTGCTGCCCAGTCTTGTGATTTGCTTCGGGCCTATTTCGTAGGGTCGCGACTCACGAGGCCCCAAGTTGGCACTGTTTCTGCTAACCCGGGGCCCCAGTCTGATCAATTCCCATGAAGGTTGGGCTTGCCTCCTCACGCACTACGGAAACAAGGTCAGGCGTGGAACTTCTGCTCCTTCCACTACCGTACTGTACCGCACATAAGTCAAACCTAATCACACTTCAACGTTTGTAACCACTCTGGAAGTTCGGAAACTGATTATGAGCCACGCCTGAAAAAAGGCTTTGGGCTGGCCGTGGGGGGTGTTGCTTGCTGGGCAGTGGTAGCAGAGTCGTGTTTCCCCTGACGAAAATGTCAATTCGCATTGTGTAACTGTTTCCACGTAAGTGTATGTGTGTGTGTTATCATATATATTCTTGGAAAATACTTACTAAAAAAATGTACGGACGAGGCACGGTCCGGACGTAGGTATTCCCCAAGACGCAGAAATACGTACGGAGGGCATGGATTAGTGATGATTGTTACGATCAGACATGTGACCATGCCAGAATTACCTCAGGATGTTCGTACATAGTTAAAGCAACGAAATTAATGGATATGCTTGAAGTGATTATAACAAAGGCATACATATCTTTATACGTAGAATTAAGCGAGTACGAAGTGATGTATACTAGTCACGTACTCTAAATGGTACACCCCCTTATTACAACGACGCAAGAACCAATTGCGAACTTGTTCCCGCCAATTTCCTTGGCGTTGTAGCTGCACAATGCATCTCCCGCTGACGGTACACATTTTTCCTACTGTACATAACGTGTTGCGTCACACTGGCCATTCGCATTCGTACTCGATTGTGCAGGCCTCTTGTTATGATCACCAATGATGTGCATTCAGATTTCACTTATCGTAACACCACCTTTCATTCCTGGTCGTAGCAAGTCTCGACTCGCTTGACCACCCCGCTCAGTTTGGAGCAAGCCCAGCGCCAGCGCATACTGGCCGGGGGAAGTGAGATCCCCTCGTGTTGGAATGGCATTTAGCCAGTCTCCTACTCCTTTCCCCTGCGGATGGAGCCCTTCATGAACTGTTGCAGTTGCGGCAATAGATTCTGCTTTTGCAGAAGCCTGGGCAACCAGCTCCTTCTTCTAATCATTTATAGGACATGGGCCCAGTTGGCTCGATTCGGAATATATAACCGGCTTTCGACCGTCAATTGTGCGGAGATAACTCTAGCAACGGGAGCTTGACTACGGGGAAGACACGTGCGTGAGAGGGATCTCTGTGTTCGTTCACTTAGTCGTTTGCTTGTGTGTTCTCTGCTTGCACATTCACGGGGAGATTTTGCAAGAGTTTCACTAGCAAAGATTGACAACAATGATACAGAATGATAGCGGCAACGTTGGCAACACAGACTACATCAGAGCTAGCTAGGCTGTTGGTCGACCTCTAGCGCACTACGGTCGACCGCGTTCCAGCGCAGCAATGCTCGCACCGCTCTAGCGCTGTAGAGATGCGGCGCGCCAACGTTGCATGTCCACGGTGCGCCAATGCTGTAGCAAGTCGGCTGCACAGCGTTGCACCCGCAGAACAACGGTGCACCTGCTTCGCAGGTGTGCGCGGCTGGTTGGCGTCCAACTCCCCGTCACGTGCCCAGCGAAGACATTCCCGGCTGTGACGACGCCCATCAGCCATGTCGACCTCGGGATACCACCCCCGAGGTCGTCCTCGCAGAAACCACCCCCGGCGACCTTCGCACACGTCGCCCGGGTATCCCGGTCGACCGGGCAACCCCGCCTGGTCGTCCAGCCCAGTCGGTCGCCGGCTACACCAAGCCCGGCGCCCCAAGGTCAGCGTCCGGGCGTCCAGGTCGGCGTCCATTCGCCCATGACGCCGTCCAGGCGCCGAGGTTGGCATCCAGGTGCCTAGGACGCCGAACAGGCGCCGAGGTTGGCGTCCAGGTGCCTAGGACGCCGAACAGACGCCCTAGTCGGCGTCCAGGCGCCCAGAACGCCAAGCAGACGCCCAGGACGGCGTCCAGGCGCCCAGGACGCCGAGCAGACGCCCAGGACGCCGCCCAGACGCCAAGGACGGCGTCCACCTGCTCGGCGCCCTCCAGCCAGGCGCCCCCAACTCAATGCCCTTGCAGTGGCCTTCGTGCCCACTGTTGCTGGTCGGCTGCATCACCCCCGCCCAAGCGAGGACGGGGTCGAACACAACTCCCGTTGACAAATTGTCTGTTAGAAGGAAATGCTGCCATGAGCTACAACATGTCGGCGCTCGAATTCGAACTTGTGATCTTCAAATCTGTCTTGAAAGTGTCTTAGGACAGATTCTGGTGCATGCGAGTTTCGAACTGGAGACCTTTCGATTCAAGTGTCCCGAAAGTGTCTTACCAGGACAGATAGGGGACGGTTTAGGGACAGATTGGGGACAGTTTGGCGAAATCGATCTCGGGCCACGTTCGACATGAAACTCGGCAGCGAAGTGTCGAGGTCAACGAAATTCGCACGGGAGTTACGATCGGTGGTCGACGGAATTCTGGTCGCCGAAAGTCTCGTCTACGGAATTCCAGTCAATGGAATTTCGCGTCGACAAAATTCAACGCGCGACCCAGGTCGCCATTTTCTTGTGTGTTTTGATTTTGTATTGCGTCCTAGTATAAAACCAGAGAGCACAAACCAGAAATCAACTAAGTCATTGCCATGTTTCTCTGGCTGTTGTAAACCATTTATTGCAATCTTTGAAGCGTTAAAATTGTACTTTTGAGTTCTATCAGGCTCCTGTAGTAGTGGAATTCTACATGGTATCAGAGTTGCATTATCTTCATCGATCCAACTAGCGGTTTGATTTCGTCCTCACGTCACTTCGTTCCTACGTTGGTGCGGCCGACGCTTGCTTTGACCGTGGATGGAGTGGTTAACAAGCGCTGAGGGTTTGAATGCACGTCAGGAGCTGGAGGCATCCGTTCGTCAGCACCACCCTAACTTGCATGGTTCGGGAGCGCGCGGTGGAGCAAGCACCTGCGAGTGGCAAACAAGGAGGAACCGGCAAAGGAGGAGCTGTGCACGAGGCTCCAACTGCCGTGGGCGTTGGTGCAGGAGCTGTTGCACCGACAATTGAGATGGGAATGATCGGGGCGAGCTACGGCCAAATCATAATTGGAGAAGAGCACATCTCTGTAACGTCGCTGCTGGAGGGAAGGCACGACCTCACCGCGTGGGTCAGCACCATCCAAACTCGGCTCTAGTGTGCTGATTTGTGGTAGTTTTGCAATGGGACAGAACCAAGCCCAGCCCCAAACAACCTCATGCAATAAAGGGTGTACGCAAAGGGCCAAATGCTTGCATTCATGGTGCTCTGTGTTTCTGCACCCATTCGAATGTCTATCTCTGGTTTCTCTCAGCAAGAGAAAGCCGGGCAGCTAGCATTGGCATATATTTTGTCTACTTACCAAGCTCGTAATGCCCTCCACGCTTTCCTACTTAAGACCTAGCTAGCCCAACTCAGGAAGGCAGATGATGAGACGGCGGAATCCTACTGCAATAGGGCCTGCACCATCCGAGCGGAGCTGCTGACCATTGGACAGGAGGTCCACATGGCCACGTTTGCCGCTCACGTGTTGAAGGGTCTGCCACCAGAGGACGGATTCCTTCGACGCAAGCTCAACATTTCCAGCCATGACATGACGGGGAAACGCATGTGCAGCGAGGTGTTGATGGAGGAGCAGACTCTCTCCAACAGAGCTACAAGCATATCACCAACGATGCATCTGCTTTCTCGGGTGTTTTCAACACTATCGTGGCTACAACAAGGGTCAACGGGAAGGAAGGAGAAGGAGGAAAGGAGCAGACGGACAAGACGAAGGATGGCAAGCGGGAGAATCGAGGCCCCTTCAAGGAACGCTGCTACAACTGCAATGAGGAGGGGCGAATGACTACCAAGTGCCCTAACAAGAAGGATGCAACGCCCGCGGCAGCCGCGAACGTTGCTGAAGGAGACGGGAAGGGCGTGGCGCTCACCGTCGCATGTTCGACTGCCAAGTTGCTGGCCGACGACAAGGACTTGTGGTTCCTGGACTCCGGGTGCTCCCAACACATGACCGGCTGCAAGGAGTGGTTCACGATGATTCGTGACCCATCTGCAACGAAATCCGTCATAGGTTTAATGGTTCTATGCAAGAAGTTGCCGGTGTTGGTGAGGTTTTGCTAGAGGGCACTAACGCCTTGCGTGTGACCCTGCATGATGGCCCTGCTCGATAGGCTAACACTAACGCCCGCGGAATCCTCGCGGGTGTTTCGATTTCAGTTTTTTTTCTACGGTCAGCTCGTAATTTGGTGTCACAGGGCTTTAACGCTCTGGAACCCCAAGGGTTAGTGTTTGCCTGTCGAACGCATCCCACTCAAGAAGCGTTAGCCCACTCAGAAAGTTCTGGCGTCCTTCTCACTCGGGCAAAGGTCTAGCCCTTGCCTAGCCTAACCCTCGCCCCCCAAAAGTGGGGTTTTGCAAAGGGCTCGGCAAGTGTTTGAAGTGGTAGGGATACCCACTCCGTGGACCCTAAAAAAAACCTAGTGAACCTGTTCGCTTGAAAAAAATCTGCAATTTGAAAAACTAATCGAGGCCAGGTCTCGCTACCCCTCAACCCTACCCCAAACACAAGTACCCAGACCTTTTTTTTTCGGCGTTGTTACCCAGACCCCTTTGGCGAGCGGCCCAAAATTTTCTACAAAGCCCGCGATGACCCAGATCGAAGGGGGCGGACAGCTTCGCCTTGTGGGCTCCTCTCCTTCCGATCTCTTGGGGCGCAGCTTCGGGTAGGGTTGGGCAGTCGATTAGCCCTGCTAAATTGCGCAGAACCCTTCTCGTAACACTAGCCTAACACTCGCCTTTTGCATAGTGTTAGCCTGTCGAGCAGGGCCGATGTCCTCTTTGTGCCTGAAATGAAGGTCAACTTGGTCTCCACTGGGCAGCTCATGGATAAGGGAGCAAAGCTGCAAACCGAGGAAGGTGTCACCCACATCATTGCATCAGGGGGTCAAGTGACTCCAACGGCCCGCTACCGCCATCGTCTTCTCTGCCTTGACATGAAACCGTGGCCAGCAAGGAACAGCACAACGGCTGCAGCGGCATGCAACGGCACGGCAACAACAGTGGCATGCAACGGCACGGCGGCTGGAGCGGCATGCAACGATATGGTGGCTGCATCGGCATGCAACGGCACGCCGGCTGGAGCGGCATGCAACGGCACGGTGGCTGTGGCGGCATGCAACGGCACAGCGGCTGTGGCGGCACGCAATGGCACAGCGGCTGCAGTGACATGCAATGGCATGACTAAGGCAGTTGTTGATGTGGCGTCAAGCAAGCTGGAAGCTAAGGAAGGAGCGGCCAGCCTTAAGACGTACGCGGTGGGCTCCAAAGTAACGCCCAACCTGTGGCACGCTCGCCTTGGACACGTCCACTTTGATGAAGTGAAACGGACAGCCACGAGCGGTGGTGTGTTTGGTATGGACCTGGAGAAAGGAGGCGATGATATGTCGTGCACTTCCTTGTGAGGATCAAGGATCTAGCACAGAAAAGAGAGCTGTAATTGAATTATTCACTTGGGTACAAGGCAAGGCTATATATAGGCTCGACACAAAGGCCCGGGTGTTACTAGAAGGTTCCGCGGGTCGTGAAGCGTCCCGAACGGGTCCTTCCCAAATTCGGTAGAAAGCAATTTGGTGCAACAGAAAAGCCTAGAATTCGGTGCGCTCAACCTTGTCCGGTGCCTATAACTATAATAACTATAGTAAAAGCAACGAACCTAGGAAATCAAGCAAAAGCAAGCAAAGAAAAATAATCATAAGCTAGATAATGCATAATAGAGTCCAGGCAAGCTAGCAAATCCAGCATAAGTTGTCGTTCTCTCACACGTCCCCCCCTCAAAGCTGGGTGGCGTGAGAAACACCCTGCTTGACAAGATAGTCGTTAGAGAGCACGGTGTGCGTTGCCCATATCAGCTTCTGGTACCCAACTGTCCTCAGTGGGGTCATATCCCTTCCAGCGTATCAGGAACTCGAGGGTCTTGCCGCCGTGGCACAGATAAGTGATAATGCGCTCGATCTCGTACTCTGGTTCATTCTGTACAAGTACATGTGGTGGTGGCAGTAGCTGCCGTCCCTGGAACTGTTGATTGGGGTATTTGTAGGGCTTCAGTAGCTGAACATGGAAAGCATTGTGAAGCTTCCATGTATGTGGTAAGCGATGTAACTGGTGTCACCTGTGCCTCCACGAGAAAAGGACCACAGAAGCGAGGCTGGAGTTTGGATGGTAGGTGAGAATGTTTCAGTTGCGCGTGTCAAGAAGCACCTGATCTCCGACTGCTACTGAGTGATCTCGTCGTTGGCGATCAGCATACTGCTTCTGGGAGTTCTGCATCATGGTGAGACGTCGCTGAGTCTTCTCCCATTTCTGTTGCATGGTGGTGACGAAGTCGTGTGCGGCTTGGACGTGTGCCAGTGTGGTTCGCTGTTGTGATTAGTTTCCGTCCGTAACACAAGAAGGAAGGAGTTTTTCCTGTGGCCGCATGCGAGGCATTGTTGTAAGCAAACTCTATTGTCGGTAACTGTGTATCCCAGTGGCTGATGTCGTCTTTGCAAGCTGTGCGTAGTAACTGTTCAACCACCTGATTGAGTCGCTCCGTCTGTCCGTCCATCTGGGGATGGTATGCTGAAGACATCGCAAGCTTTGTCCCCAACAGTCCCATGAGCTCCTTCCAGAACTTACTCGTGAATTTGGGGTCTCTGATTAAGCGTGCGTCGATCTCTGGTAAACAACGGCTAAGTGTCAGTTGTAGTTTCCGTGCACTTGTGGTATTAACTAAGTTGTGACTTGCTCCTCCGTGCACTTTTCACTGCTACCCCCCATATTTTCCCGTGAATCGGTACTGTGACTTGGTGAGGGTCAGTGGGGTCGGGCGAGCAGTGAGTCTCGTCAGTAGTGGGCCCGATCTCTACTAATTGTTGGCATTTCCCTGCCTCCCAAACTCCCTCCCTGCTCTGTTCCACAACGCCTTAGCTCCTCTGGGCATTCACTCTTGCAATGGCCCGACCTGTTGCAAGCGAAGCATCGCCCCTAAATGGCGCGGCGGCTGCGTTCGCCGCAACAGCGTGTACAGCAGGGTGCTCGGTCGGTCCCCGAGGGCGATGTCCGTAGAAGGACCACGATCTCGGATGGTGTAGAATGCCGATGTTCTCGGCGAGCGCGAGAATTTCGTTGAAGTTTGAAAGCCCGCGAGGCATGATATCGTGCGAGATGTCTGGCTTCAACCCTCCGACGTACCGCCACTCGCTCCACCTTGTGGATGTAGCCGACTTGCTCTTATAGTGCGAAGAAACTGCTAGTGTTGTCTTGAAGCAACCCGAGTTGCCGCCAAGTGCGTAGGTTCAGACGTGCCAAAATAGAAGCCACGATCGGCTCGAAACGCGTCCCTGCGCACGAGTCCCACGTGCTGTATTGGGCGGCTTAGCAGAACGAACTTCAGATGACGGCGATCACCACGAGTCCCACGTGCTGTATTGGGCGGCTTAGCAGAACGAACTTCAGATGACGGCGATCACCACGAGTCCCACGTGCTGTATTGGGCGGCTTAGCAGAACAAACTTCAGATGACGACGATCACCACGAGTCCCACGTGCTGTATTGGGCGGCTTAGCAGAACAAACTTCAGATGACGGCTGGCCCCGTGGGCCCTTCCTCTTGCAACGGTGGCTCGTAGGCGCGCGGCGACGTCACGATGACTCACCACCAGTCCATGGCGGGGGCCCGCAGCAGCGAAACAGCGTATTGTATCTTTGAAACATCCAACGTGATGTAATTGGCATCCTTCGTCCTCGCTGTCTCCCGACAACGCTTGCCTCCAAGCGTACCTTCAGTCTGCAGGCGCCGCGGACGTCGCCTCCTTGGGAGGGGGGTAGTGTTACGGGGTAGTTTACTGTTCAAGGGTGGTTTACCCTAACCAGTGCTCCCAACCCCATCCAAACTTATCTTCATCCAATCCCCTTGGGGATTCCTTGGATTTCCTAGATTTCCTTGTGCCACGTGGCACTCTAGCTTTCTTGCCTTCTACTTTCTAGTTCTGCAAACAACTTTCCGACATTTGCTCTTGCATGCTATATAAACCTTGCTTGTATTCCCTCATATCAACCAATTCTCGTTCAACTCTTTCATTACTCAGTAACTCCTTCGCATATTTCGCCAATAGTTCTTTCGCCAAAGTCTTCCGCCGCGTTTATCCTCGACTTAGTCGACCCCGCTAATTCTTTAGCGGACTTAGGTTGTCGGGTCTAACACTTGGTATCAGAGCCTTCGCGGGGAGCGACTTCCAACGAGCGACCGTCGACGATGAAACGACGACGTCATCACCCCTCGGTGCCGACTTGCAGACTTGGAGTCGTCGAGCGAACATGGACGAAACCATGAACGCTTTCCCCCACAACATGGGCAACACCACGTCGACTGGCGTGAAGGCGCTGCCGGAACGTCGAAGCGCACTCAAGCCGCAGAAACCCGAGTCGTTCGACCCAAGTCAACGCGACGCGAACGTGCGGACGTGGCTCTTCATGCTCAACAATTACTTCGTTGCGAGCGGGGTGCAAGAGGCGGACGCGCAGCAGCGGATTGAATATGCGATAACGCTGCTGAGGGGTCCGTCCTTGGAGTGGTGGCGCCAACTTACGCAGACTGCTGTTAGAAGGGCTCAGACGGATGGACATCAACAGGGCGTGGGGCATGCAACTGCAACTTCGAGCCTAGGGAGTTTGGCTTTAGGTGTTAACATAGTTCCGACGACATGGGAAGGATTTGAAGCGGCGCTGAAAAGTAGGTTCGATTTGGTGAACGCCTCCGAAGCTGCTAGGAAGCGTCTGCGTCATTTCCGACAGATAGGAAACGTCCAGGAGTACAACCGACGGTTCTTGAGCATCTGCAATGAAATAGACAGCATCACGGAAGCAGAGATGCGCGATCGCTAACGAAGGGTTGAAGCCGGACATAGCGGAGGTTATGGCAATTCACGGGTTGTCCACCTTCGAGTCAGTAGTCGCAGCAAGAGAACGCGTCGACGCAGTACGAAGCCGACGGGGTCATGACGCTCGATCGAGGGATACAACAGACCGATCAACGACGCTCGATCGAGGGACGGACCATCGCCCATGGAGATGGGTGTAGTTTACAGTGACGGCTCACAGCGAATGGGTTTTAGGGGGAACTGTCACTACTGCAAAAAGCCGGGACACATGAAGCGGGACTGCCCACAGTTCAAGGAGCGGCAGCAGGGAAACGGAAACTGCCAGTAAGTTGCGGGTCGCTAGCTGGTATGGAGGTTCCCGTACGCGTCACGTCTACCAACATAGAGAAGACGGCGATGCAGCAGTCATCTACGGAGAACGGGGTAGACACTGTTGATCGTCCAGTCGTGCTTCTAGGGAAGCTTCGTGGAGTTCTAGTCAAGATTCGAGTAGATAGCGGAGGTAGCCACTCGTTCGTTTCTTCATCGCTAGTTAGCCGTCTCCTCGAAGCGGATTCCGCGGTCAACTTCAAAGGCGCGCGCATGGTAGATGGGACACCACTCAACATAGGGTTAATCATTCGCAAGTTGCGCGTAGTGCTAGGACCGATCACAGTTCGCAATTTCGATTCTGCGACGCTAGATGGGTACGATTTCATCTTCGGGAGAGACTGGCTACGGACGGTTAGTACACAGTTCGATTGGGCTCAGGGAAGCTGCAGCGTCAAGGTAGACGGGGAGTTCCGGGAGCTGCCACAGTGGAGCGATGGGGCCACATCATCCACAGCTATCATCAATGCTGTTCGTGTGCGACCGTTAGTGAAGCGTGCGGCACCGATCTTCGCGGTTGTCCTTGAAGAGGTGGAAGCAGAGGACGGGAATCGAGGGAGTGCAGCAGTTAGTGAGAAGGCGACTCTTCCTGCTGAGGTGAGTGCACTGTTAGCAGAGTTCGCAGACGTCTTCCCCGACGAGTTGCCCCCAGGGTTACTTCCGAGCCGAGCAGTAGACCATCGAATAGAGTTGGAGCCGGGGAGCAGGCCAGTAGCGAAGCCATAGTGGAGGTTGAGTCCAGCAGAGACAGAGGAGATGACGCAGCAGGTTAGGCACTTTCTCACACTGGGTTTTATCCAACCATCTAGATCGCCTTGGGCAGCACCGGTCCTGTTCGCGCCTAAGAAAGATGGAGGGTTGCGGATGTGCATAGCTTGCCGTGCATTGAACGCCGCCACCGTTAAGAACAGATTCCCAGTTCCGAGAGTAGAGTATCTCTTAGATGCAGTGCAGGGTGCTAAAGTCTTCTCCAAGATCGACCTTCGTTCGGGTTACCACCAGATTCGTGTAGTTCCAGAGGACCAGCACAAGACGGCGTTTCGTACGAAGCAGGGGTTTTACGCGTTTAGAGTTGTACAACGCTCATAAACACCGTCCTCTCAGAGTTCCTAGGTTCGTTCGTTGTCGTTTACCTAGACGACATCCTAATCTTCTCCAAGTCGAAAGAAGAGCACA